GCGAAGGTCGCTTTGTCTACATCGCAACCTCGGAACCTGCCAGCGCCAGCGATCAACCGGCCACCGACTCTAGCGGCAAATTGATCATTCCAATCGTTTGGCCCGATGGAACGCTGCTCCCGACCGATTCTACGCAAGAACATGTGCTCGATGACGGATCCCCGATCCCACGTGATGACGATGGACGGCCACTTGGCTTGAATGGCGACGTTCTGCCAACGGATGACTCCGGAAGATGGGTCTACGTCACTGCCGAGCCTGAAGCTGAAGCAACATCAAGCGAAGAACCAACTGCTGAGCCAACGCATCCAGTGGTCGTCGTCGGCCCAGATGGCACGCCTTTGCCTACGGATGCCTCCGGCGCCCATGTTGCCGAAGATGGACAAATCATCAGCAAGGACGACGAGGGACGCCCGTTGTCACCCGATGGAGGCGTGTTACCGACTGATGGAGAAGGGCGTTACGTATTTGTTCCCACCGACCAACCAGTGCCCACACATAAACTTCCCACTGATGAGACGGAACGAGAAGAAGCAACAACTGAGACCACGCTCATCGTTGGCCCAGACGGAACCCCGTTGCCTACGGATGCCAGCGGTGCTCAGGTTGATGCTCAGGGCCAGCCAATTCCCACGAACAGTGAAGGAAAGCCTGTAGATGCAGATGGTCAAGTTCTTACGACCGATTCGGAAGGCCGCTTCGTTTTCGTGCCCACCAGCGAGCCAACGACTGAGGAGCCCAAGCCGACCGATGAATACGGAAATCCGATTGTGCCAGTCCACCGCCCCGACGGCGAGCTTCTTCCTACCGATTCCACCGGACACCACCTCAGCCCAGCAGGAGATCAGATCTCACAAAAAGATGAGGGTCTTCCGATTGGCGTCGACGGAGAAGTGCTGCCAACAGATGCTACTGGCAAATACATCTTCCCAGAGCCCAGCACAGAAGCCCCCACTCCATTCACCCTGATCGTGGGCCCTGACGGAACTCCGCTGCCCACAGATGCAAGCGGAGCTCAAGTCGATGCCAAGGGAGAGCCGATTCCAACGAACAGCCAAGGACAGCCTGTCGATGAAGATGGTCAAGTTCTTACCACCGATTCGGAAGGCCGCTTCGTTTTCGTGCCCACCAGCGAGCCAACGACTGAGGAGCCCAAGCCGACCGATGAATACGGAAATCCGATTGTGCCAGTCCACCGCCCCGACGGCGAGCTTCTTCCTACCGATTCCACCGGACACCACCTCAGCCCAGCAGGAGATCAGATCTCACAAAACGATGAGGGTCTTCCGATTGGCGTGGACGGAGAAGTGCTGCCAACAGATGCTACTGGCAAATACATCTTCCCAGAGCCCAGCACAGAAGCCCCCACTCCATTTACCCTGATCGTGGGCCCTGACGGAACTCCGCTGCCCACAGATGCAAGCGGCAGAGCCATTACCGATGATGGAGAGCCCGTTGCAACGAACAGCGATGGAATTCCGGTAGATCAGGACGGCCAGGCTCTACCAACTGACGGCGAAGGTCGCTTTGTCCACATCGCAACCTCGGCACCTGCCAGCGCCAGCGATCAACCGGCCACCGACTCTAGCGGCAAATTGATCATTCCAATCGTTTGGCCCGATGGAACGCTGCTCCCGACCGATTCTACGCAAGAACATGTGCTCGATGACGGATCCCCGATCCCACGTGATGACGATGGACGGCCACTTGGCTTGAATGGCGACGTTCTGCCAACGGATGACTCCGGAAGATGGGTCTACGTCACTGCCGAGCCTGAAGCTGAAGCAACATCAAGCGAAGAACCAACTGCTGAGCCAACGCATCCAGTGGTCGTCGTCGGCCCAGATGGCACGCCTTTGCCTACGGATGCCTCCGGCGCCCATGTTGCCGAAGATGGACAAATCATCAGCAAGGACGACGAGGGACGCCCGTTGTCACCCGATGGAGGCGTGTTACCGACTGATGGAGAAGGGCGTTACGTATTTGTTCCCACCGACCAACCAGTGCCCACACATAAACTTCCCACTGATGAGACGGAACGAGAAGAAGCAACAACTGAGACCACGCTCATCGTTGGCCCAGACGGAACCCCGTTGCCTACGGATGCCAGCGGTGCTCAGATTGATGCTCAGGGCCAGCCAATTCCCACGAACAGTGAAGGAAAGCCTGTAGATGCAGATGGTCAAGTTCTTACGACCGATTCGGAAGGCCGCTTCGTTTTCGTGCCCACCAGCGAGCCAACGACTGAGGAGCCCAAGCCGACCGATGAATACGGAAATCCGATTGTGCCAGTCCACCGCCCCGACGGCGAGCTTCTTCCTACCGATTCCACCGGACACCACCTCAGCCCAGCAGGAGATCAGATCTCACAAAACGATGAGGGTCTTCCGATTGGCGTCGACGGAGAAGTGCTGCCAACAGATGCTACTGGCAAATACATCTTCCCAGAGCCCAGCACAGAAGCCCCCACTCCATTCACCCTGATCGTGGGCCCTGACGGAACTCCGTTGCCTACGGATGCCAGCGGTGCCCAGGTTGATGCTCAGGGCCAGCCAATTCCCACGAACAGTGAAGGAAAGCCTGTCGATGAAGATGGTCAAGTTCTTACCACCGATTCGGAAGGCCGCTTCGTTTTCGTGCCCACCAGCGAGCCAACGACTGAGGAGCCCAAGCCGACCGATGAATACGGAAATCCGATTGTGCCAGTCCACCGCCCCGACGGCGAGCTTCTTCCTACCGATTCCACCGGACACCACCTCAGCCCAGCAGGAGATCAGATCTCACAAAACGATGAGGGTCTTCCGATTGGCGTGGACGGAGAAGTGCTGCCAACAGATGCTACTGGCAAATACATCTTTCCAGAGCCCAGCACAGAAGCCCCCACTCCATTTACCCTGATCGTGGGCCCTGACGGAACTCCGCTGCCCACAGATGCAAGCGGAGCTCAAGTCGATGCCAAGGGAGAGCCGATTCCAACGAACAGCCAAGGACAGCCTGTCGATGCTGATGGCCAGGTTCTAACAACCGATTCGGAAGGCCGCTTCATTTTCGTGCCCACCAGCGAGCCAACGACTGAGGAACCCAAGCCGACCGATGAATACGGAAACCCGATTGTGCCAGTGCATGCTGCCGATGGACAACTACTCCCCACCGATTCCACCGGACACCACCTCAGCCCAGCAGGAGATCAGATCGCTCAAAACGATGAAGGTCTTCCGATCGGCGTGGACGGAGAAGTGCTACCAACAGATGCTACTGGCAAATACATCTTCCCGGAGCCTAGCACAGAAGCCACTACTCCCTTCACTATCATCGTTGGCGCTGACGGAACTCCGCTGCCCACAGATGCAAGCGGCAGAGCCATTGCCGATGATGGAGAGCCCGTTGCAACGAACAGCGATGGAATTCCGGTAGATCAGGACGGCCAGGCTCTACCAACTGACGGCGAAGGTCGCTTTGTCCACATCGCAACCTCGGCACCTGCCAGCGCCAGCGATCAACCGGCCACCGACTCTAGCGGCAAATTGATCATTCCAATCGTTTGGCCCGATGGAACGCTGCTCCCGACCGATTCTACGCAAGAACATGTGCTCGATGACGGATCCCCGATCCCACGTGATGACGATGGAAGGCCACTTGGCTTGAATGGCGACGTTCTGCCAACGGATGACTCCGGAAGATGGGTCTACGTCACTGCCGAGCCTGAAGCTGAAGCAACATCAAGCGAAGAACCAACTGCTGAGCCAACGCATCCAGTGGTCGTCGTCGGCCCAGATGGCACGCCTTTGCCTACGGATGCCTCCGGCGCCCATGTTGCCGAAGATGGACAAATCATCAGCAAGGACGACGAGGGACGCCCGTTGTCACCCGATGGAGGCGTGTTACCGACTGATGGAGAAGGGCGTTACGTATTTGTTCCCACCGACCAACCAGTGCCCACACATAAACTTCCCACTGATGAGACGGAACGAGAAGAAGCAACAACTGAGACCATGCTCATCGTTGGCCCAGACGGAACCCCGTTGCCTACGGATGCCAGCGGTGCTCAGGTTGATGCTCAGGGCCAGCCAATTCCCACGAACAGTGAAGGAAAGCCGGTAGATGCAGATGGTCAAGTTCTTACGACCGATTCGGAAGGCCGCTTCGTTTTCGTGCCCACCAGCGAGCCAACGACTGAGGAACCCAAGCCGACCGATGAATACGGAAACCCGATTGTGCCAGTGCATGCTGCCGATGGACAACTACTCCCCACCGATTCCACCGGACACCACCTCAGCCCAGCAGGAGATCAGATCGCTCAAAACGATGAAGGTCTTCCGATCGGCGTGGACGGAGAAGTGCTACCAACAGATGCTACTGGCAAATACATCTTCCCAGAGCCCAGCACAGAAGCCCTGACTCCATTCACCCTGATCGTGGGCCCTGACGGAACTCCGCTGCCCACAGATGCAAGCGGAGCTCAAGTCGATGCCAAGGGAGAGCCGATTCCAACGAACAGCCAAGGACAGCCTGTCGATGCTGATGGCCAGATTCTAACAACCGATTCGGAAGGCCGCTTCGTTTTCGTGCCCACCAGCGAGCCAACGACTGAGGAACCCAAGCCGACCGATGAATACGGAAACCCGATTGTGCCAGTGCATGCTGCCGATGGACAACTACTCCCCACCGATTCCACCGGACATCACCTCAGCCCAGCAGGAGATCAGATCGCTCAAAACGATGAAGGTCTTCCGATTGGCGTTGAAGGAGAAGTGCTGCCAACAGATGCTACTGGCCAATACTTCTATTTCGTGCGTGAAACGCCCGGTTCTACGTCTCACACGGTGATCAGCAAAGATGGCGTAGAATTGTCCCGCGATAAAAATGGACAGTCGATTGATTTGGATGGACGAGTTGTTCCGACAGACGAAAGCGGATTACCCTTAGGCGCCGACGGGAATATTTTGCCAACAAACGAACAAGGACATCACATACTAGAAGAGATTGTTTCATCGACTAGGATGTCGATTGTTCGACCGGATTTCTCTCCGCTTCCGACAAACAGCGATGGACACCATGTGAGTGATAGTGGTGAGCCGGTCGGAACAAATGAAGCAGGCAAGCCTTTGGGGCCTGGAAATCAGATCTTGCCCACTGATGGACTGGGCAGATATATTTATCCCGTAATTGGACCGAATGGGGAACCGTTGCCGACCGATATGAACGGGCTGCCAATATACCCTGTTGTCGGGCCAAATGGATATTTACTTCCAACAGACTCATCGGGAGCGACGATTAACGAGAAAGGAGACTCTGTTCCTACAGATTCAAGCGGTATCCCATTGGACCGCGACGGCAAACCGCTCCCTACGGACCAATTGAGATACCACACGCTCCTGACTGCCAAGACCCCAACTGGACATTGCTACATTAATGCACATATCGAATTGATCCTTGTGCTTGACACGTCAAACTTTGTGAAAATCTTGGACTACCGGGTTATGAAGGAGCATATCAAGACATTCCTTCACCAACAGCTCAATTTAATGCCGAACCATGTCCGCATCGGTGTGGTGAAATATGGCGACCAGATCGACGTGCCGGTGCCCATCGGGGCATATGTTGGCGAAGACGATTTGCTTCACCAGATTTCTGAGACCAGGAGGATGAAGGTGAGGCTGATACAATTTGCACTAGCGTCGTCGTTTTGATTTTTTCAATTCAAGCCCTTATTTTAGGGCTCGCCATACCTTGGTGCTGCTCTTCGCGAGGTTGCCGGGGATTTCATCCTATCGGGAAGCGATAATGTGCCACGCGTTGTGATTATTTTCAAAAACGGACTAAGCGTGTAAGCTGGAAATGGTCGGCGTGATAAGATTTTCAGGGATGATGTCAAAGAGCCGGCGGATATGCTGCGCAAGGAGTTAGGTGCAAATATCTTTGTGGTAGATGCCGGAGGAGACGAAAGTCAAGAACAGGTATAATTTAAGGACAAGGCTAATTCATCATTCTCAGGATCTGAGAGTCGTGAAGGATCCTAGCCATGTGCTGCGAGTGAATCAATGGAGGACAGCAGACGCCACAAGCCTCGGACCTCTCGCCGATCTGATTTGCCAGGTGAAGCCTTGACCCATTATAATAAAGGGAATTCGCGGGATATACTCTCCGCTCTTCAAAAGTTCATTTCGTAACAAAAAATCATTCTACAGGTGGTTCCCGCTGCACGAATTGACGACGAAACAAAATTGTGGCCTACACGGGTACCTCGTCCATACCATACAACTGTTAAAGACCGCGATTGCCAAAAAATTGATTTCGAAGTGAGTTTTAACCTTTCTTGAGCCAAAATATCCTTTAGGCCGATGTGATATTGATGCTTGATTCTTCCGAAAACTTCAATTATGCTCAATTTGCGCAAGTAAGAGAGGCAGCAGCCACCCTCGTCGATGAGACGTTTGATCTCGCCCCTGATCTTGTCCGGACAGGGCTTGTTGTATATAGGTAAGTAAATCGGGTCCAAGAACAACAAAAACACCACATCCTCAGACAGCATAAAAACTGAGTTCTTATAGTGATAAGGTAGCGGTGCCAGTAGCCCTGGGACACTACGAGGAAAAGCTCGATCTCATTGAAAAAATGACGGATGCGGAGAAAATTAATCAAGGTATCGGTACTATCAAAATTCGAGCTTATCTTACCATTTCTAGCGGGACAAGCAATTGCGTTATACGGGTTCAACGCGGCCAAGGAACAATTTGATCTCCATGGACGAAAAAATGCCACAAGAATCGTCGTCATGTTCACAGACGGCCAGAACCGGTATGCGATTGGCCTAGAATTAATAGTAAAAGATAAACCAGGCTAAATAAAAAATTACTGTTTAAGCGGTAACGCGGCTGGCGCAGCTGAGGATCTACGGCGACTATATGATGTTCAGCTGTTTGTAGTAGCCATCGGTGCGAAGACCGAAAATCTGCCCGCATTGAAAAGACTTGTTGGTAGGTGATTTCCGAAAGAACAATGAATTTGGAAAGAAACACAGGAACAATTGTTTAAACTGTCTAACTAACAGCTCCCAGAGCTGGCGCTGCCCGCAAATATTCAAAAGATTTCAAGTCCTGTGTTAATTATATTATCAGTAAGCCATATTTTAAAGGGTAGCTACGAATCTTACTATATATAAAAAAGTGTCTGTGTGTATGTGTGTGTGCCACTTTGCATGCCACTTCTGTCAGGAATCAATTAGCATGCACCGGAAGTGGGGGTAGCCTATTCAAGGAGCAGAGAGCGCATTTTTTTACTTTTTTCAGCGTGGGTCAGGCCGAATTATGCAACGTGTAAACTTTCATTGGCCCACAACGGGGCCAGGGTTGAAAAGTCGCGAAGCGGCTTTTCAACCCTGGTTAATCTGTATTTTACAGCTTAATGTTAAAGGGCTGCCGACGGCATGTGTCGATCCCCCCCTCATCAACAAATTGGCAAGTAGCCAACAGGGGAGATAGCGCGCCCAGGGAGAGGCGCAGAGACATTTTCTTTTCCGCGCGTAACCGATTGCCTATGCCGTCGGCATCCCTTTAAGTTAAAGCCGGTTACGGAACCAAAATTTAAAAACGAAGAGTGAAAAAGCTACCAAAGCCAAAGGAAAAGCAATGAGGCCCAAAAGCAGAGTTTTACAATCGCTCGAAACAATGCAATGCCAAGGGCCCAAATTCAGTGGAATTATGCGAAAAAAATTTGGAGCAGACTGGCAGAGACAATTCAAGCCCCACTTTAGGTCCAATTTCGGGCTAAACTTTGTTTGCTGATTTTTCTAAAAGCACAACTTCGACCTGCCCAGAATTCGTTAGGTGGTCACCTTAGAGATTACTATATAACAAAAGACATACTTCTGCAGCGCGCAAACGACTAGCAAAATTGTGTAAGATCCAGCAAACCCAATAAAAATGCTGAATTTCGATAAAACTCATACTTTACTGCATGAAAAACGATAATGAACTTTTCAAGGGACTTATGGAATTGATTTTTTATCAAAAAATTAACTTAGATTCAAGAAAAGCCTGGCTTTAGGGTTAAGATTAGGGGACCAAGCCGTAATCTGGGCTTTATAAATCAATTTTCGAGATATCGTCGATTTTGAGCCCAAAATCGGCTATTTGACGCAGGGGTCTACAGAAAGGCCTGTCCCCGCATGAAACTCAGTTGACGACACACTTTGGTGTCACCAAACTTTGGTATCACCGTAAATACACGTACTGCGGAAAAAGATGTAAGTGCCACCGGAGGTGACACCAAGGTATGGTCTTGGTGGCACCATGGTTTGGGTCTGGTGACACCGGGGTGAGGGCCCGGTGTCACCACGGTGTGGGCTCGGTGTCGCGATGGCTTTACATAGTAATTGGCTTAGCTTTTCCAGTATATTCCCGTATTAGGAAATATACTGGAATTTGTATATAAAGTACGAACCTACGTAAACTACTCATTTAAAATGGTTTATTATAATATACAAGTGCATAATATATCCTACGGGAAATAACTTTGTGACAATTACATCTTTAGAGCAAAACTTAACCCAAAAAAAAAATGAAAAAACATACCTTAGAGCTCCATGCGCTCTGAAACTATACCTTTACCATCCTTGTTATTTTCGCCATATCTTTACCAAGTAGCAATATACTCCATGATCACGCGATGATGGCCATCTCTAAAAACAACTTACAAGGAGTCGTTTTTAGGTGATATTGGAGTTTTTGAGCGAGACCTAGCTAGTTCGATAGAGAAAAAAATTCTGAGCAAGATGTCGTTTTCCAAATCTGCTAACCGTGTATTGTATTCGATAAAAATTAATTTGAAAAGCATTAATTTCGCCATCATTTCTCAGCTGATCCGCAGGTTTGGCCTGGGGGTGCGCGTGAACATAGCCCCCTTCAGACCCTTGAACCGCCATGATCGTGTGGCATATTGGTAGAGCATTTGCTTCACAAGTTTAACCTTTGTTGCCTTCGGGTTCGACCCGCAGCTACTGAAACTCTTTTGCTTTTTGCTCTGTGATGCCAAGTATGGCCTCAATCGCAATCAAAATGTTATCAGGTCGGGAAAGCGTCCGTATCTCGAATGTCCTAGCCTTAAATTTTGTGAAAATTTGACCCTAGGTCAATTATGCAACGGGGAATCCGATGCCGACATCAAAATCGTGCGAATTTTTTTATTTATTTGTTGAATTGGCTGCTTTAAATATACAACTTTTTCCTGAGGCATTTTTAGATTTCAAAAACCATACCATCGTGTGCAGCATGGTCGAAAACCACTATCTATCAATTTTTGGAACATCAGTTGGCTCAGGGCTTGCTCCTGCGTAGCCCCGAAGTTGCTGTCGCGGAGTCATTTTGGTGCCCCGAACGCCCATTGGGCGCATTTATGCCCCGGCGACGGCAATTTCTGCCTCCTGTTCCCCCGCAGAAAAAAAACACGAAGAACACCCAGAAAATGGTTTTCGACCATCCTGAACACGATACATTGTTTTGAAAGCCAAAAATGCCTTAGGGCAATGTTGATTTTGGTAGTATATTTAAAACAGCCAAACAAACAAATGGACAAATTCGCAGGATGTTGATGTTGGCATCGGATTCCCCGTTGCCCATTGGACCTAAAGTAAAATTTGCACAAAATTTGGAGCTAGGACATTCGAGATATAGACGCTTTCCCGACCTTATAACTTTTTGACCGGAACTTTAGATTTCCATTTCACCGGGTGTCACCGAGATTTCATACCATGGTGCCACCAAACATCTACTCTGGTGACACCGGACACGTGCCATCGTGGCACCAGACTTTGTCCGTACCATGGTGACACCAGACTTCATACCATGGTGTCACCGGGAAATGGTACGACGGTGCCACCGACCATCGATACATAGTGACACCGACCCTCGAACCATGGTGTCACCAAAGATCGCCGACTCACCATGGTGACACCAGGATTCTTGGTGTCACCATGGTATGCCGTCAACTGTGAGAAGGGAGTCCCCCATAACCCAGCCCCCAAACGTTAAACGGCATTCCACAAGGCTGGAATGCCGTGGAGCGCGTGTTTCGCAACGCACACTAATAGATGGTAAACACAGCTTACTTGCCCCAATAGAAAAATTCTACAGGGTAGATGCGCGCGCGAACAGCTTTGAAAAACTAAAAATAAAATGATTGTTCGGTTTTGTGGGTGGACAAGGAACACAGTTTGACAACGCACATCATTCCATTAATCAAAGATAGTAAAGTTGGTACGAGACGCGCCTATGCACGCTCAACTGTCCACGGACGTTGTAAATTGTACGTTCTAAGCGGAAAAATCCCCCACTTTTGCTATAAATCACGCTTGATCTTGAAGTTTTCATAGGCATATCGAAAAACAAAATAGAGTAAAATGTTCTACGAAAGATTACGCACCTTCTCGGGGCACCGATATCGAAAACCTATTCTGACGTATAGAGCCTAAAATTAATTAATTCGTTTTAAGAACTATAGTTAATCTCGTTTGTAAGGTTTTGACGATATTTCCAAGGAAAAAGTAAAAGGGACTTATTCAGGAGATTTCCCGGAGCGCTTATTCGAAGTCACGTCTCCCGAAAAGCTTGTCGAGGAGGTTGGCGATCTCGGTAAACACCTTTGCGGCTACACGACGCCTCCGATGCCAAAGCCAACTCAATCAATTCACAAGGTCACCACGAAGCGGGATATGGAAGCCGTGCAAAAGTATGTCTTCCGAATTTCATCTAAAAAACTTCGCAAGCTCTTGGGGTATTATATTAAGTTGTCGGAATTCAAATGGAAGAAAATTTCGAAATATGGGTCCAGCTAGAAACCCGAACACAGAAAACCATTATAGAAGCACAACCACGGCTTACCGTACAACGAGGTCAATCATTCCGCAACCATTATGTGCTGATGGAATCCGTCGTCCTTACCAACTTTCTCTGATCGTCGATATTACGGGTAGATCGAACCAGAGTGATCTCGAGACGGCCCTCCTTCAAACAGCTACGTTCCTGCGGGTATGTTATTAGCTATATCCTATCCAGCGTACCCCTTTTTAGTCTTTTCTATAAAAAAATCCTTAGGAAAAATTCGCCGACACCCCGGAAATGCTGACGCTGAACCTGGTGACAGTGAATAGTGATGGAGTCTTTGCGAAAAAATCGGGTGTCAAAGTCCAAGACGTTGATGCCGAATTAGCTAACATCCACCAACACCAGTACGTTCAAGAATTCGCTTGTTTTGAGCCCCGTTTCGGTTTTTCACGCACAACTTTAAGGGATGACACCTTATCGGCAAAGATTGGCGAAGGAATTGACGCAGCTGTGACATTGGCGAACACGAACCATGTGAAGGGCGTCTTCCGCATGATTATGGTGGTCAGTGCTGACGGTACATCAAGGTGAGACACAAGTGGTGGCGGGGTCATGAGAACATATTTAGTGATGAACCAATGCCAGCCGTCGAAATTGCCAGGGACGAGTACGGGCATCAGCTGGTCGCAGTTTCGATACGCAAACCCGTGAATCAAATGCTTGCCAGCATCGCCGACGACAAACCAACCAGGTAAGCGATTTCCGCTACGATATCAATCCATCGTGCATTTCGCATCATGCATGTCATGAGACAAAAATTTCCAGGGTAATCCACCTAGCCGATTGGACGAGCTACGACCTTTATTCGTCATGGTTATCTTACGCGATATGTGATGCCGTTACTTCGACTACCACAAGAAAACCAACTACAACCACACCTCGCCTAACGACCTCGGCCCAACGGAAGACAACCGTGACTGCTAAACCTCCGACTCAAACCGAGCCTTCCAACGTGGAGGTGGTAGCCCTAAACCCGAAGGCAATTTCCGTCTCCTGGACATGCTGCACTAATAACCGAGCGGTATGTCCTATTTGCAGTATTTTCGGACTTACTTTTTTCAGAACTATTCGATTCTATACACTAAAGACCAATCATTACCCAAGGAAAACTGGGAAAGACTTCCAGCAAGATGTCGCGACAGGTTCGAACTTTAATGTTTACCGACTTTTTACCGCCAGGAACGTCTAAAAACGTGCCATAGATGAGTTGCTTAAAAAAATTAGACTTCAACCAGTAAAGGTCCAAATTTTCAGCTTTGGTTTGGTGATTGCCAATCTCGACACGAACGCCGAGTATAAAGTGTGCGTTGTGGCAATGACCGGCAAAGGAACGCTGAACATGACAGCACTTGACTCCGACAGCAATTGCGAAGGAATCCAGCTCAACAAAGGTTCGTTCATTCTCGTTAGTTGGGTTTATTATTGGGTTAATATATAATGTTAAAAAGATGCTGATAAACGCCCTTAAATTCAGATTCGAGCCCACCTCCTGAATACACAGCAATGGATGTGATCCAACCATGCAACTGTATTTGTAAGGGTGGTGAAGCCCTTATTGCTCCTTGCGGAGTACCCTTGGATAACAGCCGGCCGATGACCACCCTGCCACCGGCCACTGAAGGCGAATGCAACTGCAAGGTTCGGAATTTTAGATATGTTTTCTGTACCTCCTTACTGACGCTGTATACAAAGAAACCTATTCAGGTTGATGCTCATGCGGGTCGTTGCCCAGCCGGATATGCGCTGAGCAACACCAAGTGTTACGGTTTGTTAATCGTCGAATATCCGAGGGTTTGCTTAGATATCGATGAGTGCAAGAACGGGAACGGCGGCTGCTCGCACGGGTGTGTGAACACGCCCGGATCGTACTATTGTGCATGTCCCCATGGAATGGTCCGCGACCCCCTCATCCCGAACAATTGCATCACCGCGGCAAGGTACGCGTCCGCTTCCAGTGCCCTTATTTTCCGTGAATAGTAGTAATCCGTATTGATGAGTACGATTTTCATCTCAAATATGACTTAAAAAGTTTTTAGACCTCATTCAAAAAGAAAAAAATTGAATGGGGAAGGTCGCAAACGTCGAACTTTTTAATCTACACGGAATTCTGAGGACAACCCCGAAAAATTCTGATGGATCTTTCAATGCCGCATAAAATTTCCCATTCAATGTTTTAGCTCTTTCAACCGAATTGCCGAGTTGCTAGGACAATATGTACATGCGAATGCGGAAGATCTGCAGAAAAATGAGGAAAAACCGGCCAGATTCAAGGTTCGTTTCAGATACCTTCGATACCTCAGTATCAATTTGTTTCCAGGCCAAAATTGAATCTGAAGACGACAAAACGATTTCCTTCGAATGGTCTTCAGTGCCGCAGTCAGTCGGCAATGCCTTCAAATGGCTTTTCTAAACCACATCAAAATTACAATTTTTCGATCATCTAACAGCTCATCCCCCAATTCTTTCATTTTTTTATTAGTTCCGTCGTAGTGTATTTTCCATAGGGCTTGGCCCCCCTTCCATTACACACACTTGCCCATTGATGTATTATATGTTAATTTAAAATTATTTATGTCCCATAACTACCATCGCAGAATGATCCGCGCTTTGGGATATGTAGGGGGAAAGTGGACACCGGTGCTTAAATAGATTATTTCTTGCCTAAAATTGCCTTCCGCTTCTTTGATTAATATCTTAATATTTTTGTTCTGCCTATCCACTGCCCGGTAACGCACTTAACGCCGCTTCTCAATACTTCTGCATAAGTTTCTATTTCAATTTAATTATCTACCTTTTTGCATAATTCCAAGCTATCGGCGACTTTTTAGCAAAGCAGCTTCGGTTTTTGACTGTAGATGACCCCCAACCCCCAAGCCTACAGTCAAATCCGTAGCCAGATTTTATAGTTAGGAACGTTTCCGACAGCTTTTGATTCCGTGGGCATAAGGGTTCGGTTCGAAACATTTCTCGGGTGGCGATAAATTGGCGTATTGCTGGGAGACCCCTCCCCCAATTCCATCATTACCCCAGCTTGGTCAAATTGGGCCTCTCAGACTCGGGCATTCACTCAATTCTGGGCTCTAATTTTTTGCACGGCTCTTATAGTCGGAAGCGAGCTGAAAAAGCATCGTCGGCAAGAAAGGGTGCAAGGCACGGACGAGTAGGTCCTCTTGTGATAATACCCTCCAACCGCTGGACCGCCCATCTCACCGTAGTTGCACATTTTGTTTTTAATATATTTATTAAGGATAAAACACATGAGTGGTTCTGAATAGCACTCGCTGCCCTTTAAGTCACTTGTTTAAGATCGCACCTTCTGCCACGGAATAAAATGGAATAATTGAGCCATCTACGCCCGGCTTTACTGATTTTTTGTAGATGTTCCACATCATTGCCTTGATCGTTACATTGTTATTGAATAAATATTTAAATATTACGTTTGCAATATTCCTTGCGATATACCTTTTTGAGGAGGTGAAAAGAGACATGGAACATTGCACCCATAGCGCCTGGCATAGCTGCCCGAAGCTTGCGCCTGCGTTGGTTTCGTTTAAAAGCTTCGTTTAAAGGCGTATTAGTCCCTCAATCTGCTTGCAAAGTAATTTTGAGCTAATTAGAACATGCATAAACGGTTCGTATTAAGGAGATGGAGACTTTTAATATTCGAGATTCGCGACACTTCTAGCTTATCGCCCTTCGAATCGATAAAAATGCTGTAGGCCTGGTTATCTTCTAGGTTATTTGTCTTCACCACATTTATAATGATAATGTTCAGCGTCAGTTCGTCTATTCCACATGTCTCCTCCCTCAGTAACTCAATTACATCAGAGGCGTGGATTGTGGGGATAGGTGCTAACGAGCGTTCCCGGGGGGCATGAAAGTGAGGGGTGGTACTGCAATTAATGAGATCGTTCCCCGGGAGGACGAGCTAGAGGTGACTGCAGGATCGATGGGGTTGGATGGGAAGGGGTGTCCCTGCCAGCTGATCCCTTTCCCTCTCACCAACTATCTCACTCTCCCACTCTGGCTCTCTCTCCACACTTCTCGCCCTTCTATCCCCTAGCTACCGAATTCCTCTTCATTCCCCCTTGCCCTCCCTCACTCCCAATTCTCCCCCCGAAAACTTGTCCGCCTCCTTAGTTCCCTTGGAAATTGCGCGCATTTCTACGAACCCTTGAACCCACTGGTCCCGCTGCCCCCGCCATTCCGCTTCCCCCCCGGAATATGAGATTTTTTGAGCGGTTTTTCAGTATATTGGCGTGCAAAGGGATAATCTGGGTGATGGTGTTACCAGCCAAAAATTTGGTGAAGAAGCTCCTAGGTATAGGCAACCTTTGCGATTTGCCACCAACCCCAACGAATCCCTCAATTTTTCCTTCGATGCTAGGCTAGTTTTCGGGGGGTCGAGCTGCCCTAGCTTTTCCCCTTCCCCCTTTTCGTCTCTTCCGCACGCAAATTTCTGACGCAGCGGGCGCTCCCATCCCCCCCCCCCCCATCCACACCCACTCGCAGGATGTCGCCGCGGGGGAATTTGTCCCATTTGCCGGATTTGGAGGGCTGGGCACACCCTATGCAAAAAACATGGCTGAGCCTAGCTTTCCAAACGTTGATCTTTGATACCTTCTAAAATTTTTAAGAGCGGTAAAAGCCCAACGTCCACGTCTCTGCCTTAATGTGCATTAAAGAATGTGCATTAATCGCATAGCTGAATCATCCGGGCCCAACCTCTTTTCTGATTCTTCCGTCTAAAGAAAATCTGACCTTTCCTTGACCACTGTTTCCCTCGAATCCCTTCGCAAAACTCCCAAAAGCTCCAGAGCGTGTCCGGCCCTTCTCTCAGGATTCCTAAATTTCTAATTACGTTCCCTCGGATACGTGAGAAGTCTTGAATTTTTCGAAAGGTCTCTTGGGAGCCCAATTACAAAATTTTTACCTGGAGTTGGGCGGAAGAAAATTTGCGCAGGATCGTAGGATTAAAAAAATATGGTTATTGTAAAAACGCTGGTTATGATTCAGAACATCGCGATTTGGCTATTGTCTGGTTGCAAGTACTTTATCGCAATGCCTATGAAGGATCTCTTTTTTTACTCTAGAGTAGCTGAAGGTAATCTTAGGTTACTTCAAGATGACCTCAGAATACGGGTTGGCATGGATTTTCTTCCTTTCTGTCTTTCACTCTCGCGCGCTCCTTATCTCTCTCTCTCTCTCTCTCTCGCTAAATCTCGCTGAAATCTCTAAAAATCTCCCTCAGTATCTAAAATAATAATAAAGGAGAGTGGTGGTTGCTCAAATCGGCCTTTTCCCTGGCACAATGACCCCAAAGCACCGCAGATCCAAGTGAGGTCACGGATGGACAAACACAGCGTGGTTATTTATTGGTGGCGGGGCCTACGGGGGTCATTTAGCCTGGTGCATAAATAGACTGGATGGTGGTGGCTATATGTGTGTATGTATGTATGTTGTGTGTATGGGCCAGCTGCATTCGTGTGGTGCGTCTAGTCTCTCCTCCCCTCTATTCCCCCCTTTGTCCTCCATTTTCCAGCCCCCGGCCCTCCACAATCCTTTCCCATACACTCCCATACACGGCCCTCATCGCGCATCCACCTGTCCACAACCACACTCGCACAATGCTTTTCCACCTCCTCCTTTTTATATATTGTGGGTGGCGGTTTTTGTTTAAGGGCAATTCGGGTAGTTCTAATCCTAAACTAGAGTCTTTTGACAGCCCGGTTCCCATCGTAATCGTCTCGTACTTTTTATTTTGAGCGCTTTTCTTCCCGGGCTCTTGACCTTTCGGCCATACCGGGAACTGCACCGGTATAACCCGACTTTCTATACCGATCCTTGACATATACTTCACTTGCCGATAGTTATTAACATAAAAATGATGGCTACTTACGTTACAAAATGTTCGCTGGTAGCCCAGCTCTTTCTGATCTATCCCATAGGTTTTTGGTCCGAAGACAAAACAAAAAAGATGAACGACCTTGTGTAATAGTGAAGTCTTCCCGCCTTTTTTCCTTTTCACAGCGTGGCCCGCTATATTTTATCAACGTTTTTGGTTTTACTTTCGAACGACTGTGCTGGTGTCTAATCCCTGCGGAAATACACAGTCGTTTCCATATTTTATCTGCAACCCTGGGCGAGTCATTCGTTTTGAAATTTGTGCTGGCCTACGTTTCCGCTCGGGCTGCCAATATAAACTTCCACGATGAGGGCGAAAACCGCCCGCCAAAAAAACAGGTGCAGTCTGTATATGGGTTTATTTTAAACAAAAAACAAACGAATTTTAACCAAAGTCACCAATTTTTTGGGGCGAGTTTGCTAGTGTAAGAGAGCCTCTGACTGGAAAATGGGATCACCATGATCAAATTGTTTTGCCCTGCCGTCTCAAACCATAACCAAGACACCGTCCCACACCATCTTATCAATCTCACTAGAGGTCACACCAATCGTGCCCTTGATCCTTATCATCTTTTCTCGGATAGGCGGAACATGGGGAAACAATACCGTTTCCTTTATCCCCTTGCATAGCATTGCTTTCCAAGAATACGCTACGATTTCCACGACTCATGGCATTCCAGCTATAGCCCCATCCTTAACCGCCATCATTCATTGACTATGGTAATTGAAGCGGTCAGGTTTCCACCCCGTCACGGCTGTGGGGCCTGCTGCCGATTTATAATTGCGTGGAGAGGAGGTTTGAGGAATTGCACCTGGCTTGACGCTGGCTGGGTTTGAGGATTGAGAGGGTCCAGCCCGACCCAAGGCATTCCGCTTCTTTCCACAATACGAAGCCGCTGCATAGGGCAGCCTTCCCCACCCTTCAATCCGGAAGCTGCAGATGGCGGCATGGGGGGAGTCTTTTGTTTTCAATAGAGGGCCACGGCTTGCACAGAAAAGGATGGGTGTGGGTGGCAATTTTCTATCTGCGTCCCATTACTTTTGAAGGGCAAAAAAACAAATGGTTTGGAATGACTGATTTGTGCTTAGAATAGATAATAAAATTTATTTCAAACTTCAAATTGAACGCGCGCATCATTAATTATAGTTGAAAAACTATGTTGATGTATATTTGGATGTACTTACGGGATCCGCATTTAGAGTTTCAGTTTCAGGAGGTAAAACCGGAATCGTCCGCCGGTAGATCAGAATTTTAGACAAATATCATTTCCACTATTAGAATTGCATTTTATAACAATCCCGACTATTTCAGTCCGCTGGGTTGGGTGTAGCATAAATCATTAACATAAACTGGAAACGCATTTGGCTGATCTAGGGGTCACAGGGACGTTTTCATATTTTTCTCGAAAGAAGAACCACACAATTTGAAGAATTTATATCCAGACGGGGCCCAGAGTTGTAAATCCGTTCAGTAATTTCTCTTTTCTTTTCTGCATGCTTTCTCGACGCCAGGATATAGATGTAAATTTGAGATGCAAAGCGAACAAGATACTTGGACTAAAGGGTTTTGGGCCCTTTCGGGATTGCTGTGTGTGCATGGGGCTCGTGGAAACGGCGAAGGGGGACTCTGGCTTATTTACGGTGGACTGAGTGCGCGTGGCGGTCCGAGTATCGATTTTCTCGAGGGCCCTCGGGAGTCGCACCCTTCCTGCCTCCCCCCTTTTCCTAACCCCCATTCCTAACCCATCTAACCACCCCTCATTATTCGGCCCATTTTCCAGGCCAAAGCTCTGGGGACTCTGATTTGCCCCCGCGAGAAGTGGACGCGGGAACACACTCATTTTTATCGATCCACGCTGCGTGGCCCAACTTCTCAGATTTTTAGACCGATATAGCTATTTCCTTTTCTTAATTTAAGGGAATTTTCTTTCTTTATAACAAAGCTTTGATACAAAGGATAAGTTTATCAAGATCTGACTGTATTTATTAGCAGGCCTACAGTATTCAATAAATACCTCAAAATAACAAATATATGAGCCGGTAGTGAAATTTTTTCTAGTTGTAATTAACCATCTTGTCATATGCGAAATTCACTTAATATTAATTTATTTATTGAAAAATCGTAGTTAATAACGTGACCCTTAGCCCCATACCATTTACCTTCGTATTACACGCTTCGTTTCTTTCTTTCCCGAGCTACCAAATTAATACGAATATTTTCCAGCGGCGGCCGGTGATGAGTGCCCGGCAGTTAACCAACGATGCCTCATCTGGGGAATTGGTCGGTTTAGGATTAATTAACATATTCACAGGGTTTTCAATGATTTCAACCTCTAATCTTCTCGTTTTCAGGTGACCCTCCGGTTGATTCTCGTTTCCGGTCGGACTCGCGAATTTTCTTTTCCTCCATCGATTTCGGCTACGGAAGTCACTCAACATGTTTTTGACAATTGGCCTCAAGGTATTGTTATTAAGGCCATTATTTACAGCAACTCGTGGAATCTATTTTTGAGTATATCTTGTTCGCGAATGAATATTGGCGGGAACATGTATATTTAGTAGTTTCTTGTCACTGACGTTCAGTTGCCGAGCCTCATTCCAAATTCAAATGCTATGCGGCATGTCCCACATTTTGCTTGCAAACATTGCAATAGAGCTCCACTTTATGAAAACTCTTCCCAAAGTCAACCCTTTCAGAATGGGAAGAGGAATCGGTCGAATCAGCCTCGCTCCTCAAGCTGATTTATCATGGACGATTTTTGCATGGGTAAGCGGGCCTCAATTTCTGAACTAATGAAGTACGAAAAGGAAGAAGGCGGTGTACGCAAAGTCTGGTTTCATTCTTTTTTTCAGCTCCGTCACATTAGCGGCGTTGGCACTACCGCCTGGCAAAACGACCGTGATGCATCTCGTGACGCGCGAAAATTTGCCGGAGCCTAACTCGAATGGTGCGTCAACAAATTATGTCGGCTCCCCGGGGGAAAAGTGGCTTGATGCTGTATAGAGATTCGCGAATGGGAAAGTGGTTTGATTCGCATGTTAGTCAGAAATTAGATCAGTGCGGCTATAAAGGCTATAATTGCATTAACTGAGTTTTTAATATATGCGTCATTGGCTAGGGTACAAAGTATGAAAATGATGTTATTTACAATAGGGTGTGTTTAAATCGCAGCTTGTATTGGATAAAAGACTAAAGGGTTGTATGGATACGAGGGAAATATCGATATATTATCGGGTTTCGCGCTTAAAAGTTTTGAATTAAAGTAGATTGATTCATCGTTTAGAATCCGATTTAAGGGTAAAATATAAATCCTAACTAAATATAATGAATGTTATGCGAGTCTATTTTTTTCAGATTCACTCTCAAAACGGAAACGCGGTGGATGCTGCCGATGCACGGTATCATGAACCGAGCGTCAACAACCCTATGATTTTGTTATTTAAGCCCAAAACACTTTCCTCAAATGTACATATACTGCTCCATCACCAAAATACATTCGGTTAGTCCTCATTGAATTACATCCCCCGCCCCACCCACGTCTTCTCATTACTATCTATGTATCCCCCATGCACCAACGAGATCACTACTACGGGCCCCCCAAAGATAATAATCTGTATTCTGCTATTCTATCCAAGCGCTTTATTCTGATGAGCACCAATTCAAAACTAATTGCAAATTCAAACGTTAGATCGAAATCCAAATCTTTTGGACAGCCGCCAACTCGATCGGCATTTTGACCGTATGCAAATATATTTTCTAAATCTCCATTCTCCCTTGCAAAATCTTACGTATTCATCGAATTTTCTCCCCTTAGACGAAAAACAATGATTAAAGAAAATACCCAATTTACGTCACATCTTTTCTAGGCACCGAAATATCAGTAATTTAGAGCCCACCCCCAATCATTTCAGCTTCCACACCCAATGCACCTTTAGTACTTTCAAATTTTCGGCACCAGTGAGCTCCCAAAACACCCCCTAGTCTTCCTCAACATTGTGAGCACTTTTTTGTTTCCAATTGCTGTTTTCTTTTGTGTTTAAGCAAATTGTGGGAATATTTGGCTTGTGCTTTATGCTCGGACCTTTTTTGAAGAGCCAAAATTGCCAACGCCCTTGCTTTCGGTTTTCATCTCCAAGATTCGACGAAATAAGCGAGAATCTAGCTTTCGCTAACCTTCGAATTGATTTTGTTTGGGTTGATTTGTCTGTCTTCGATACCGTCGATAGAATTGTGATATGATTACATCCCCCCTTTCCTAATAATCGATCCGAAATAGTCTTGATGTACAACTGATGGTTTTTGCCATGAATCATCAAGAAAAAGAGAGTTACTGATAATTTCGCACCACTATCATCCATCAACTAAAGCAACCCTTATTTATCCTCGGGTCATCCTATCCTCTATTTACCAAAGAACTTCCGCCCACCTAATCCAGTCCGTCAGGAAATCTGCGATAAACCATTTCTAATCTGTGCACCTCACCCTCTCAATTCTAGTGCTTATTTAGGAAACAACACCACATTTGCGTTCGATCTGGTTTATAAGTTGTTTTAATTTATCTTCCCTCTCGATGCTTTGTGAGTATAAATATGTCTAATCCAAACAATTATTCGCAATATTCCATTATGTTCGGATTAATGTTCATGCGACAATAAAGATATTCCAACATTACCGCAAAATATACATAAAAAACACCAGATACATAACACTTTTTGAACAGCACGTTTTTTTGCAAAGATGATCGATATACGAATTAGCCTCTAGATACCACGCTTCTGTTGCCCGTTGTCTCCATGGCAACGCGGCTAGACAACGCACGCGAGGTCCCTAAATCCCTATTGTATCCTATTTGTCCAATTTATGTCTAATCGCACCTCTACAAAAATCCCTAAAGCTAAAAAGCCCGCAAAAGAAGGGAAGCCGAAAGAAAAGTCGACAAAATCGTCAAAGGTAAGCGGGCAGAAGCATATCCAATGGTGTTTTAGAAAGAGAAATCTTCTGACAAGGAGAATGGACACCGAAGTACCAAAAAGCAAAAGCCCAGAACCCCAACCCCAGAACCACCAAAAGCCGTTCAAGCTGATGAGTACGAATACGAGGTTAACAAACATCAATGTAATTTGAAAATATCAAATAAATTAGGACGACTTCGAGGTTTATGAGGAAGATTTTGAAGAAGACGTTGAGGACGAGGTTCCTCATGATACAACGCAAAAAGGCCGGGACGCTCAACAAGGAGAGGGAACACAGCAGAAAGCTGCAGAAGTGGTGGAAGAGAACGGTAGCCCCGAGTCAACCCAAAGGACAGCGCGTGCTGATGAATATGTTGGTTCATACTTGACTTTTTATTGTCATAATATTTTTAGGAAGTTGTTAAAGATGAAGACGACACTCCAATGCTCCGAAGGCTCCGAACAGCCCAAGGCGGCCGAACTCCAATCAGACCTCCAGCATCAGTGATTCAGGCCAAACCCAATGACATTGTTGAGCAGGTATTAAGATGCAGATAGAAGCTTACAACTGGAATTGGGTCTTAGATCGACCGTCATCCCAGTGCCGGGAGAAGAATTGCCGTCGCCGATACTGATGTAGCCATGCCAATGAACTTTGGGTCTGACGGTGATCTCCAACGACGCTATGAAACTCTAAAACAACTTATCGGTATGTTGATTCTGATTAAACACCCAAATTGAAATCTCAGGGCTGGAATCGGTCGGGTTTCGAGTCTTAGAACGGCCACCGATTCGGGATTACAATTTATATTTGGAAATCTTTGGGGATAGTGGAAAAACACAGGTTTCGATTATTTTTTTTGAAAAATAACCGGTAATTTTTTAGTCTTATAGTCAAACTGGAGATGATAATGTGAATGAGGAAACCCAAACCGATGAGCTGAACGGAAACAATATCTGGACTCAACATCCACCTGGGGTAAATTTTTTAGATTCTTCATTTATCTTATTTTGCTTAGGATCTGTTTGGCTGTGGTACGGATGCCGATGCTCATGTGGTAATTACTGATGAAGATCTGGCACGGGAAGTCATGAATATTTTCTATGTAATTTTTGAAACGCACATTTCTTTCAACCCGTTGCTTAGAAAAGTTCTGCTGGGGATCCGAAACTTGTTGATTTTGTGAATACAGCGGCGAAGGTCAGATTGAGCCGGAAGTTTTGAGAATGTTTATTTCAGGTGATGCTCAAGTATCTTGGGGAGCGCAAGAGTGCATATGTCGAGATGAACAATAGAAGTGAAGCTGCTTTTAGTTCTGGATATAATGTATTAACACTGGGACAACTTTCGAAAGGTAAGAAATTCAGCTTGAAAAGCCGAAAATTGGGAATATTTCTGAATAGCATTTGGGAATAGATATATCCAAAAATGAATGATGATTTAACTAGAAAGATGGATTTTCGTCGTCCGTTTGCCGTATGCTTGTTTGCCGTCCGCTTAGAGTTAGAAACATGTTAATAATTTTAATTCAATGCGCTATTTGTGTGACGGGTCTGCTGTGAGCTATCTCTTTGGTGTGCTTTGATTCTATGGAATCATAACTTTGCTTTGCGTGTGCTTTTTTAACAATTTTGAGTGGCTATTGCATGGAAAATAGGGTTTGAAACAGAGAGGGCACTATTTCGCTGTTTATAAACTCTAGAATACACGATGGCATGGTAATATGTACACTAACACATGCGTGTAGAGGAGTGCGTTTTTGATATCGTTGGTAGTAAAGAATTTAAGCAACCTTTTTAAGCCATATTTTTACTATGTTTCGCGAATTCGGATTTTCAGACGTATTCTGAAATTCCCAAAAACGCACTCCTCACCATCCACTCTCATCACACACTAATCCATCTTTTTAGGAGCCTCTAGCCTGGAGCTAGTTGAACAAAGACTTTTCCGTGAGCCTTTTCGCATTCCTCTATTAGATGAAACACATTTAGGGTCTCGTTGCAACGTATTGCTAAGGCCTATCCTCGAAGAACATACAGTTCTCTGTGTTTTTTATGTGAAAGATAGTGTCGCCGAGGATCTGATCCAAAAGTCGTTGCTGGTTGAATTTTTTATGGACGATATACGACCTCCAAAAAGGTATTATAGGGCAGAATGATAAAAACTAAGCTAAGCCTAAGCCTTAGCCTAACCTAAGCTATGTGTGCAAATTTTAGAGTATTTGTATCTGAAGGTGAAGTGAAATGTTGTGCTTATTCGCCAGATGGTACAGTACTCTTTGGTGGAGTGGTAAGCTTAAATACGTAATTGCTAAATAACATACAGGCTGACGGTTCTTGTGTAGCATGGGATCTTCTCGAACCCGCAGCTAATTATGCGAATGAGATACCGTGGCCAGACTCAAAAGATGACATTGTTTTGCGGTATTGAATACTCAAATACCGTATTGTTTGTATATTCCAGAAGCCCCGCCTACGATACATCGTTTTTGAGCAGCACTTTCTCATCGAACAATAAAACCGCGGCTTGTGTGTCGATAACAATCATCAACAACCCAAAAACGTAATTCGGCTATATGGAATGATTTTCTTTCTTAGGCAAACTTATCAAGTGGCTTGTTTGGATGAATGCGGAACAATCTCTGTTTGGTCAGGTAGCAAAATCAAATTACAATCTATAAACTTAAAATACAGTCTTACGCGATGCCCAAACCGCAGATAATCTTGGAAGCCGACCCGAATCCACGCTGGCTATGGGTCTGACAGCACTCTTGAGACCAGATTCTGCAATACTGAGGTAATTACGGAATTCGGTTATTATATTCTTAGTTCAACCTCAAATCCAACGTTCCTTATTGCAAATTGTATGATGTTAAATGCAAAGGATCCTATGCATTTCATCGTCGGCACCGACGTCGGGTTCTTGATGACCATCTCGAGAAGCAAATGGGGGAATTATGCGGGGCCGCGACTGTATAAGAGCAATATGAGTAGGTTGCTTTTGCGTACACTATGTATTCGGCACTGAATTAATTCAAAGACTAAAAGTTTGCATTTTTAGATGTATTTGGCGAAGTTCTTTGTCTAAAGCCTTCACCTTTTGATGAAGATGTCTTTGTGGTAAGTAATAAATGACATGATATTTAGCACTGATTTAACCTAGGCTGGTCTTTCTTCTGGTTCCATCTCTGTACACCGCACGAATCATTCGGCTCCGTTGGTAATTTTGGTACCACCTGCAGAAGCGCGAAGGCGTGTGGTAGCCATTGAATGGAGCCCTAGGTTTGCAAAAAATTACTTATAATTATTATTATATTATTAAAAATTTAGCTACCCGTCAATACTATACTCGATCCATTCGCCAGATCGGGTGGTGACTTGGGATCTCGGAAAGGGACAGCAACCATTAAATGTTTCAAAGCTGTTTATCCCTTATGGAACTTCGTAAGTTGCTACAGCTAGCTAAAGCACGATTTTTTTAGGATTCTCTGTACCCATACTTGGTTTGCAAAGCCAAGGACAGACTCTACCGGAATTAGTTATATGGTAAGCTTTATTTGTAAAGTATCGTCAACTTCCGATCGAGCTTAAATTGTTGTTTTTAGGCTATTGGTATTTCGGATGGTCAAGTGCAACTTCACGCCCTCGAGGCCGTCCATCCGATCGTCGATTCCAGCATTACGAGCATTATTAAGATTTTGAAGAAAGCCGGTGTGGTGTTATAAAATATTCCTACAATTTCTAATAAATGCTTCTTCGCTTGTATTAGACAATAATTTCATTATGCAACAGCCTAGGTGACAGGTGCTCCCATTGACCTCTCAATGATCAATGACGGTCGAAGGTAGTGTAATCGGTACGGTCACGTAACGGGAAACCCCGCAGGCAAAGTCTGTTCCCTCAATCCGCACCCCACACACCGCGCAGACGGACGGCACTCGGAGAACGATCAGAAGCCCTCGGCCCGAAATGTGTCAATATCCATCCTGACACGCCGCCCACCCAGCAAATATTTATCGACGACCATTTTCGAACGAGCGGGAAGTGGCCGCAGGGCCAGAAAGTCGGGCGAAGTGCTTGGGTTGGGTCTTGATCTTTGCACCGAATTATTGAAGTTGAAGTCAATTAAATAATATAAAAGATATACGATCAATCTAAAGCTAGACAGTAATACCTTAGCAAACATACCTTTGGCAGAGTGCCGATTTTATGGATTTAGAGATTGTTTGGATCATTATAGTGGTGTAGCCGTATTCTTTCCGTGCCAGACATCTGTGTCAAGCTAGGTAAAAACATACTCTTCGAAACAAGTAACGAATTGCCAATAATGGCGTCTGGCTATCACTCGTTCTCCCAGGGCGAACCGAAAAAAGGGAAATGGCTGCCAGTGGGTGGATCGAGCATCGCTCGTAACGAGGAGAAGAAAAAACAGATGTACTTTGTTGATGGCAACGTACAAGATTGTACGCGGGATTTTCGCATGGCTTTTTCCATTCTAGGGATATATCATCTACATCCTCTGAAACTGCAAAAAAACACGAACAAACCCGTTGGCAATTGCTTATAAAGACCAGGCTCCCGAAACACGATCCACAAAATTCTGTTGTAAATAGCTATTTCAACAACCAAAACCAAAACAGCAAACCACATCAACTTACTTAAATTGTAAGCAGTGTGCATTGTGAGATCGAGAGGCGGGGGTGTGACCCTGACATTTGCTCCCTGTCTCTCGCTCTCTCAATCTTTCGCCATCTTTCTCCCCCCCTCTCTCTGCCCCTTTTCAACCAACCGACTGCCCGAGGAAGCCTTCCTTCCATTCCTCCTCTCCACCCCAGCAGCCCCGGGAAAAGATGGTTTCTGTCGAGTCGCGCGCCTCGATTCATCCGCACGCGTCAAAACGGGCCCCTCCTCTTTCCGCTTTCCTCGCCGTCTATTCCGCGCGCAAGTCCGCGGTGGATTGGAATCAGTGTCCGCTTTTAGGAAGGCTTCTGTTCTTTTGAGAGAGTTTCGATTTCAAAATGGACTCTTGTCATGCAGTTTTTGGCACATTTAATCTTTGCTTCATATCGTCATACATTTTCCTGTTTTTAAGGGAAGTAAGAGAAACTCCCGCCGGCGTCGCCCCTTTTTATTTGATTGTCTCTAGTACGACGGGTACGGTATCCAGTGTAATTCCCGAAATTTTTGGGTCTTGAAGACCGCTTTCTTTTGTTTTCAAAGAACAGTCTTCACTGTGCATAGTGCTTCCCGAATTTGATGTCAAAAAGATGAAAAAGATCCACTTTTCTCATCGATATAATCAGCCCGCACATCCGATGAATACCATTTATTTGCAATCAAAAGGCGCGGACCAGAATTTTGCAAATGAGCAAATTCTCACACACTTTTTCTCAATCCGCCCGCAATCCACCAGCTGGCGTCGCCTCTCTGCCAGACCGAACACATCCCCCTAACCACCACGGTCCACCACAAAATTTGCTCACCCCCGAATGCTGTGATCGTCGCATCTTTCCGTGCACCGCAGCAATCCACCAGACATTGAGAGTTACCTACGAGCTACCTGGGTCGTCACCCGGTTTTATCACCAGGATCCAGCAATTGATCCCCCGGAACCGTGTGCCCCAACCCCCCCACCCCATGCACAATTTCCCTCAAAAACTTTCCTTTTCACCCCCTCCCCCCCCTCTTTTCACGGCGAGCACCAGCCCGGACTCGTGCCTCGTCCCGAGCTAACTCCTTGGTTTCACGGGTACCGATGATGAAAAGCGGTTAGCTGATGAAATGTTATTGGTTTTGGTGGACGCGAGACTAGGTTTTTCTCGATTTGTGCTGGGCTTCAATAACGATCATGATTATCGCTCCTCGATAGTTATGCTCAGAATGCTTACATTTCGCAAATATTTTAAAAAATGATAAGACTATCACATTTTTCATTTTTTACATGGCGTTTTAGTATATTGTTGAGCCTCAACTCGTCGTTTTTGCAAATGTAAGCTCAATTACGGCCAAGCTTCTTACACATCGACAGTTTCTTTTCATATTGTTCAATATCGAAATTAAATGTATCGGATGTTTTTTTTTAATCTGATGAAACTATCACACTTCTGCTGGTCTTATTTTTGTATGCCCAGTTATCTCTGAATAATTCTCTGTTGAGCTGCATTCTCTCGAAAAACATTTGTATGTATTTGATATATTTTATGTAGCACCCTTGGGATACCTTAAGTTCATCCAAAAAAGTTTAGAATTTGCCATCTCCTATCCATCCTGTCATTTCCCGTCGAGATCAATATGGTCGTATCGCGCATTCCAATCTGTCAAGGTCTCAGACGTCATTGGCTCCTTTTTTGGCGTGTTGTCTGGTTTTCGTTTTATTTTATTTTGTGTATCGTCAATCACTTTTGAATATTTAGTTCCCGTAATAGGGTTTCCGGCCGAAGCAGTCCCGATGCGCGGCAGCGGCATCGTGCCAACGCCGCGCGGCTGCCTCATCTGGTTTTTATTTTTCCAGCTGGCAGCAGGTTTGCGTGTCATATTTTTGGCTATAGGCCATTGAATGCCAACTTTTTATTATATTATATTTGATTTCTAGGGCTCGAAAAAATCGAAGAATTACAACGATACGATGGATGGTTTAACAACCTTGCCAACCCGGATTGGGGCACAGTTGGTGAGTCATTTATTGACATCTCTGCTCTCCATCTACTCCTTCTTACCACTTACCAATTTTGGCGCCATACCACTATGATCGCCATCTGACTCTTACAAGTGGTCGTGTGAGTCGAAATAATATGTGGCCAACCCGGGTGAGAGGGCCCAGGCATGCCGAATGACCCTTTGAGATTTTGGGCAAACATGTTCGGCACATTTCATCCCGCTGTGTCGCGTTACTCTCAGTAATCTTAGTGAGGGGACCTGGCACGCCGGGGTGGGTGTCGCTGGGTAGAAGAAAACTAATAGAATAACGGTTTCATCTGGCTGACGTCGCTTTCCTCTGAGGCGCCATGAACTTCGATGTGTAAATAAAGGGGATTTGCTTTTGGAGATGAGCTAAAAATAAATAAAAATGACGTGCTATGAAACGTGGGAGTCGGAGATTGAAACTGCGCTTAAAAAATCCGACCGTTTTCAAAGCGCTAAAAACAAAGCGTCAACAATTGCGAAAATGGTTTTTAGGTAGTCGTCTCCACCGAGACGCTCCATCAAACTACGAAGATGGTGTCTATATGATGGATTCATCGCTCCCATCAGCAAGAGCCATTTCTGAACTTTTATTCAAAGGACCCGCTGGCATCCCGAGTCAAAGAAACGTCACCACGATGCTTACATTCTTCAGTAAGCTACTAACCTCCTTAAAATGCTAAAATTTGAATATTAATTACATTAAACGACCATTTCCAGGCCAGGTCGTCGCATACGAAATTATGCATTCAACCCAAACCGGTTGCCCACTCGAAATCACGAAAATCAAGGTAATATTGTTGATCCTATGATTTCGCAACAGCGGATTTCTTTTAGGTTCCACGCTGCGACCCAGTTTTTGACAAAAGCTGCGAAGGCAAAACGGAGATCCCATTCACGCGAGCGAAATACGATAAGCAAACCGGACTCGGGTTTAACTCGCCACGAGAACAGGTTCGTATGCAAATATTAGGACCTGGAAATATAAGAAAGGCAACAATGGCTTCGTATCTAACAAAATACATTCCAGACAAACGAACGAACGTCATGGATCGATGCTTCATTATTATATTCCACTCAAGAACCCTGGGTTGCCGCCTTAAGGTCCTGGAAAAATGGGCGATTGTCAGAAGGAGATATGAAGGTAAAACCCAAACAGAAATTTAATACCCACTTTCTAGGGTTATCCTCCACTCAACAACCCTCATATCCCAATCAACAACCCTCCGCCACCACAAATCCATCGGCTGATGAATCCTGAGCGATTGTTTAGTAAGCTTACGACGATTTTTTCATAACTTTTTTTCAGTATTGGGTGATGCACGTATTAATGAGAACCCAGGACTACTCTCATTTGGGTTGATTCTATTCAGATGGCACAACCATTGGGTAATTTCTCAATATTTTATCAGAAAATACATAATTCCAGGCCGATGAAATCCAACGTAATCATCCCGATTGGAAAGATGAGGATGTTTTTCAAGCGGCTCGACGATGGGTAGTGGCCACATTGCAGGTTGTTTCATAGGTCTAACGGTAACCACGCTATTGCAGAAAATCGTGATGTACGATTTTGTACCAGCGCTGCTAGCCGATGAAGCCGCCGTTCCACCGTATCGGTAAGTGTTCACTGGTTTTTTAATGTTCTCTAAGTGCTTACCAGCCGCATGTACCGCCAGGCATCTCACACGCGTTTGCCACAGCTGCGTTCCGATTCCCGCATAGCATTGTGGGTTTTTAGTGTTTTAAATTCAGCAATTATTTAGGTTCCACCGGGTATGCTACTCAGGAAGCGTGGCTCCAAATGTGAATTCCGTTCTGAAGTAATATCTAATTTTTGGGACCATGCTTTCTCTAGGTCGGTGGATATCCTGCACTTCGTCTCTGCCAAAATTGGTGGAACGCTCAAGATATCGTCAAGGAATATTCGGTTGATGAGATTGTGTTGGGTATGTAGTCATGGAATTTTTCAAAACCAATTTCAGGAATGGCCAGTCAAATTACGGAAGCTGAGGACAATATTGTTGTTGAGGATCTGCGAGGTATAGCAGTATTTTATTTTTATTTTTTTTTAGATTACATCTTTGGTCCCATGCATTTCACTCGGTTGGATGTTGTCTCAACTTCGATAATGAGGGGACGGTAGGAAATTGGCACAGTTTTTAACGATTTTTATAGGGATAACGGTGTTCCATCATACAATGTAATGAGGCGTCAGTTCGGACTGTCAGGGAAGAGCTGGGAGACGTTGGCTCCAGAATTTTTCAGTAGTCCTGAAGGGCAAGCTGTAAGTGGAATTTTTAATTTCTCGATTTTTTAAAGAAAATTACCCATTTAAGAAATTCCCACATTCTAGGCTTTATGATTTCAAATCTATTTCTTTCCAGCGCCTAAGAAACTTGACCAATCTCTACGGCAACGATATCAATAAACTTGACGCATACGTGGGCGGGATGCTGGAAACAAATGGAACCGGTCCCGGGGAACTATTCTCGAAAATTATCATGGATCAATTTGTTCGGCTTCGCGATGGTGACAGGTAATTATTGGCCTATTTTCCCTAACACCGCACCCTTCTCGCTCTTACAGATTCTGGTTCGAAAACCAGTTGAATGGGATCTTCAATGCCGAGGAGATACAAAGGATCCATTCTATCTCCCTGCGTGACATCATAAAGGCCACCACAAACATTGATGCTAGTATGCTCCAAGAAAATGTGAGGGGGAAAGCATGGGATAGGTTGAAGCCGAAATTTTAGGTATTTTTCTGGAAGGATGGTGATCCGTGCCCACAGCCATTCCAGGTAAATTCAAGAAATGGTGATTTCAATTGATTTGTTATTTTTCGGTCAATACGACCGGTTTGGAAAAGTGTACCCCATTTATGCGATTCGATCATTTTACTGGGAATGAGGTTACCTATATTTTTACGCTGATTGGATTGGCATGTGTTCCGATTGGTGCGTTTTTAATGAAGTCCCACTTAACCATTGAACTTATATACTGAATTGAAAAATTGATATTTAGTATGCTTTGGAGTTGGGCAAATACTAGTCTCCCGACGAAAGAAAATGGGCTGGGATTCTGCATACGATGGAATGAATGCGAACGCTGTTGATCACCATCCAGATGGCGAGGTCCATTCTTGCCCAGGTATGCCAAAATGTGTTAAAATATAATAAATATAACTATTTAGCGATCGAATGGCTGCACGAAACACACTGTCGAAGTGTGGTTGTGGTCGTCGAAAAATCTGCGTCGCTGGTGGTAAGAAAACCCAGAGGAGGTGAAAAGAATCGTGACCGTGTTCTACGGAGGATCAAGGTATTTCGGAACTTTGGCAGTTTTATTGATATTTTAGTTCCCTTCAAACACAACTATAAAAATTCTTCTATCCCATCCAAAGGCTAGTTCCGTTCATGGGCCATTCTGCCTTATCCAGGTCCCGAAACTCCATGATTTGGTATGAACCTATGGTGTTCTTCAACTCTTTTAGGTCGTTCGTCTACCATCCGATTCTCATAGCACCGAATTCTTGCGTCATTTGAATACATCGGTTGCAGCTGTAAGTGGGCAATCCATATTCGTATCCTTCTTTTTAGATTGGCTCTAAAGTCGAGAAGGAGCACGTCGAAAACGAGCTGTTGTTGAGTCAGGCCGAGACGAAAGACAAGAGGAAGATGAAGCTTGATCATTTCTTCCGGTACAGAATTGTGCACCTACGATAATTTCAATAATTTCAGAGAAGCTTATGCTCGTGCCTTTGATCAACCACAACTTTCGGATGCTACTTTGGAATTTGATTCTCATGAAGCTGATATGTTGGCTACAAAGCTAACCCGGTATTTTTCTAGGGCTTATTTTAATCCAATGTTTTTTCAGAAGTGAATTTGCTGATGCAATCGGTATGCGAGAAAACGACCTCTTTGTACAGCGGATGTTCGCTGTCACGGCAAAGAAACACCAAGACACCATCACCTTCAAGGAATTCTTGGATGTCATCAGGAAATTCCAAGCTGGTAATGATTATCCCTTTAATTCATTCTATTTTTAGGCGATACGAAGCTAAAGCTCACACTTCTCTTCACAATGTGCGACCGTAATGGAGATGGATCGGTCGAGAAGGAGGAGTTCGTCGAGTTCATCAAATCACTGAATGGGGTAGCCGGAGTGCGACTCGATCCTCTCCAACTGGGCAACGTTATCGATGCTATATTTTACAAGAATGGTAGGACATCAAGGATTTCTTGATTGGTTTTTAGGAATTGCTCCTCATCAGGAAAAACTGTTGTATGACGATTTCGAGAGCTTATTCCAAGGGGATTCGATTCGACGCCCGGTTGGGGTTGATTTCCGAGGCGCCAAGATGAGGGTCAATTTGGATGAGTTTGTTTTTATCACCTTTCAGCGTAAAATAACATTCATTTTTTAATATCAAAGAAGATTCTTTGTTTAGAACCGAATCGTTGAACTCATTCGCCGTTCCGCCCGGAAATATAGCTTGTTTGACCCAGGTATCCCTAGGATCTTATTTCCAGAGCGCAATATAATTTTTAGGATATTTTTGGCTCGGCATTATCCTTTTTGGAAACCTACAGGCAGCAAATCGTCATCCTTTTCGCCTACTTTTCCGTGAATGCCCTAATTTTCTTGGAACGATTCTGGCGTAAGTTTAATTTGGCTAAATAAAGGCAGAAATATAAATTCAAGAATTCTGTGGTAAACTTCGAGCAAGACTTTTTTAGATTATCGCTACGAGGTCGAACATCGCGATCTGCGACGAGTGATGGGCGCCGGGATTGCCATTACGCGTGGTGCAGCCGGTTGTATATCGTTTAATATGGTAGTTTTGCTTAGCTTTAATAATATTATTGAAATAGGCATTGATTCTGTTAACGGTTTGTCGAAATGTGATTACATTGGTCCGAGAGACACCGCTTGGAGAATATGTACCGTTCGACTCGGCGATTGCGTTCCACAAGGTAACCCCTATAGAAATATTCAAATAAAACTCATTAATGCTTAATAATTTTTTAAGCACTTACAAAAAACTTGAATTTACATGTCTTTAGATCGTTGCGATCACTTGCGCTGTCTGGGCCGCTACTCATACGATCGGACATTGTGTCAACTTTTATCACGTTGCAACTCAAAGCCAGGAAGGGTTACATTGCCTATTCCAAGAAGCTGTCTTTGGGTAAGCCTTTCAAACTTCACAAAATCAATTCTTTAAGCTCTAACTTCCTTCCCACCATCAGCTACTGGTTCTACAACACAATTACCGGGCTAACAGGTAAGAGAAAATCACCTAAAACCCATGAAAAACAAACCCATATTTACATGAATATTTAAGGAATTCTGCTTGTGTGCGTCATGTCAATCATCTACGTATTTGCTCTACCTTCCATCATGCGAAGAGCCTACCATGCTTTCCGATTGACACATCTCTTGAATTTTGCCTTCTACGCCCTGACGATGCTTCATGGTCTCCCGAGGCTTTTGGACGTGAGTTTCTGATTAAACCCAAGGTCTAGCTATAAAATGCTTTAGTCCCCGAAATTCTGGTACTATGTAATCGGGCCTATAATCGTATTCGTCATCGATCGAATTATCGGAATGAGGCAAGAATACAAGAAGTTGCAGGTGCTGAATGCAGCATTATTGCCATCCGGTAATTATCGACACCTCGCAATTTTATTACGTAAATTTTAGACATTATCTATCTACAGTTCAAGCGGCCAATGTCATTTAAATTCAAATCAGGTAGGTGGTTCAAAGAGTGCTTATCTCTTGAAAACTGGAATTTTCTAACTTTTATGGCACATTTTTAGGCCAATGGGTTAGGATTTCATCTCCAGCCTTTTCTTGCAACTTCAACGAGCACCATGCCTTCTCCTTGGCATCCGCACCACAAGCACCAACGTTGGAGTTGTATATAAAGGTTTGTTAATAGGAAATAGATTATGTAAATATGTTAAGGCGGTCGGGCCCTGGACCTGGAAGCTTAGGGCTGAAATCATGAAGGCACAGGCTAATAGTTCGCCTTATCCATTGATACATTTAACCGGACCATATGGCGATGGAAATCAGGTATGTAATTGAAGCGCTACCCACGATTTATATCGTATATATACATACGATATAATAAAATAACTGACTCTAAAGCCACCACTCTATTGTTTTTTTCAGGATTGGACGAATTATGAAGTAGCAGTGCTGATTGGCGGTGGTATCGGTGTGACACCGTATGCCTCTACCTTAACCGACCTGGTACTAGAAACCAGTAGCGGAAAGTATAACCTAGTCAAATGCAAAAAGGTCTGAAACATAATATCAATTTACGCTAAATGAATCAAGGTTTATTTCCTCTGGATCTGCCCGACGCATAAGAATTACGAATGGTTTGTCGACGTGCTAAAGGGTATGTATTTGTATTGTAATTGTATCATATTTATCAAAAATCAGCACCTTTAAATATTTATTTAGCCTCTAAGCAAATAATTAACTCTCTAAAACTAATCTCAAATTATCGTAATCTAATTTTTCATCGAAATAATTTTTCAGATGTGGAAGACCTTGACCAGGGTCGAATCCTGGAGACCCATATTTTCGTCACGCAATTCTTCCACAAGTTTGACTTGCGGACCACGATGCTGGTAGCTTAAGCTGCACTATAAAAAACCAAAAATTTTAGTATATATGTGAAAAGCATTTCCGTGGCTCAAACCAGGGGAGCTCGATGTTCACCGGGTTGCGGGCTGTCAACCATTTTGGGAGGCCCAACTTCGAGACCTTCTTCCGGTTCTTACAAAATAAGCACAATGAGGTGAGAAATTTTGTAATTGAAGTAGATTAAATTGCTTATTACGACCATATATTCAAAAACCTTTTAGATCGACGACATCGGCGTATTCTCATGTGGTCCAGCTTCCGTCAACAAGCAAATCCGATTAGCATGCGGACAAGCCAACCGAATCCGCGACGCGCCAACTTTCCACCATAGATTCGAGACCTTCTAATCGCAAAATTTTATTTGAATTAGGAGCTTAATCTTAAAGGGTCATAAATTCGCATCTTGTCTCTACTACCAACCAAAATCCCTTTCGCCCTCATATCCTCCTCACCTCTTTGGTCCTGTCGTGCTGTGAGCCTTTTATTATGGGTAGATAATAGTAAACATTTACCTGTTTTGAAGAATAATTCTTATCTAGTCTCCCTTCCCCCTGATTTTATTTGAATACATTCTAAAAACTGCCAGACTGGGTTCTCTGCTTTTAATGTTGTCTTGTGATATTGGCGCCGCCGCATTGCTACAGATGAGCTCACGTCGCACACGTGTTTATTTGCGGATTACATTGTTTTAGAAGCTTATGATGATAAATATACATTTTATCCCAAAAGAATGTAAATGCACATACCTTGAAACTAGCGTTGTACTAACGAGTAAGTATCACAGGTAGAAATGATGTAAAACGAAAGACGAAATACACGTAAAGAGGTAAACTTCTTTAAGCTAATTTTTTACATAATTATTCCAAAATAATTTGACGTAAATCACCATGCCTTTCCTGGAATTCCATCTGACGTACGAGCAGCTCGTGACGAACTTCTGATGCTGATTTATAATTATGCGCAACAAGGAATGTACCATGGTCCTGAAAATATGATTTGATTTTGGTTATTACGGCTTTAATGAATGGATATGAATGGATAATGGATAGTCGTTCACTTAACATACCGTGGACATGCAAACCGGCGGTGGATCAACTCTGCCGCTTTCTTGATATTCGGTCTCAATCATTGTACTGATCATTTTAAAGCACTAAAACAATTTTATGATTAAATAATCTGGTGCTTACATCTGGGACATCAAGCCTTACGCAGCAGAAAGCATAGATTTGCACAATCCGCTTCTCTCCAGAAGCTGGCGGGCACTAAAATTGGCATGATTCGATAGATACTCATTCTATTTATTTTTGGAAACATTTACTTACCTTAAAAACCATCTCAATATGTTTACGTACGGATTCGATCTGTTTCTTTCGGTCACCACTAGCAGATGTGTAAAGGTTCAGCGTGAAATAAGGATAATGGCGCATCTATATTCATTCAATCTGTATAAAATTAAACTATCCCCACCTCATTTATCAGCTCCAATATTTCAGGTTCAGATGGAAGCGGTGTTCCTGGATATTGGACGTTGAAGACGATCTGGAATTGGGGGAATTTTGTGTTCTACCTAATTGGCTTACCTCTTGCTGATCAACAAATTCGACTGGAAATTTTGCTGCAAATTCGGTGAGCAGCGCTTTATGGGTCCAACCCCATGTTGCATTCCTTTGGACGCAACGATCCAAAAATTCCAGTTTCTCATCGCCAAAGAAGTGGTTCCGGATTACAGGACGGGCTCTCTTAAAGCAAAATAATATGATCCATCCATTCTAAACGTACCGATGGAGCATTACTCCATTCCAACACCGCTATTTCCATCATTCTGGTCAACATATTTAACTTTTTCGCGTATTTCTCTGGGCCCATATGCATTTCATTGAACGTCATTTTTCGGAAGAATCTAAAAATTCTTGTGGAGTACCCTTTGCTGTGCTTACCTGGCGCTGATACTTAGGCTACACCCTTCCTGCCTCATTGTGCAGGGTTCTGCGATTTCAATTTCCAGAAAACAGCCTTCGCGTGTCGAAAACACAAGCATCAGCTGAAATTAAATAAGAATTTGTTAAATTTTGGTTGATTACCTTTCCAACGCTGATCACCATCTCCAGCTTATTTACGCGCAGCCCATCAAAGGTTGAGAGCAACGGCTTAGAAGCATTTTGCTGAAATTATTTTTTTGTTGACGGCCCTCACTGCTATGCATAAGAACCGTACCTTCCGTGTGTGCCGAAGTACCCAGCGTGATTGAAGATCTAGGTGTTTGTAGACCTGATCTCGGGCCAAAGCGGTAAGGTGCTCAAATGGGAACGGAGATGTGGCTTTGCGCTTCATCTGGAGTTTAAAGCTTTAAGCAATACAAGGCAATCTATTATTTCCATAAAAAGGTTAATTAAATAATAAAATAAAATCCAAAATTGAAAAAATCGAGCGATAAAAATTTTCATGGGTGGAAAATGAATGAAGAACTGTTGGAAAATCCAGATGTGACACAAGGTCCCTATTAGTGTGCCATAGATATGGTAAATTGAATCGATCAAAAAATGATCGCGCGGTATGACGCACAAAACATCTGCAAAGCAATCACCTTGAACACATCAGCGCGTTCAAATAGATTTATGGCCTAATGGCTGCCAATAAATAAGTTTTCTGTATATGAAAATACATAAAATGAAGAATAAAACCTCCTATAAGTGTTAAAATCCTGCGAAATGTTAATAAATAGCAGCTATCCTGGGTTTTTAAACATCTTACGCGAAAATGAAGCTTAAACGCCCACAGTTTCTCTATATCAACATATTTGGATGTTCAAAAAAAACCGAAGCACTCTCGAAAAGCTGGTTGATGCCATTTGACCTTTAGAAAATTTGAGTTGTTTGGGTGGCGTTGCCTGGGGTATTGCGGGAGAGAAGAGGGATTGGGATAAGAGAAGAGAGCACAGGGAGCACCGATCGAAATGTCGCATATTGTTGTGGATATTGCTTTTGGTACTTGGTAGCACCAGTGTAGCGCCAACATTAAGCGAGCTTTTATTGTTGATTTTTAACTATTATTAAATTATTCAACATGAGACATCCAATTAAGCTATACCGTAGCTCTTTATTGCTTAGCCTCACATCATCCTTGCAAAAAATACAGATCAAGTACGAGCTAGATTCGGTTCTTGTGTGTTAATTTGCAGAAATAGATGCCCGGACCGTACCGTTCGGTGCCATCCGCTCACAACTCAAATTTTTCTGCTAAAATTAAAAATAGGCGAGATTGTGGGTCTTTAGGGACAGGTGGCCCATTAAAAAGCAGGAGTTAGCAAGGTGTTTTTCAGAGGCCACACATTTCTAGGGTTCAGCTTTCTTCTCAAAGTCAAAGTAAGTAGCTAAATTACGCATGTGATAGTAAACGTGAGAACCTGATGCTTGTCACCTTTTACGCTCCATAATCCTACTCAAATTCAAATACCATCAACTACGGTAGTTAATGACTTTTCCCTCTTACCGCATTTCTAGCCAACGGTAATCCACGTGTAGATGGAATTTTCTGCGCCGCTGGCAAAGTTCCTCATAATGTCAGCGGGAAATTGGGTTGATGCCTAACTTGGGAAGAGAAGAACCCATCTCATTTGGCGGATGGAAAACAGAAGAGGTCAACCTAAAAGAGCTTTTCCCCATGCGTCTCTTCTCCAAGTAAGGATGAGTAGGTGCAAGAAATATTGGTTTAATAAAGAAGAGCTCCAAGTCGAAGGTTTTTCTGGCTCGTTCCTTCTTTATTGGCTTTGTTTTAGGGGGGTAAATGGCCCGGGAAAAAGTGGCTAAGTGTTCACATGACTTATTCAAGAAATGTTGATTAGGGTTGAAGAGTTATTTTTGAGCATATGAAAGTTGTTAGTTCAAAGTGATATAGGGTTTATCACGAAAATTTCCCAGAGGGGTCCCGGAACTACATATGTTCGGTCTGGTAAACAAGGTGAAAGTGCAGGGTGGCTTTAAAATTCTTGATTTCATGAGCTTTGGAGCTGAAGTTAAGCCTGATTGTGTTTCTTTAGGATTTTGTGCGATTTTAATTTTGTTGTTAATCTGGGAACGGGGGAGGGCTTCTTATATGTCCATCCAGGAAATTTTTGGCATTTTTTTAGTGTTTTTGGCAGTTTTTGAGTACTAAAAGTTGTAAAAAATTCAGTTTGATTTTTACTGCGTTTTCACGCATTATTGCATTTGAACATTTCGAAAGAGTTTAAGAATTTATTTATAAACGTTGTTAAAAGCCATAAACTGTTGTGAATCTGATTATTTATACCTTACACGACCAGGGATAGCCACCCCCCCACCCAACAAGTCCAGCGCTCCAAATTCTAGTTTTTTCCTGCTACCGTAACCCCCTTGGGATTGCCAAATTTTCTGTGAGGTTTGGTCCGATCCTGGTCGGCTTTGCCTCCACTAATTTTCTTCGGTGAGATTTTAGGTGTTGGGAGGTGCATCAATCAGCTGGAAAGGGAGAGGGAGACAAGGTGCGCGGTGTAAGAAGTGCTTTGGTTTTGGGGGTGGATGGGGGAGGAAGAGGCCATGGGGCTCATCCCAACCCGCACCTTCATGCTAATGGCCTCTCCGGCATTTCCTCGTCGTCCCATAACATCCCCATTAAATCCTCAAGCATTTCTGGATTTTAGAGTAATAATTCCTTTTTTCGATCATTCGTTCTGATTTATTTCTGAATCTTCTGTTAAAATTCTATCTATTTGCATTCACAAGACTTTTATTGTTATACCATTGGCTTCAAACTTTTAATAAACAATGTCCCTCCAGTCAGACTTTCACGCAAAATTCAACACGGTCGAATTGCTGTGCGCAAATTCCACAATTTTTGTGAGAATCCCATCGGTTTTTGCAATGCTTGCGCAAAACACAAATTAGGCCTACCACGCATGGACGCCTTTAAAAGGATGGGAATTTCAAAATTTTCTTGGAATGTCCACCATTCCAAGGAGCCCCTTATTCCACATAAACGATCTCTTGTATATGTATTTGAGGCTAAAACAATTCCTGGGTATATGTGTCATTCCAAAAACTTCCCAGGCCAATTCAAGGACTAGTGTCAACGAGAATATTGCGGCAGTATTCATCCGGCTGCAAAATTCACAGCATGTTCTCGAAAATACTCACACCCGATGCCCCCACTTGAAAAGCTGATTCTCGGGCGACGGTCCCCGAAGGGTCCCATGATGAGGTTGTGGGAAGAAGGGCAAGAATTCAGAGCCCTTGTCCCACTATACTTCCTTGATTTCTCAATTCTCGCCTTCACCCCCATTGAGTCACAAAACCATCAACACTCAAATAGCCCGGCACCCGCTTAATTCCTCCCCTTAATTTCCGGGATTTCTTTTCGGTGCAGCACATCACTGACTAGACATTCTAGATATAAACTTCCGAAAATTTCAATAAAAATTTGTGATGGCTACTGTAGAACGTGGGGTTAGGGTATTTTGGGTCGAGAGGTTCTGATTTCCCCTGAGGTTTTTGCGTGCTAGAATTGTTATTTGATAATGTGTCCCACTTATTTTGGGATGGCGCGACGGTTTCTAAAAATATCATGGCCGGCTGCAAGTCTTTAGATGCAGGTGAATGCCATATAGTGTTTTGTCTGATGTACAAATCTGAAATTTATTTCGAAAGTAATTTCTGGAATTTAATAGCACCTTTTGAACTCAAAGTTCAAATATTTTTGTGCGTCTAAATAACTGAATCGCATTCTATTCGTTGTTGGCAGCATCCGCTCCAGAAAATTAGATGCCGTATCCCCCGGCTCGAAGCCAGCCCCGGCCATCAGTGAGCCGTTTCCGGCACACGAGGCTTGCTACGTAATCTACCGCACGTCGTTTTATTCGATGTAGTAAAGCGCGCGCCTCCCCCCTGCCCCCCCCGCGCCAGGAAGCTGACGCACTGAAATACTGCCCGTTTTCCGAAACTCACTCCCCCGAAAAAGCAGCTTGGCAACTAAATTTTTTTAAGGGGCAATTAGCTGAGGGACTGGGGGTGGGCCCGTTGAAGGAGGGGGGTTACATTTCATTCCGATCTCAAATTGCAGACCTCAATCCTTAGCGGAAAATCAACCAAGCGTTTTTGATAAATAAATATGTATTAATAAAGGAGCTACTTTAGAAAACGCCAAACCGCAAGCTCGACTAGAACCTACTAGGTGTTTATTAAGCGTTCTCTGGTCCTCTGCCCTTTGACATTTTGAAATCTAAACGAAATCTAGCCGAACGTTTACCTCCACCCAACTAGATTTGCAGAAGAACTAATTAATTCCTGAAATGCCATCTCGACGCAGCTTGTCCTTTCCCCCTTTTCCGTGTTTTTCAGATGTCACGCCAGCTTCTCTAAATTTTCAGAAAAGCTGCATAAGTTACGCCGGTTTACCTAACACCCATCCCTTCCTTGGTTCCCTATATAAGTCCTGGGAGACTCTCTCGCTCCGGATAAATACCGTCATGATTTCTCATTTTTTTATCCACCAACCCTACTCATAGTGGCTTATTGTTCATGGTATGTTATCCTACGAAATGTCTTCCGCCGAAGAATAAATCCGGCTTTGAACCGTGTCCTTAAAATATACCGCAATATTTACATCTTATTCCTCAATAATCGCCAGCGTCGCTCATCTGGTGGGATTTTCTAGCCTTTTTCTGCCAGGATTTCGCGCCGATTACATTGGATGCGCGCGACGCAAATAATCGCCGTGGTCCCTCCTTCTTTGGGTGGAATAGGAGGAGGAGTAGGGGGGTGTGAGGAGAAAACTTTGATGCCCCGAAGGGTCTTTCATTTGAGGCACTCGAGGCACGGACAGATGTTTCTCGTTTTCCCTCAAAAATGAGATCGGGGGGCCCACGCGGGGGCAGGGAGGGCCTCGTTTTTTCGGCATTAGGTCGACACTTTTTTGATTTTATGGGCAATGATACCGTCTATTGGGTGGTGAGGTGACCTCATCAAAATTCTCTGGGTTTGAAAAATTAAGCGAGCCGATGGAATGCTTGAGATTTCTGATGTGTTCAGCATTTTCCAAGGCCATACTCAAACCCCTTCTAAAAATCGCATTCAATTTCCGGCCTGCCCTACGGAAAACATCCCGTAATTCCGGCTCCAACCTGAAGGGCAGCAGCCAAAAGCCCCCGTATTTTTCTGCGCATCCTTGCAAACGACAATTTTCGTGGTGGCCTCCATAAAGACTGGGTCTCATCAAGAATTCCGGAATGTTTCACCCACCCCCAACTTTGATGGCTGTTTAGTTGAATGGGCTGACGAGTGGCCAGACCGGAGGATGCAGCCTTTTTCAATTAGGCCCACACACACCCCTTTGGCCATTCTGCCAGGGTGCTTTTCTGTTTTAGAGAAAGTTGGGTTGGTTGTGAATTGAAATTAGGATAGGGCTGAGTTAACATCGCTATATAACTTTGTATTCCGCAAAGCATGGTAACAACACTTAATAACAAAATTAGCTGCTCTCCCCTTTTCAATCAAAGCTATTTTTATGTCGTAATTCATTATGCTATCAAATTATTACCAAAGCGAGTATATTCTAGCCACTTTCCGACACATCGGTTTAATAAAATTGCTCGAAACTAGTAATTTACCGTAGCTCGTCGTCTGTAATTTTTCAGCATCAACAGTTTTCCCTCAAAGTAAGGGCTACGGTATCCGACTCTCTCCAAAATACACCTCCCACCCTCAACACCCATGTGTATTTTCCAAGCCCCGCCCCATTGTTGTGCCCTAAAGCCTCATCAGCCATTCCAAAACTTTCGTCCACCCTCAACTTTGATGGATGCCCTCCTGGATGTGCCCCCAATACTAGCCAGAAGCCCTCTTCAATTAGAGAAGTCCCATCCAATTCCGATCCCGTTTCCACTTTTCCATTTCACTCCGCGCGACAGCCGCTTATGTGATCGGCTTCGCTATTTTGGTGGGGGTTGTGCGCAACACTCTTTTCATCTGGGCATCATTTCAAATGGGATCTTTTTTGGGTATGAATATTTAGATCTCTGACGTAGGAAAGTTCAGAAACGAGCGAACCGGTGATCATCCGATGCTTTCAAGCTGTTTTTTTGGCATAGAGGATCGTGTGCAAAAAATAGCACGTCAGAATTAGCATTTGGCTCCCATTGGTCTACGGTAGCTGCAGAGGAATGGTTTTATCCACCCTGGCGCCATCTCTTAATATTCAATCTTTTTTATTGAATAAATCAGCTATTTTTAAACTTCAAACCAAACGCATAAAAACACGGTTCAACAGCTTTTCCCATTTTATTTTCTACCCCTGAAAATCCCGAAGCCTCGACGTAAAAAGTTTTATTTTCTAGAGAATGACGTACTCGCGTAGACCCTAAAATTCATCCATTTTTAGCCTTCCAGCCGCCCAATTTCACGAGCCACCCTCTGGCGCAGCTGGCGATCCGTTTAGCTTTTTTGACCCGAGGCTGGCTGATTTTTTAAAGATCGTACTATGTACGGGCACTCCCAAAACGTCATTTCAACTTTTGCCATCGCTAATAACGGCCCCCTGATTTCCACCTGTTTTTTTTCACACCGTTCCCCTTTCCTCGATATTTTCTTATTAGTGCTTTTTACCCCCTACTGCCACTTACCGACTACGTTATAGGATGGGTTCAAAAGCTTCTAAAAATAAAAAGAAGCCCTCGACACATGAGGAACAATCGACTTCACAACTCGTGGTGAAAACAGCGAAATCTCCGAGTTTGAGTTCTATGGAAGAGGATGATGATCTTCCGCTAATACAGAACTCAAAGCCAATTTTGAATCAGAATTATAGGTAGGGGAAATCATGAATTTTAAATTTTGGTATCTAGAGAGCTGGTGCTCGATTGTTTTAATCGTGCTCATAGCGATATGGCGCTTCGGATAGTGGTGAGAGCTGGACAGCACCGGAAGGATATTAAACGATGGGTTGCGTCGAGTACAGAAGAGGTGCCTTAATCTTCTTCAATTTTTGAACCATGACGTTTAGATCAACGCAAATTTCCGAGACGTTTTAACTGATTTTCTAAAGACTGTAATGCAAAATATTGATTCTACAGAAACGGTACTGATATCATAATTTTTTAGAGCTATAATAATGTTGCAGATACATAAATTATGCACAGACTACGGTATTTCTCACGTGCCAATGCGAAAAATTGGATTTAAGGTAAGACTTTCTAATTTTCAAGCAGCTAAAAAATAATTTCCAGCCGGATTTCTTTGCTGGCCTGGCCGACGCTATCATTTCCGAATTTGTTTTCCTCGGCACCGAAGTGGTTAGCCAATATCCGGCCAATTGTTATCGGGTTGGTAGTACAAGGGTTATCTATAAAGTTTGGGTAATATTTTATGCTAATTTTTATCGTTATAATGCTCCTAATTTCTATTAATCTGACTGGATTTGCGTCGTTTCTTGATGAAACGCGGTTTCAGGCTTGGACGCGTCTTATTGGATTTATGTTTACTTCTGTGCGAGATGGATATTACGTTGAGCTACGCCGGGTCCGGAAGCAAAAGGCGTTAATTGGGAACTACGGTATAAAATTGAATTCAGTAATATTATTGACTGGTTATTTAGTGCGCCCATCGATTTCGTTTGAATCGAGCAGTTCCTCAGCTTACAACGAAGACTCCGGCATCCATTCACATGAGACGTGAGTGAATTGGTGGAAGGGCTTGTGTGGGGGTGTGTAACCGGATGCCCAAATAGGGCTGCTGATTCTAGGCATGGAAGAGAAGGGGGAAGAAATATTCTGCGCACTTCAGACGGATAGCGGGCGGGGGTGAATGGCAATATGCGTATCTGATGTTTGGAAATAGGCGTAAATGAATTATCGGGGAAGCAAACATTAATCGAGGGTGACTTGAAAATCGCCTGCCAGACAATTTCATCTTCCAATTAACATACCGACAAATCACACATTAATAGTGCAAAAACCACATCTATGTTACACCTTAATTTCCAGCTCTTTCGCCACTCTACACCAACTCCCGGCACCATCCCCATCCCCTGTTTCTGCCCCTCGAAAAAGCAGCGCCCCAGTACTTGGACGTCAAAAAAGTAGGCCCTCATTTTAAATACCAACCTCGATCTATTTTCAGGCATCTCCACAAATTTCATGTTCCTACGCGGCGGAAACCGAGCGAACCAAAGAGCCGAGCTAGCCCGAAAAGCCTATTCAGGCACGAGAAGCCAGACAGCCATTACACATGGTATTTATCACATCTCTCCCTCAAAACTATCAACCTGGTTTTAGCCTCTTCATCGGATTATTTGGATAACAAGCGCACGGGCTTTTATCGTACCACGCATAATTCTCATGACTTGACGGTGGTAGGTTTTTTGGACCTTTCATGCTTTTTGGAATCTTAAACCTAAATAAATCCCGCTTTAGCCGCCAAAACCGCCGGTCCGAGGTCGATTCCAGAAAAACGCATCAACGGACTCCGAATCAAAATGGAGGCGTTTTGAAGAATTGTCTAGACGAAGTACCGCACAGACAGCTATGTAGGTTTTGACAATATAAAACTGCGCTTTGATTCTGGAAGAATCGAAGCGAAAAGCGATAAAATTTATTTTCCAAGGCTGCGAAAGCACAGACAAAATTGATGAGGTTGCTCTTGGTGTTCGATCGGCCATATGGTGGCTCAAAACACTGAAAAATTTTCGGTTGAGAAAGGCTGCAAAGAATTTAAAATCAATAAAAATTAACTACTTTAAAGCTGAAATAAATTAAAACTAAAATTATTCGCTTTCTAAACGCATTGATTTTATTCTAGGGCGCGCCATCGAAGCACATCAACAAGTTCAATATTCTACCCAAACAGCGTCATCGACCGCTTTATGAACGACCAATTGTAAAAAAATGTTTATATACTCTTTTTTTCTTTCCTTACTACGACCACGGTTTCGAGCATTAACGATAATCGACAATTTGGGCAACGTGTAATAATGCCTTAAAACCCACCCTGTCTGGTTTCCGCCTTTTATTGTGTTCCAAAAAGTTCCGATTTGATTGCATATCGCCTTTCCATCCTTGACGACCCTATTTCCCGCCTAATATTATTTTTGTGAAATCGAGCTGGTCAAATAAATGGATGATAACTTTATTAAAAGAAATGCTTGCATAATTACAGCAATATCACAGATTTATCGCGTCATGGCAATCTGGTGGGTGGGGGGTTATTAGGCGGGATTTAGAATCCGAATCCGTTGTTTCCCTGCTGGCCGAAGATCTGTTGTCCCTGTCCTTGTCCCTGTCCTCCGAAAGATCCACGTCCCTGGCCACCGAAAGATCCTTGGCCGCCGTTCTTAAATTCAAAATAACGAAGTTCTGTTTATTAAATTATACCTGGAATCCTCCCTGCTGTCCTCCGAATCCACCGTTCTGGTTTCCGAATCCACCCTGTTGGCCTCCGAAGTGTCCATGGCCTTGTCCACCGAATCCACCACGTCTAAAAATCGAAAAGTTTACAGAATAACTGCCAGTTTCGGAAGGCTTAATATATACTTAATAATCCTCAAACCCTACCCCATTCCATGTCCACCCTGACGTCCACCAATTCCTCCAAGTCCGAAGACGGCGAGAAGAACAGGGCCCATTTGAGCTGGCTCCTTGGCGAGGGTCGTGTTGATGAACTCCTAAATTCATAATTGCAGTTTAAAACCTGAGGCGCAATCGTACCTTGATGGCCTCCTCGAGCTGCTCAGCGGTCTGGTCCTTGTTGCTGACGATGGTCTCGATCTGTTGAAGGACATTGGGCAAATCCGTAGCCAGAGTGGTGATGTTCTGCTTCAGCTCATCCTCGAAGGCTTGCATCTTGGTGACGAACTCTTGGTATTGGGTCTGCAAAATGTTACCGTATACGCAAAAACTATGCTAACATACGCTAACGCCGCAAGATGAAGCCCAGCTAGTCAACTCGGTCTCGATTTGAGTGAGCGTCAGATTCTTCGAGTAGGCAGTTGCGAAGAAGCTCTAAAATTTTGGAGTTGTAGTGATTATGCAGGTTTAATTTATTACCTGAACGCAGCTTTGGTTGTTGACCTCCTTGAGGAAGGGGAAGGGGTTCTGGAGCGGAACCTTTCCTCCACGACCTCCTCCGAAGCCTCCTTGCTCCTCAGAAGAGCCGAAGCCTCCTAGAATTCAAGCATTAATTTTGAATTGGATTTTTAAAATCTTTTTGCATAAAAAAACTTACCAAAACCACGGGCACAAGCGCCGGCAACGAGGCAAGACACGAGGAAGAATTTCATCTAAAATATTGTTGTTTTAAATTTATAGATAATTTAAATTTACTAAGGAAGGAGAACACTTAAGCACTGAATTTCACGACGTTCTCAGTTTTTAGAATCGGACAAGTTCCGGACACACTGGGTGGCACGAGCCCAAAAACAAGACTATCCAATTTACGGACTCAATTGCAAGCTTATTGAGTTTGTTAGAATCAGGGCGAGTCAACCAATAATCTTAAAAATTCAATAAAATTAGTAGTTTTAGTTCAAATACCTTTAAATGTACAATAAAAAACATTTGAAAAGTGAGTAACTTTAAGCGGGGTAGATTCTTTGTTAATACTATTGAAGATAACTAAGAAAATTCAGTCGAGTTACGATTACTGTAAGCCTTAAGATTTTTATGCTTAAAGTAGCTAAAACCAAGTAAGGGTTATAAAACAGCTAGCCGAGTAATGCTGAAGCTGAAAATCTGATGTAGACCTCGAGTTACCGAACGCTTTTATACAGGAAAAGGGCGGGGGGGTCTGGCCGTGTCTGGGCACTCCAATCTCTCTATTTATTCAAATGGCCAAAACTTGCCTGTTTGGGGGGTGTGGGCTTGGATGATGACACACTGGTCCACGACATCAGGGTTATGGTTGTAGCGAAAGTTTGAACCTGCTGCCCACGCGAGTGATCAGATTTGAATAAATTCGGGTGCGGTAACACGGTAGGAACATGTGTTTTGGGGGAAATGAGTGGGCGTATATTCATCTGGATTTTAGATGGAAAATCTATGAACAGAAATGTATAGCTGGAATCTGAAAAATGAGGGCCGTCGCTTTTCAAGTCTGAAAATCAAAGCTGTAGCTTCTCTTGCTCTGCCTTGGCTTGAAAATCAAGTCCGATTTCTTGCTTAAAATACTTTTAAAGACACATAGCTAAGATGATACGTAAACCGAAACACTTTTAGCGCTAGAACTAGTATGCTTACTGTTTATTTACGGTTATATCTTTCAGTATGATAGAAAACAAAATTCGTCATTCCTGCCATCCCATTATTTGGGTAAAGCTGAACTCTCCGTGACTATCCCATATCTGTCCCAAACCCGAGAAAGCCATTCCAGATACATTGTCAAAGAAGCATGTTGATCTTCCCGTCACAAATCATTCACAAACGTGCATCCCGAACTCTGAATCAGTCAGAACATTTCCATAAGCCGCTCTGCGTGGGGGGACGTGCTCAAAAATATTCTGGAACTAGGTGAATTAGTCCTCGATTATGCATGTCATGTGTTTAGTTGCTCGTCGTATGTCGCATTTTAACCTTATACAAAAATTTTGAGGCGCAGAAATATATTATACTGTAAACCGATATTTGCATTCGAATTAGCATCAAGATTATGTCCGGGTGTTGGCTGTCGGTATTTTGCTCCGTCGATATTTTCGCTGCCGGTATTTTGGCTTGACGAGATTTTAGCGGTCGGGATCTTGGCTGTCTGGGTTCGGACTATCGGTGTTTTGGCTTGTCGGGATAGGTATTTTGCCTTGGGGATTCTGGCTGGAATTCGGATTTTCCATATAACCGTTTTAAAGCATCGCGCGCCCAGAAGGAATTTTACTTTGTTAGAGAAAGATTCTCAACATCTTGTCACCACTAACCAAGTGGATGCTGATGTCTCTGACCAGTTGGGTCCATGATCAGACCAATTTTCCGAAGCAGAATATTCCACGTCAATCCGTCCGCCGACCCCTTGACTCATCCATTTGTCCAGCTGCCAGGGGACCCCACCAAATTCGCCATGCTCGCATCGCTGAAAAGCTTGAGCAAATCCCCACAAAAACCTGTAATAATATTTTGTAATTTGTGACTGGAAATTGCCCTTTGTTCGTCGCAAACAATGGGTGGAAAACAAGTCGTGCTAGTTGGGGGGCTTGGGGCCCTATGCAAATATTTTAGATGATCTCGGACTAGCAGGGCGGCTTGATGTTAAAATTAGATTCGAAAGCGACAAATAAAGCCTGGTTTGTGAGTTTTGAGCAAATTAAAGTAGGTATCATGGAGGTTTTTTACGCATTATCATATTTTCATCAAAGCCGCGAAACGGTTCGCCATTAATTTACAAGTTTTGCCATCCCTCGATGATGTTTGTGAATCGGGAATATTTGGTGGGATTTTGTGTAAGCCCTCCTTTCCCTCCCTCGCCATCCCGTCAACGTCCACATCCATTCGCAACGCGATTGTTTCGCCACGATTCGATTTAAGAAAGGGACCGGGAGGGCGAGCCCGGAGAAGACAAGTCGTATCAAGCACCGATCCCTTCCGCCCCGACGCCCGTCAAAGCCTCCCGTTTTTTGAGGTCTACCCCCCGTCGAATCACATTCTGATACCCTTAACTCACTAAATAGAGATTGAAGGCATGTTCGTAGGAGTAGAGTAGAGGTTGAACCTGTTAAGCTTCCCGTGTGATCGGTTGTTTCTTGAACTCTGAAATCCCAAGATTTTCTCCTGTGTGGTTCGGTGAAACTGCTTTCAAGGTTTGTTCCACTTCCTCAATCATTTCTGTTAATCCTTCCGGTATAATCTGTAGCTCTAGGGCATCTGCCAAAAAGCTCGATCTTTTTGGGACCAAGCCATACAAATGAGCGGGCTTACCCATGGGGGTCCCCACCCGATTTTTCACTTTCCTAAACTCCTCCCTACTAAGAATTTTTTGGCATTTTCTGGAGGGCGCTCATTGTCACAAGTGATCTTAAAATGCTACCGCTTCACTTAACTCTCCAATCCTCATTGAATTTCCTTAAATAAATGAGGAAGGCCCAGGAAAAATTAGCATAAAATTATTTTCAATTCTAAAATTACCATAAATCCTCTGCTCGCTCCTGTCTCGTCCCCTCACTGCCCATTTTTGCATTAGCATTTCCGGTTAGCTTGTTGCCAATTATAGATGACCCCCTGATCTAATGGGCCTTCCTTGCCCCTTTAAATAGAGCGCCAAAAACCACTTCCCGCACCAATCTCCCAATCATCATAAAAACCGCCCCCAGGAAGCGACAAATTGGTTGGCGGACAAAAACTTTCCGGGCGGCTCCCAAATTTGGCGATGTTTCTCATTAGGGGTCCCTGTGGGCCACGAGGTCTTCCTAAGTGGAAGCTTTTCGTCGATCGTGAGTCCAAAATACTCTACCCTAACCCCCAACCACTACGACACATTCCAATGTACACCCCGCTATGGGAACGAAGTTTACTGTCACCACCCCGATCACCGCATTCAAGGAATAGCCATGGTTGGTTGATTCGCTAATTTTATTATACAAAAACTCTATCAAATGTTATCATAGAAAAATATACCCATAAGGTGTCGTATTTCAATCATTGGGCCAATAGATCTTTTTCGGGCTTTTCCCAGAGCGGCCCCCAATAAGGGCGTTCATAAATTTTTCCAGAGGATATTTGGCGCGGCGTGCGCTCACGGGGGCCTCCCTTTGAGCCGGATGTTTGCGGAGGATATATTTTTTTCGGAGAGTCTTTACAAAAAATATTGTTTCACCCTTTTCTTAATTTTATTGCGCTAGAATTTTATTGTAGATAGAAATATAGGTTAGTATCTGAGGCAAGAACTTATACCCAGAAATTAGTCCAAAACTATCAAAATCTCACTTTCATGCCCGCAGCTCAATCTCACCAGCCTCTGCCCGTCGATTGACAGCCGCACTGATTGGTGGTGGACCGCAAGGCTGGCCTTGCTAATGGGGGCGCCAGGGAAAGTGACCCCATCCTCCGTTGTGGTCTAGTGGTTAGGATTTATGGCTCTCACCCATAAGGCCGGGGTTCGATTCCCCGCAACGGAAGAACTTTTTGCTTTTTGGTTCTCTTTAACCTTAGGGTGTTTCTAGTCTGTTCCTAGTAGTCACTTCTTGATACCGGAAATGCATTTTCATTAGATTTCTAGGGAAGTTGTGCTTTTACCGCGTAAAACTCGGATCTCCGTTCCGATTCTGCGTAAGGGAAGCACTTATTGCTTTTTAGTTCCTTATTTTTTGCTCCATCTTTCGTACCCTTATGGCTTAATGATAGCCTAACTGGATTCTAGCTCTATTTTAAACGACCATTGCACTTCTACTTCCTTAAACTCGGATCTTCTCCAAAATCTAGAGTTGGCCGTTCAATTGAAACGTAGGGAATGGGTGGATCTCAAGGGCTATTCTGGGGCTGGTTGTATCCAAAAGGGTGTGCCCTCCTCCCCTCAATACTCTTCCGTGTGGATGTCGTGGAGAAGGATAGGGGGGTGATGGTCGTGGAGGGCAAGAATTATGTGACGTGTCGCGCGTGGCCCCTGGCCACTTTTTGGGGGTGGTCCCACGACGGGTTTTGGTTGTGCGGGGCACAGAGGCTTCTGAAGATGGTTGGAAGATACGAGGCAGGGGGACGAAGGGGGCAGAGGGCGCCAAATGGTACCGACGCCCTGAAATGTGATGGCCCTTCTAGATCCGGGGTGCCATTTTTGGCGGGGTGTCTGGGTCTTGGGGTTTTTGGTAATGTTGGTGGCGGACACCGTTGAATTTTAAGATTGTTGCAACAACTGCCGTGTTTTCCCTGAGCTAAACCCTCGAAGTTAATCGGTGGTTTCGGTTTTTGAATCAATTTTTTAATCTCGGTCCGTACAAGTTAATGAAAAAGTGCCATATTTTTTAAGTAGAAAGCTATATTTACTGTTATACGTTTCCAACAAGCATCAAGTTTCTCCTGCTCCTCGAATTTTTTCTCTTCCAAACACCGGATTTTCTGAAAACAATCGCTCAAGAGCAGTAGTATCCGAGATGCAACCTCTGGACGAATAGGGTGCCGAAACGGCGGGCCCATCCGATGAGCAATCGCTGTTTTGGCCCCCGGCCCCCTTGGTCCCAGGTGGCTTCGCTCAGCGGCGGGTTCGGTTGCTGCTGCTCCGTTTTTCTGAACCGGATAATTTTAGATACAACTTATGCAAATTCTCTAAATTACAGGAGTGTCGCAATTGTTGAATCGTTTCCCAGATTCTCACGTTTCCACGGGTTTTAGAGGAACTAGGATAGGCAAGAATTGGTAGCTGCTGTCGACCAGATATCAGCTGATCCAAACATTTATAAAAGAGGTCAAACTGTAGTAAATGCACCGTTGCCGGACTGAGTGCATTTCGTGAGACAGAAGGTCTAGAAAACCGCATTATCCTCTCGGCAAGATTTAAAACTTGCAAACGTCTTTATGGTCATACAAGCTTCACTTCGGAGCGTGGCCTCAGCCAATTTCCGGTCGAGTGTAGTAGAGTTTCTTCCCTAAAACCACTTTCCACCCTCCGCCCCCAATAATGCTGTAGTATTGGTTGCCAAAATCGCCGGCAGAGTTGCTGCTCCAACTGGCCGGAAAGGAAGGCGCTGAAACGGGGCGATGAGCAATTGCTGTTCTCCCCGGACGGCTAGTCCCAGGTGGCCATGTTGGGGAGGTCCTTCTCCTCCTCCTCATCCCTCCATTCCTTTTTGCTTCCTCCTCCATGTCCGGCTATCAGACCCACCCCCCTTTCACAGCTAATTCGACCGCTCCTGGGAATTCTCCTGCTCCTGCTCCCCCTCCCCTTCCATCCCCCGACCAAGCTGTGTGGTCTTGTGTTTGGCCTCTTCGCTTCATAACTCCACCCATCTTGTCCTCCTTCTTCTGCTCCCTGCCTTTCCGTTACATTCCCACCCACTCCCTGCTGGATATTCTGAATTCTTTTCTGTCCCCTTTTCGACAATTCCCGTCAAATACAGACGCCTTGCTTGGCCCGGGGAAAAACAAGGTCCGTCCATTGACATTGACGACATTTTTTGGGGGTGACCCCGGATTTGAAGGATTGTTTTTATTTCAGCGCGTCAGAAATACTTGTTTCGAATAGCTGGACAGAACGGCATCTTGGACGTTTTTGAAACAATTGTTTATCAATTTGCCCGATTTAGATTTTAGCAATCATAACATTTGGTATCTAATCATAATATCACAATGCGGGCTCTGTTTTTCAACTAAGCAGCGAGTTGCCAGCTCCATTAAAAGCCATTTAAAAGTTCTACTCAAGTACTACCCAAAATTCTATGTCTTGAAAACCCACTAAGAGTTCCATTACAGGGTAATTTGAAATATTTTCAGATGCTCGTGGCCGGGCCGTCCGTGAAAGGAAAGCGATGACGGTGCCATCGGGGTACCAGAGAGTCGACTCAGATCCTACGCTCTCCGAACATCCACAACATAATTATAATGAAGGTTTGTGTTTGCTTTGTCTTTTTGCATTAAGGAAATAGCAAAAATTATCAAGTTATGTCAATTAGTCTTTAGTTTCGCGAAATTTTGTTGAATAAAGGCGGGCTGTATCTGTATTAAGCCGGTATTTTTACCGTAAAAGACAAATACGAAAAAGTTGCTGCCTATATTGGAACATTTTTCCACACTACACGCAGAAGTCTATATTGGTTAATAAAGGCGATCGTGTTCGAATTTTCCTGAGCTTCAGCTTTCCATCTGTCACTGTCCCTTTAAGCCAACCTGAGCAACTCAAAATCCCAATCCAAATACCTGTCCTGTACAGTCCCCCAATTACTCCATAGCCAAATAAAATACTATAAAAAAGGAGCCCCTTATGGATTTTCTTATATCCAGCGTGATATTGGCCACTGCTCTGCGCGCCCTTGGGGTGTCTTTTGGGTTTTTAGCAAATGGGCCCCTTTTCGAGGGGAAAGAAGAGGGCCCATGGCCCTTCCCTTGACTTGGATAGTCCCTGGGGATACACGCTTAAGGCGGCTCTTCCCCTTTGTATTCCGCCCAGAAGGGCTTCTTCTATCCAATGGATGCTTTTCGGCTTTTGCGATAGATACCCGGCTTATCCGGGAGGCAGCTCGGGGGAGGGGGGGATACGCCAGGCAGGGTGTAAACAAATAAATATTTTGGGCGCTAGTTCAAAAAGTAGTGATGGAGGTTAGCGAAAAGCTTCGGAAGTTTGGAAAATTTTATGACAAGCTGAAAGACGGGATTAGAAAGGAATTGCCTTTTAAAAAAGCTTGATATTCGCAACGGGGTGTCCCACAAGCACCTACCCCTCCGGCAGTCCGTAGAATTTACACGCTTTAGGTATGAATCGAAAGCTCTCAAAATGGCAAGGGAAAAATTTCAAATTTAGTAGCTATTTGTAATTTTTAGATTAAGCGTTTTTATTTTTTTTTTGCTACAAGTTCGCGCCTGATCGTTTCAGATCTTTTTCCTCACCAAAATCGAGTAAGCGGCGCGCGCTCCCTAATTGGCACTAGAAAAGAGGGAGAATTGGAGTGGGGTAATATTGTTTGTTGGAGTGCATTGGAAGGGTCGGGTGTTCGGTTGGAGTGGTGAGAGAAAGCAGCCTTGGGGCTCACCTGTCCGGGGACCACCCACTCTCAACACCTGGAAGACCACCCCAATGAGCGATGCGGGGGGCAAGGGTAGAGATAGTTGACTGGAAATCATAGGAGAGAGAGAGAGAGAGAGGGTGAGAAAGAGAGAGATAGCGAGATGGAGAGAGAGAGGGAAGAGTTAGCGAGAGAGAGAGAGAGAGAGAGAGAGAGCGATAGATGGAGAGAGAAAGAGAGAGAGATAGCGAGATAAAGAGAGAGACTAAGAGAGAGTAGACACTTACCTCTCTTTTCATTAATTAACACGATATTTCCTTCCAGGCGTCTCATACCAAGATGGCCCTCCAGCATATATGGACGTGGAGAGTGGGGAGGAGCTCGGTGAGCTCGAACGGGAAGAACTCGCCGATCGCCTCGGCGACATTCCGTCAAACTTCATGCGACGCGCTCGACGAGTAAGCTTCAGAGAGTTTTCTGATTATTTTTCCACACTTCAAACCCTAGTTTCAAATAGTCCGACACAAAATTCCATCTAACACCTTCTAAAGCCCCAAAAAAGTGTGCAAAAACATAAATACACCACACACGCTGTTGGATACGTCGGGATGAGCGGTAACCCGAGAGGTATGGCCCGAGAGGGGCCCAGCCAGCCAGCCAAAAGTGGCCCAAAAAGGTGGCCCGACAAGTGTGTAGAATGGGGCTGCTCTGGCCCGACGGGGTTTCCCCCGTTTCACCGAATTTCCATCGTCTAATCGGCTTCGCCCCCGAAAATATATTCAACGCCGTTTAGAACCCACACGTCGACTTCTACTGTGTAAGTTTTGGCCCCAAAAATTATTGCACCATTTATTTACTTTTTTTTGAACCCTATGCATGGGAATTTTGCAGCGGTTTTTATTTTTATTTTTTAGATGATAGGGAATGTTCGGAATTTGGTTCAAATAGCCTTTTTGTTGCTTGCATTAATACTGTGAGTTTCCTTTGCTTTATTTTCCTCTAGTTATAATTTTCCTTAGTAGACGTTCTGCTTTCTAGGTTTTTTATTTTGACATCAGCAATTATCTTTCAAAATTACGTCTATTTAGGTAGATCATAAACTCCACATGGTAAGGTAGTGTTCCCCAATTTTTAGATGCCTTTATTTATACAAAAATTTTCCAATTCGAACCCAATCCCGAACATCCTCATTTTTTTCCGCGTTTTCTGTCGCAAGCGACGGGCATTGATTTATCCCCAAAAAGCATGACTTTTGCGAGCTTCTCCCCCGATGTCTGCACCCGCATCTTTCAGAGTGCCGTCTTCGATGCGATGGCCTCAAGGCATAATTCGGACAATTGGGAGACGACGCATCTACTATCCTGCAATCAAAATCATCATGATGTATGAGCTTTGGCTTTACCTTTATCGGATACCCTTTTGCTTTGATGAGAAGGCTCCTCCCTAGCTTTTAAATTTGGTGTGAGGCTTAGGCGAGTTGTTATATAGAACTTAGCTGTTGCTCTTTTATAGAGTTTTATTGCAATTCCGGCTTAAAATAAAAATCCTTCTATAGTAAGGGTCAAAAGACAAGTTGATTTTTCTGAATCCTTTTTTGCATTTTCTACCCTCTCCCGACTTACTATTTTTACCCAAAAACGCACGTTTGGCGTGAAATTTGCATCCGATTGCATTCCTACCGAAATTTTGCCGAGTTAGACGGCATGCTTGCTGCCACTAAAGCGAGAAACTCTTCCACCAGCGCCAATTCAATTTTTACCTTCTAAATTTGTAATATAGAGTGCGCACGATGAAGGTGAGGACGAGGAGGATTCAAAAGATGAGGACGAGGAAGAGGAAGAGCGGAATGGGCTTAAGAAGGTTTGATATTAAAAACATTAGTAAATATCGCTTTTACAGTACGCCAAGCTCATCCTGCCCCATGTTGGGCTTGTCGTTCTTACCTGTATCTACACAACACTTGGTGCATTGTTGTTTTGGAACTGCGAGCAGCCATATGAAATGTCGACAAAACGGGAGCAGGTAGGGGTTGGACTGTAAAGTGGAAGGGAAGGCAAACCTGGACTTTAAAGTTTATTCTAAGGTTTCTAATGCCGTTAAAATCGATTTTCTTCAGCTTGACGCCATCTACGCACGTCAAGAGGAATTTGTCGAATCTTTAGTCAAAATGGCGGCTCGTAATCGCACCTGTAAGTTTTCATTCCTATTTTCTCTTACATTCTTCTTTCAGCCCGCGCCGAATGGGAAGTAGCCGCCCAAAATCATATGCATACCCTATCTGATCAATTATTTGTTGCATTTGAGAAATATTTTTTAACCAGTCATGAGGTATATTCCATACTAAATTAATCTTTCTACAAATGCCAGGTCCGACAAAATGCAACAACCGAAATCTGGACGTTCTCTACCTCTTTGTTCTTTGCTGTTACGGTCGTTACGACAATAGGTATATTTCAGCAATGTTCAGCAATCTGGCAATTTCAGGATATGGAAATCCAGTGCCAATCACAACGATGGGTCGAATAGGTTGCATCGTCTTCTCATTGTTAGGAATACCATTGACACTTGTCACCATTGCCGATTTAGGTATGATTATCGCACTTTATAAAATTAAGAACTAATATAGGTAAATTCTTGTCTGAAAACCTCATCTGGCTGTATACAAATTATCAAAAATTAAAAACGTACTTATGCAGAAGACATGACCATCGTAAGGATAGGTGAGTCTCAGAGTCTCTGAAATTAGTTATGATATTTTAGGGATCATGTATGTCAACATTGTCAAAGCCGAGGGTTAGGAAATGTTCATTTTGTTGAAGGGCCAAGGTAAGGATTTTCGGTATTTTTACTAATTACCAAAAATAATCGATATAATTTTTCTTCTACGAGTTAAAAACCACTAAATACAGTGACGACGATTCGGTATTTATTGGCGGTGATATGGGATCACTTGTGGAACTCAGATGGGAAAGGCGTATTCCCGGAGAATACCCAAAGTAAAACCCCCAACTCGTTTTTGAATATGTTCAACGACCCCTTAAAATTTGTTTATTATTTTTAGCTCATTAATTTTCATAATAAAATACGCTGGGTTATGAAATAATTCATTAAGCGGTAATATTTACGAGTTTTAGAATACCGGCCGCTCTGGTGTTGGTGATCTTGATTCTCTACACAGCGCTCGGCGGGGTGTTAATGTCTCGATTAGAACCGTGGAGCTTTTTCACCTCGTTTTACTGGTCATTTATCACCATGACTACGGTATTCTACGAATTACAGTCAGTCTATAAAATATCGATATTAGGTCGGATTTGGTGATCTGATGCCGAGACGTGACGAGTATATGTATATCATTTTGCTCTACATCATTCTCGGTCAGTTTTTTAGCTTAAAAGAAATTTATGGCTGAAATGCACTGAAAATTCCCCTTTTTAAGGACTCGCAATCACAACAATGTGTATCGACCTCGTGGGCGTACAATATATCCGCAAAATCCATTACTTCGGCCGAAAAATCCAAGACGCCAGATCAGCATTGGCTGTGGTTGGAGGAAAAGTAAGTTAACACACTGAAAGTCGCCTAAAAATACCTTCTAAAAATCATATTCTTGCAGGTGGTCCTCGTCTCCGAGCTCTACGCAAATTTAATGCAAAAGCGTGCCCGGCAGAATGCACGAGAAGCGTACATCATCGAAAATATGTACATCTCCAAACACATCATCCCGTTCATACCAACAGATATTCGATGGATACGGTAATTCATAACTTTGTAGCATGCTTTTAAAATATAACTCTTCAGGCTATTCGCGTTTTTTGCCTCCATAAGAGGCCCCAAAAATTGATCGACCTAGGTCTTAGAAAAGGCCCGGGTAGTATTAGATATTTCGAAGTTGATGCTTTGGATAGGTGGATAGGGCGAGTTCATGGGCCAGACATGGCGCAGTCAAGGGCAGAGCAAAGAGCATGCATGGAACGCTCAAGAGGGGTACAGTTGCCGCAGGCCTCATATATATATCGAAAACTAGGGGGTGTAAGATCATCCCATATCCATTCCCAAAGCGCCTAAATGATGAATGCAAGTTTCGCCGATTTTTGTTTATGCAAACTAAGTCCGCTTCGTATTCAATAACAAATAGAAAACATTACACTAGCTGAATTTAGCTATTTAGTATTACCACCGCTAAATCGACGCTAAATTTCAGGAGTTTTTAAAAGTTCTCAAAGTCAAAAAAATAGTAAACTTTGCCGACTTAAATTAGTATGAGTAAACAGAAATTGACGAAATGAAAACCGGTTAAATGAAAATCGAAGAGTAATGAACGTCAAAACAAACGCAAAATTTTGCTAAACAAACCTATATCTCTAAAAAGCTGAAAAGCAAAGAAAGTGTGTGGTCAGTTATATCGACACGATGGGCGAGTCATCGAATGAATCCCGCGAAGAACCGCCACCCCATCCTACCGGTAGCGTGTGTTTTTGCATGAGCCTGTGGTGGCTATCATCCAAAAAAATTCGGAACTGGAGTGATATTTTGAATGCTAGTGTCTTTGCCGAGGCTAAGGTGTCTTTCCCTTGGATTCCGTACAAAATAGCGCTTTTCATGCACCGATAGTCGAGACAGGTTTAGTCCCACACTAGCACATAAAGATAAGACCGCGAGAGGTGGAAGCATGATGTTGAGGAAGTTGAAGTCTCTGATGCTCCTGACATGGTAGATTAAATTTGTTGTGTTCCAGGTACATTGATCAGCTCCCAAGCAGCCGGTCGCCATCGACGGGGTCGCTCTCCGAGTTGCATTCATGCCGATTCTGCCATACACGTTACCAGTAAGTGTCGTTACAAACTAAAATTATCACCTAAAAAACGACGCCTTGTATCGTTAATTTATTCTGTTAAGAAGCACATTTTTGCCTCAGTAGGAGGCCCCAAAAATTGTTCGACCGCGGTCTTAGCAAAGGCCCGGGTTGTGAAAGATATTTCATCGGCCGTCACTTGGCTGTGGACATCTGCTACGGCAATGACCTAGGCGGGTCGCCGTGAGGGGAAGGGCAGAGAACATCCAAAGAACGCATACACCCATAGACCACCTGGGTAGCATTGAGATCACCCAAATGACCTCAGACCTCCATCAACCCAATAATATAGATCGACGACGTAGCAGCCAGGCTCCAGCCAGACTCCTGGAGGCAGGCGCCTTCTGGCGGGCGGCCGCGATGTGATCCAAGGAGCGACAACATCTCGATTTTTCTCAACACGGGTCCTGCCAACTATTCTTTCTTAATCCGCGGTTTTTTGGTTTTGATCTCACCCATCACTCATTTTTTCGAAAAACCACCTGTCTTTTCTATACTTAGGCTCTCCATCGGTCTCGTCTTCCTTCTTTGTCTCATATCCAGGATCCAATGTTTTCCTCTTACAGTGTCGCTTCATTCATTCATTCAAATGCAATAAAGGATCCATGAAAGTCTGTGCCGGTTGTATAAACAGCAAAACGCAAAACCGTTTATGTCCAAAACCCGCGATTTGTAAAGAAAAACCACAACAGAAAAAAGTATGGAAAGGAACAGTTTGGTATCGCACAAAATAACCACATACAAAAATACAAAATAGCGATAGTCGACTACCCGATCAAAGAGTGGTGTGTAAGTTAGAGATCACAAAAGCGCCAATTCTAGGGTGAGAAGATCTCGAGTTGTAATCATGGGACGTATGATACAAATGGGGCCAATAAAAGGCATGCACATAGAAGCAGGGCCTCCAAACAGTATTAAAATCTTCGTAAAATTAATAAAAATTCTGGCTTTCAGCAGTCATTCTAGAAAAACACAAATCAAGCCATTAATAATGCCCGACAACGGGGCTACATTCAAGTTGCCAACTTTCGAGAAATTAGGGATCTGGCAAGACGCCTAAAAATCATAATACAGAAAGAACGGCGAGAATGGCTAAGGCCACATGTGGGAATGTTAGTTGGGATTTGGAGAATATATACATAGAACTCATCCAATGATAACACCTGGGGCCTTGGGCCCGTTCACTCGATGCGCTTGATAAAGTTTGCGGGAAGCAGTCCAGTTTGGCCTTTCACCGTGCCGATCAACCAGCCTTGCTCCTTTGATGACACCACTAAACATTTTAAATCGTTTGATCAGGAATAATGACCGACACTTTCGCTACTAACACCTAATTGACGACAACGCACCTCCTTCAATGATGTCTCCTTCACAAAAAGTAATTTCCGAGTCGTGTTCAGCCACACAATCGTAGAGAGCAACAGCGCGATAGCTTCGTTTCCGTCGCGGAGGACTTGCCACACATATTGGGCTATCCATTTCACGGCAGGCTGCATGAACTGGGTCTATCAATTATAATTTATAGGGAGCTGCTGACTTACGAGAGCGTTGCAATCCGGAGCCTGAACCCGATCCTATGCGAGTGCGAGCGACTGGCGGTATCTCTTTCGCGGAGTTGAATGACTCTAAACGGAACTCGTCCTCCGTAAATAATGAACAAGTGCTAGAAATCAAGCGAGTGCGTTTGTAAGTAAGCGTAGTAAGTAAGCGCTATCCATAGGAAGCGGAATACGCAATATCGGCAAATTTTCAGAATGAATTAGCGGCGGAATGTGAATTAATGGCTCATGATTCTGCTACTAATTTACATGCTTCATCGCCTAATATACCGGTCTACAATGCTGCGTCTAGACTTGCCATCCTTCTAGCAAATTATGACGTTAATCGTGAATGGGCGACAGACCTGCCAGAAATAAAGTAATAATGCAAAACCTGCCACGAATAGAAGCAAAAATGTATTCAAACAACCAAAAGTTAGGAAAAATCAACAAAGGCGCACCTAGTAATAAATAAAATTAACGGGTCGTAGAACATAAACATAACAGGGTCAACAACAAATAAAGGCAGTTTCTAATAAAAGCGGTGCCAACAGGAGCGAAGCCATGCAGCGAAGATCAGTTTACCCTTATTTCCGGGAAGGCTGTCTTCGTCCAAGGAGATTTGTTGTGGCAAGCGGGGCGCCGTCCCCGCATCCTCATTCGGGTTGACCCATTCCGAAGACTTCGTGTTATTGAACAATCTAAAATATGATGATCATGAAAATTAAAAAGAGCACACCTCTCATAGGCAGGACTCCCTCCAATCGGACGATGAATCACTGGCAAATCGAGCACACCATCTTTTGGTGGCTCAAAGATCTAAAAAAAAATGTTTTTCTGGAAATTATATCTCACCCTGTCGGCATTATTGATGAGCACCTCGACAATGGTCGGGTAGAATTTAACATCATGGATGCCCGCCACGGTTGCCACCGGACGGAGCAGCGTCGGTCCAAAGCAAATTCCCAAGTTGGGCACGGTCATCTTGTTTAGCTCGGAATGTTCCGACACCCTGAACAGTAAGAAACGCCGTTCTCTAAAAAAATACTTTTTCAGATGGAGGATGATTGCTTTCAGAAGCTCCTTGTGCAGCGCCGGCAGCTGATGGAGAAGCACGTGCATTGCTTTGAACTAAGAGAAATATATAAAGTTTATAAAGACAAACGCACCTGCGCTTCTCCCTCTGTGGAAGCAGCAGCAGTCAGAAAACCGCCGTACTGTTCGCCACCGATCAAAGGGGTAGCCAGTTCCCTTCAAACAAACATTAGTATTAAAAAAGGAGTACCGTAAGAACGATTTCAGAGCCGAGCACAAGACCACATCGGTCTCTTGTTTCATCGCTGCCTCACCGACCCTGAAAAGAAATGAAAATACCCCCCGTTGAGCCGCAATTATTTTCAAATCTAAACTACGTACATTAGGTCTTTTCCTTGGATGACGGTCAACAGCTTTTTGGCCCTCGCCTGCGGGGCGCAGACACGATAGATGCCGACAGAGGTAATGTCTAAAAGTAACTCCATCGACTAAATCGCTGGCATTACCCCTCTCTTCAATATTTTCGATCAATATCTTCATCATGTGCACACCGACCGGAGACAGGATATCTGAGATTAAAATATTGGGCTTACTAGAAACACCTACATTGCAGATTGGTGCTGCTTAGGTAGACATTCAGCTGTTGCGGCTTTGCCTAAAATCGACATTTCAACACAAGTTTGCATAGAAATAAGAACACTAGCATAAACGCTAATTTGTGGCGGTTGTGCAAATCTAAGAGCTGAATTTTCTTCGGTTGAAGCCAAGTAAATCTCGAAACTCAGCGGCGAGCGCGGTTTAAAAAGCGGAAGCGGATAATAGGGAGCATTGGCGTTGCCTGTTGAAATGATTTGCACACAAATCGAAGCGCAAGTATTTCTTTGCTATCCTGAATTTCAATAGGGATGTGAGTGTGCATCCGCTAAATCAATGCAGGTCAGAAGCGTCATAGGTTTATACCTGATCCTTGGATTCCATGGCGGAAAACCACCAGTGGAAGTCCTTTTCGCTGACGGCTTGAAACACGGCGGACATCGGAACCATGTTTCCAGTCTCGCCGGACACTTCAAAAATGTATCTAAATGAGAAAAAGCATTGACTACAAGCGAAAAATATACTTTCTATCATGGTCCTTTAGGGCCGTAACATGGGTAATCTTCATGGCCCAGCTGGCTTGGCATGCTTTTGCGAGCTCCTAGTACGAATATATTATTCAATGAAATGCATTTGATACCTCTTTGGAAGTGGGTACGACGGTCAAGGACTTCGAAGGCATGTGGCAGATCACAAACACCCGGCTCCACTTCTTTGTCAAGATATTCATTCCGCCGCCTATAATAGTAAATGCCTTTGGTCAACATCTCAATAAGCTTACGAATCGGTTTCTTTATGTGCATCAGCAGGTAGCCGTCTTGGATCTGCGCCAGCTGGCGCTTGATCGGCTCCTCCTAGGTCTTCAATTAAGGCAAGGCCACAAGTCACTACCTCATTCATACGGCGCTCTATCGTCTGGCTTTTTAGAATGAGTGCTTGCTGCATCGAAAACTCATTACTGCTCCTCAGCTGAAGAGAGAGAGAAAATAATAAAAGGCCATAGAAAGGAGATACCGTTTCAATTCGCTCCTGAACTTCTCCAATGTAGTTGATGAAAGCTTTGGCGAACTCGTGACCTAAACATATGTAAATTTACTAGAATCTAAAACAAACCCGGCTCAGTCCCATAGGTGAGAAGCAAATATTTGGACACTATGGCGCAATATTCAAATCGTATTTGATCTTCGAGAGACTGAAGAGAAAGGACGTACTAAAAAAAAAGATTGCGGATAAATAGTACACAAACATCGATAGACTTCCTCTCGAACGCCAGCCGGATGGCGGCATAGTTGGAATCACTTTCACAGTCACGGTTCTTCTAAAGCCAAGATTTTGCTAACACTAATCAAAATAATGATTACCTGCAGCAGCCCAAGAAATTTATCTTCAGCGGCCACAAATTTCGCCGATACATCCTTGTACTGTTTGCGCTCTTGGAAGATACAATGTTCAATTTTTTCAATGCGAAAGTCCCTGGAACCGCGATTTTTACTCCAGTTGTAAGCAGCAGCAATCAAAAATCACTCCAGCAACGCTTACCGAAGTTCCTTTAAAATGTCACGCTGCATTCGACGCTTCTCCATAATGGCCTCTTCGATTGATTGGATCTCTTTCGAGTAGGTCCCAAAACAATCATCTAAAAATAATTAAAATACCCGGGGGAAAGCTTACCTGTGAATAACTCTGATTTCACTTTCTTCCCGATGGGATCGATGGCCAATTGTGAAATTGTTTCGTATAGCAGCTTACTCTGAGTGGCTTTCGCTAAAACATAGTTATTTACACAGAAGTCCGAAAGACGATTTCATTAATCTATAATTCCGAGGGAAACTGACCATCTTCAAGGTCGAGCATGCGTCCAATGAATTGTTCCACGAGCTTCGCACGATTGTGAAATACCTCCAACACGTTCTGAAAGCATGATTGCCGACAAAAATTAAATACCTCGTGTTTGCCTAGCAAATCTCGAAAAAACGGCGAATTTTGACATGCGTCTTCAAATTCGAGATGCTCTAGCCTCACTTGCATCCTGAAAACAGTAGTTGAAGCAAGATTGTAAAAAAAACAATTATGCACCAAGGCGAGCCAGAAAATCAGCGATAAGAAAGAGAAAGATAGCTTATTCCGTTGAAACTTTGTTAAAACGCAGGATCGAGTAGTATTCGAGTAGAGTCGTATTATCTATCACTGAAAACGCTCAATGCGCAACTAATTTCAAAAGAAATCCCCAAAAATACCGCTAAAAGAACACCCAAATTTATATAAATAACTCAGAAAAAAGCGCAAAAGGTCGGGCTTTACGGCGCCTAATTCAATGAGCGTAGCAAAAGGGAAGAGCCATGGCTGTCAAAGCACAAAACTTTGCAGTTTGGTGTATTGCGGCGTACACGAGCGCGGCTTTCAAACGAACGACCACCTCTGTCAACAAGGACCCTCAGAATACGGCAAAAAATATCCCCTGCGTCCAGACCCAATCTCGGAAATGAAGCCGCCTCTTGGCTGCCGGACCCCAAAAAAAGACAATAGATTACCCAGACAAACAATCGGCTTTCCTCTATCTGAGTCTAGCTAGGTTCCACTTATGGCATCCACTCTTTCCAATATGTTTTTCCTTTATTTCGGTAATTCGGGTGAAAAACTCAGCGCTTTTAAGATACCGTTCATAACATTTATTCGGCGAAACTATGATTATGCCGTGCGGAGAAAGGGAAGATCTAGGTTCGATGTATTTTCCGATTCTAAGTCGTGGAATACACGGCATGCCAGGCTGATGGTGCCTCCATATGGCCCTTTCTCCCTTCTAATGTTTTATTGCTTGTCATCGAATAAATGAGTCATAAGCTGCGTCTCAAATTTCTTTCCCTGCTTGCCAACAAGCGCCCCCACCGGCTTGGAAGAATAAAAAGCATAAAAGTTCTTGTCAGGCAACTGCCATAGATTAAACTTACATCTGTCGCTCAGTATCCGGGCAACGACATCGAATCCCTGGGCCAAGACGCTGAAACGTGGAATGGGGAGGGTCCACGGTCTTGGATGCCTCGACACACGACGGCCCTTCTTCGGCGTCTGGAAAAGCATTTGGTGGAGAGTAGGGAAACGGAGAAAACGAAGAGGCAGTATGTGGCAAAAGAGGAGACAAAACAAAAACACGAGTCAGCAGGCAATTACTGGGAGCTTCCGGTTTCGCTCCTCCGAGACCGGGGGGGGTCAGGAAAACCCGGGTTCTTTTAATCGTTGGTTTCGGAGCGGATCACGAAGCCAGCAAAATAATTAATTATTGAAGAGATATGCAGGTATGTTTTGGCCGGTTGGTTTTAGAATGCGGCAGAGTTGTCGTGACGAGATAGCAAAAAGCAGAGATTAGCTATGACGTCGAGTAAAAAAAGCAATGATAGTTAGGAAAAATTCTTTAAATTGCTGTTCTTGGGGGAGAGGGGAAGAATTAATGGGTCGGAAGGGGATAATTCGTGGTCGAGGTGTTGATTAGATCGTGGCCAAATTTTTGATGGCGCGAATTCTTGAAGAAAGCACTGATTTGAACATGTTGGAGCTATTTATAAATATATCTAATAATTATAAATTTTTATAAAACATATTATGGTACATGATTAGGCGAGGAATGGTCTGGAAATGACTATAGATTTACAGATTTTTCAAAAAGTTGGCTCGAAGTAGAGTGGTAGTATAACGACAACCGGTCCACACAATGCCTTGTATCCAAGCGATTTGCCGCTCGCTCTTCGTTCGCTGCTTGTGTATGTATATGCTGCTCAGAGTCACAATGCGTGAGCATAGATTCCGAGAAGCCTTCTCTCCCCCCCTCGATATTATGTGTGGAGCCTAAGGGTAAAAGGAGAAAAAAGGAGGAAGATGGCTGAATGGGTTGGGGCCGTTGAGGGGGAGCAGGACGATGAGAAATGGGAGCACAATCATCGTCCCCTTCGCCCCGTCGTCTCGCCCCAAAATCTGAGGCCATAATCGCTTACGCCATTCAAATGACTGCCACACGAGTCGTCGCAATTTGACAGGTATAGGGGAGGGGGAGGTGAATGTGGTTGGATGTAGGAAAATCTTTTTTAAAGGGACATTGACGTTTGAGGATAATGAAAATGTTGGGCAGGGCACGGAAACGGGCCGCCAATGGAACATAGGCATTCTTTATTATCGACCATCTCACCTGAACGACCTTACACTTTGGCATATGGGGAGGATGGAAAGGGATGATGGACATGAGGAGGAGGAGGAGGTTAATGGAACGGCCAGGTGATAAATAGGATGTGATTGGAGGATGGGTCATGGAAGAGCTGGTGAGATTTCCGGCCAACTCGCCGACATTCGGCTCGCCGACAGCCAACTCGCCGACAGCCAACCCGCCGACAAGCCAACTCGCCGACAGCCAACTCGCCGACAAGCCAACTCGCCGACAGCCAACTAGCCGACAGCCAACTCGCCGACAAGCCAACTCGCCGACAGCCAACTAGCCGACAGCCAACCCGCCGACAAGCCAACTCGCCGACAGCCAACTCGCCGACAGCCAACTCGCCGACAGCCAACCCGCCGACAGCCGACTCGCCGACAGCCAACTCGCCGACAGCCCTCAGTTGACCACTCACTTTGGTGACACGAGAATTTCTGGTATCACATTGATGAGCCGCCGATTTTTGGTGACAATGGTTTTGGGCTTCGTGTCACCATGGATGAAGGGTTGGTGTCACAATGGTACAAATTCTCTGTGACACACTGGTATCAAGTCTGGTATCACCATCGTGAGGACCAAGTCTCGTGTCACCAGGCCACTTTTTCGGTGTCAACATTGTACGAGTGTTGGTGACACCTTGGTAGGAAATCCCGGTGACACCATAGTACAGGGTCAGTGTCATCTTAGGTATGACAGTCGGCGGGTTGGCTGTCGGCGAGTTGGCTGTCGGCGGGTTGGCTGTCGGCTGTCATCCATGGTGACACGAAGCCCAAAACCATTGTGTCACCAAAAATCGGCGGCTCACCAATGTGATACCAGAAATTCTCGTGTCACCAAAGTGAGTGGTCAACTGAGAGCTGTCGGCGAGTTGGCTGTCGGCGGGTTGGCTGTCGGCGAGTTGGCTGTCGGCGAGTCGGCTGTCGGCGAGCTGGCTTGTCGGCGAGCTGGCTTGTCGGCGAGCTGGCTGTCGGCGAGTTGGCTTGTCGGCGGGTTGGCTGTCGGCGGGTTGGCTGTCGGCGAGTTGGCTGTCGGCGAGTCGAATGTCGGCGAGTTGTCCATATACCAGCTGGTGAAAAGTAAATATGGCGAAGAGACTTTTGAAAGAAAAGCCGGTGTCGAGTGGGTTCGTCAACAAGTGGAAGATAGAAAAAAACTAACTATACCCCTGAAATTAAACGGGATCAACGAGATGAAATTGGGAAAAAACCAACCGATTATGGTATGTAAAAAACGTGAAAGAACGTGAGAGCAACTTTGTATACTAATAGCATCTTAACCCATTTAAAGGGATCAGGAAGACCCGGATAAATTAAGCATAAAGCCGATTTCACCATCATACTTAGCATAAATCGTCTCTTCTCCCTCTCGCTTGGGCCCAGTCTCTACCCCGTACTTTGTATTCGCATATCCGCTTGGCAACTTGCCAATTGTAGGTGAGCCCCTGATCTGCGTGCACCTTCCTTATCCCTTTAACAGCTTCTTGTCTGGAAGAGAAAATAACCTAATTATCATCAGGTATTACGGTGATTATCTTAAAAACCAACTTTTCAATGAAAAACCAGAAACCAAACAAAAAAATCCGTTATTTTTAGAATGACGATATTGAGTAACATATCGCCAGATAGGTGGTGGGTGGAGAAAAGAGGGGTGGGTAGAGGCGGCTGCGTGAGCCGTGCGTGGGAAATAGGAACACAATCAGGAGAGAATCTTGTTGGGGGAACGGCTCCCCTTCTCAGAGCCTTCCTCCTCAGAACCCTCCTTCTTCTTCCTCTAGACCCAGTCTTCTTCTTTTTTCTTCTTCTTCTAACGGCTGCTCCAGAAGAATCGAGGACCGGCCAGTGCAGGGCAGGGCAGCACTGGGGTTGAGGACGATGTATCGGGTTGATGGGCTACACAGATATCCACCCCACACCAGTTTTTACACCTCGCGAATCTCCATGCCTTTATGCAAATTTCTTGAGGGATGATTTTTTTTGGATTAAAGGGGTTGTTACAAGAAAAATAATTCAACTGACGGTACTGTTTCGTTAGCGGGGGAATATACGAGGGGCAACATTTCTGACATTTTTCATTATGCAACGGGAGTCATTTTAATAACACTTACGCCTTTTGTACTATACAAAGTTGATAAAAAATCTTTGGTCAAAAATTCATGAATTGTTAAAAAAATTAAAGAAATAATAATAATTGTCAAATTTTACAGTTTTTAATATATAACTGTTTCTGTAGCTTCTATGAATTGAAACTACTAAAAACGCCGTAAAAATAGTTTATGTGCTTTACTAGGGTCTTGGCTGAATAAAGAAAGTTAGCTGCCCCCCCGCTAACTAACTAGAACCCCACAGGGCCGCAATTCATAATCATGTAATCAGACGCACATCTAATGACACACCGCGAAAAAAGTACTTAATGGAGTGGAGGACATTGGTCCAGTAATCCCAAAATCAAACAGAAACGATCCATTCAAAATTTTCTATCTTTTCCTATTATAAATAGGGCAGCTAATTCGGGAGATTTGTTAGCGATTCGAGAGCCGCTGACGCAGGCTGAAAATGGCTCGACGCCAGCCAAATCTTGCAGCCACCCAACAATGGGGAGGCCGGGCCAAATGAAGCATGAATATGAATGGGGAGGGGCGGAAATGTTTTCTGGTTTTGGTATAACTATCCGGTCAAAGATGGTTGGGGTTATGGGGGTCGAAGGATGATAGTGGAAACGTATGGGACATCATTTCACTCCATAACAAAAAGTGTCATTGTATTTTGCATAAAAGTCCTGGGTCTAGCGTATCAGCGGAGGGAAGTTTTGTAAGGTCCAAAACATGGTAGTGTAGTGTGTAAGCATAGATTACTGCATGTATATCTGAGTGAGAACAGAATGCCGTTTTATGCGATCATACGTTTTTCAAAGTTTACAAAAATTTAAATTAGCCCATTTGCATACAAGAGGTTACGAGATAGATATTGGGCTTGGCCGCCGGTATTTTAGTTGTTAAATGTGTTCTTGAGGTATTCATGCCAACGGTATTGACGGATGGTGTAAATTGACAGCTCTCCAAGGCTGGCTTTCAGTCTAAATGGACAAGGACGGCAGAATTCACGCAAATCTCGAAATTTCCGGACCGAAGAGGGTTCGGGTTCGCACCACGTAACGGGTTTATACACTAAAGGGACGGGGAAGCGAAAAAGTGGGCAAATCTCGAAATTTCAGGAAGAGGATGGAATCAAAAAATTCCTTCAACCTGCCCGAAAAGGTGTTAGACCCGGGCGGCTCTACCCCGCGAGATACTAGCGGGGAGTTCAGAATGACTGGGCAAGTTTCCGGGCCACGCGTGCAAGATGCAAGGCGAGACAAACATGGCGCCCCCCAATAAACTCTCTTCAGAATCAAACGGCGCCCTTCTCCTCTTCCATACCCCTCCGCCTCCTCCTCGTCCGTTTTGGCATGGCAGGAGCAAATGGAGTGTGTTGGTGGTGTATGTGTAGAGAAGAGAACAGGATGAGGGAGGGATGGAAGGGAAGACTCCTCCTTGTGAAAGGAGAACGATGGAGTTGATGCGCGCCAAAGATAGGCTGCTTGTTGGTGTGGGCGCTGTCGTCTTCTTCTTCTAGATCTTTTTCTTTGGCTTCTTGAAGGCATATCTTGCCCACCACACCCCCTTCCTGCTTCTTCCCCCCATCTCACACTCACCCAAGAGGAGTGGAAGGGGCCCACAAGGGTCTCCCTTCGCTACTTCTTGGTGGCACTCGGTGACATTATTGACTAGGGCCCCCCTCTCACCGCTAAGGCCCAAAGTCGGCTGGAAATGAAACCAAGAATGAAAAAGGGGGTTTGGGAGGAGGAGGAAGAAGATGAGGAGGCGGAACTGCACCTACTTACCCATGGGCACGGCTGCATAACAATGTCGAGGTCTCAGCGTAAAAAATACCCAGAAAATTGTCGTTAGTGAAAAAAACGGGTTTTTCGCTGTGTTATTTGTATTCCGGAGGATAGATGCAGGCTGTTTTTGTTTAAAACCAGAATTAGTAAAAGTCAGAAATGTGCGAAAAGTCATATTTCCGAAAAAGCTACTTTTAATGTCATTAAGAAAAAAAGCATAAAACAGAAAATAACAGGGCAAATTCTGCTAAATTTTCATTTTGCGGTTATGCCCTCAGAAACATTTTTTCGAAGTTCCGGCTTTATGAAAATGCTTAAATCATCATTTTCCAATGTATTATCTGCGAAAGACCTTCATAAAATCTTTCGGTGTTCCGTTTTTCTCAAATGAATCAATCATTTTAGGCCCAAATAATTAGAATGGATTCTACCAAAACCCATTAATACCCGACTTTCTATAAAAATACCGTCTTGATAAACGTCAACCAAAAATACCAGAATGTGGGTTGGCGACGAAACTGAGGATTAGCAATATCCCGTGGGCGGCCAAACTACCGGTTTCTGTGGACTGGTATTAGATGTCCCCTCAAAGAGTGCCAATTATTGCCTTCTCGACGTTATCCCGGCCAAACACGTTTCTGGCATTCAAGCAATTTATTGAGTGATCAATAGCCGTTCTGAGTAGGCCCAGAGGGCGAGGAGTCCGACGATCAACGTCAGGAGGCCGTAGGTGATCTGAAATTAATTTCTCAAAAATTTTCAAGAAATTTACTTACTAGAATCCCTAGAATAATCAACGAATCGCCGGTATTTGTCCAATCCATGCCGAACACATGGACGATCAGTAAGACTAGGGTGGTAATGACGAGGATGAGGACGAGCAAATGTGTGCAGAGTAACTAGAAATTGTAGTTTTGTAAATACCCTACTTTGTAGTCGGTAACAAAGCTATTTTTTATAGCCTACCGTCACCCTTGCGCTGAAAAAGCGATTGATGACCGATGAAAATGCCCATCCAAAAAGTAAGCCGGTAGTGGCGAATAGAAAGATGAATGTGCTTAAATTTTTTAAATTAACAAATCTGAAATTTAGTAAAGCACAGACATATAAATAACATTATTTCAAAAGTAATGATTGTTAGTAATTATTATCATAGACTTACACAGGAGCACCACGCAACATATTGCTTCCTTTACAGCACGAAGCAATGAACACGAATAAGCATAAACACTGAAACTCCGATTTACCATTTTTTAATAGTATATAATACAAAAAATATTTGACTTTAAAACAAGCTCTTACCGCCGCAATCGCTTTCAAAAGCCAACCCGGCACAAATGTAGTCGTCGTCTTATACGTCGAAATCGTCGACCGACGCATCGAAATACCGGTTGATGTCATGCTCATTAAAACCTGAGCGAAAATTCAATTTCACGTTGCGTTCGCCAAATATTTAAAACACAGATTAAAAATCGATAAGCCCCGGAAACTCAGTCATCAAAAGCACGGCCGATTTGAAGGCGGGGAGAAATGGTGAAGGGCATATTTGGAAAACATAATGAATAGTAGCCCATTCATATCAAAATATATGGTTGTGGGGAGGCGGTTTAAAAGGGAATTTTAAGTTTGAAAGCTGGATTTATGGGGGGAAAAGATTTATTATAATTGATGTGAATGGATCGATTCGGCAGAGGCGGATAGTAGCCAACAAATAGCCCGGAGAAGCCAGGGGCGGTGTGAACGCGCCTGGGAAAACAGTCGTGAATATTGTGGATAGCTTTTCAGGATTCAGTCCCGGGATGGAAAGTGGCCACGTTTTGTAATGTACCGATTGCAATTGGCTTTTTGAAACTTGCTAAAATGTTTTGAAAGCGTGAGCTTTATTGTGGATGTAAGAATTTTATTTGTATTCCAGCTTCTGGTCTCGGAAGGCGATCATTTTTCTGAAAATTATCGTTTACAAAAATTGGTTTTCAAGAGTTATATTTTCGAAAGGGCAGTTCATAAACCAGAAAATATATTTGCTATTTCTGCCCCTTGTACCACCAAAGAGCATTTTTCAAAAGTATAGCTTTCCGGGAGCATGACTTTATAAAATGTGTATAGAAATATCCCGGCCTTAATTACGGTCATATCTCATTTATTAAAATTGTACATGGCAGTCAAATTAAAAGCATACTCATTCTTAATCAATTTTGACGTTGTAGAAGTGTCTCAAACACTTCGGATCACGATGATATTGCCGGAATAAGCCCAGGACAACATCAGAAGACAGATGATCGATTGGATGACGAAGCATACCTAGAAATTAACGCTGATCCTGATTGAAGAATTGAGACTTACCGCTCCTCCGACCATCATCTTGAAGCGGTTCGATCCGGATGAGTCGCGTGTTTCAAAGATATAGAAGAGGATTAGCACCGAGCAGATGATTGAGAGGGCCGTCAGGGCAAAGTTGATTCCGATTTCCTAAAATCAGGGCTGCGGGATTTGGAGGGTTAGGTTACCACATTGCGGAAGGTGAGGAATTGTTGTAGTACGGAACCGATGGACCAGCCAAGGAGGGCGCCAACAGTGAGGCCGATTGTAATGAACGTGCTGAAAATCGGGTAGGCTCAGGGCGCTTCAAAAAGTGAAAAAGGTTGCCTTCAAAATGATAAGGCACCCTTCTGAGATTCAGAATCCGGCTTAGTTTTCTCTTAGAAAAACCTCACTACCATCTTTTTGTATTTTACCTGGAATATGCCATGCGAATATTCTGATCCAGCATGTAGACAATTAGAAGGATCACCGAGCAAAGAACCTAGAATTTATTTTTATAGTTTAGCCGATTTTAACGATTTTAACGATTTCCTCATTCAACCTACCACGGTAATCAGCTTGATCACCCAAATGGGGATAGTAGAGGTGGTGACAGTACGACTGCCAGTAGTCGTCGTAGTTCGGGTGACAATCGCCATTTCTGAACGGAATGTGAACATTTAGGGTGTTTAAGGTATAATCATACCCAAGAAAATAAGGAAATAAATCGAGTGGGAATGCGAGGGTGGCTGGTCTAGGAGAGGTAAATAAACCTGAGGAAACGGGCCAAAAAAGGCAGAAGGCGGGTGAGTAAATGTTCAAATGACAGGGTTAAACAAATTTTTGAAAATGTTTTCCCTCATTTCTGAAATTTTCTAAAAAGCGCGCATGTTTTTTAGCAATTTAGTAACAAACAAGCAACTGAAAACGCTATAAAATACACCTAAAGGCGCAAAAAATGGCATGGCGGTTGTTCGCCAAGCATCAAGTACCCAAATTTTGGCTGTGCGTTCTAGCCTTCTAGGAAGCCTTAGTAAACAAGCCAAGCCAGAAAGCCCTAACGTTCCTGGGTGTGAGGAGTACACCATATGGCCAATGCGAAGTGTAAGGCCACGCCGGCGCCATTGCAAAAAGCCGCCCCGAAAGATGAGGCGGCCATATTGGAGGAATGGCGCGCCGGAAATACATATTCACCAAAAAGTGAACGCGTATTTTTGAGCGGTGCGTCTTCGAAAAACCTCTCGGCAAACGGGCTCGTGTTTTGTGGAAGGCTGTTTCTCATTCGGATTGAGGGTCCGAAGGAGGGGGGGCATTTCGCAATGCATGAAAAACGAGCACGAATCTAGCATGTGGTGGCACAAATTATAGATTGGCACGTATGAGAGCAAGTCAACAACATCTGGTTGAAAATAAAAGCTTTATAGAGATTTATTCGAAACCTAGCATTAATGCGGGGTTCGACAAGGGGTTGTTTCTAGCCGATATTAGAATTTTTTCTAATTTTTAATTTTATTATTCAGTATAGCCTGAAATTATGAACACATGCCTGCTTTCAAAAACTACTGAAAGATACGGGTTTCTTTGAACAGGTCTCTCAAAGCTGAAATTTTCTAAAGGGGTCACAACAATCTGGATTTTCCTTGGAGTTTCTGCCGAGACCTTTTTTATTTGACATCGTAATTAAACAAAGATATCCCTTATTTCTTTCCCTGCAGAAATAAGATAAGGAAAACTCGGTGATAAAACCTGAAATCGAGCAGGGTTGTGTATAGGAAATGTTGTTGTGTATGGGGGATGGGAGGGCTGAATATATCGGGGGGAAAGGGGCGGATGAGTCACAAGGTCACGTTGTGTGTTGGGCTGTCGTCCCTCCGAAATGGCCAAAATGGCAGCCTAGTGTGTCCAATACGGCCCTCGAATTGATGGGCCCCAGCTGGGAATGGACTCTAAAATGGGGACAACCTGCACGTACTCTGTTTTTGCATTAAAAAAAAACATAATAAATTCGCTGCAAAATACAAAGCTATTCAGCCAAAAATTTAGAGACCTAAAGTGCCTTACACTACCATTGACCTCCGGCTTGCAAAACTGGCACTAACGAAGTGAAGGTTTTTGGGCCCTCCACCCCATCTGATGAGCTCCCCGGGTGAAAATAAATGGAAAAGGCCCATACAATTACCTCCAACCCTTCTCTTCTCTTCTTACGACCCAAGCGACTCGTGGGACGCAAAATATTTCTTTGGAAAGGGACCGTGAAAAAAGCAGTCTCCTTGTTAAGTAAAATATCGTTGCAAAAATAAATACTACTAAAACTTCCAGAAAATTCCTTTATTTTCCTGCAAAAAACATTGGTCAGACCTATCAAATGCGGCTTTTGAAAAATTTTAATATGAATGTTTGGCGACAAAGAGAGATTCGGCAGCTGCTCCAGCCTCGTCTTCGCCAGTGTATTTACCCAGAGCCGCCATTCCTAAACAAAAACTAATCGTATTAAAGCCGGCTCTAACCGTTTGCTTGCGAGCGATGGAGCAACGTTTTTTGGGCCTTCTCGATGTTCTCGTCCTTTCCGCCCCAAGCCTTTAGCACAGAAGCCTGGAATTTGTGTTATTGTTAGGATTCTAAGATCAATTTTCTTAGCTGTTTTTAATATCAACCTAGAGCTTCGAATTTTTAGAAGATTTTTAGAGTTATTATTTGTAACTTTTTTTTAATTGGTTATTTAGTTAATTGGTTTTTTATATTTCGTTCCTAATAAATACAGAAAAACTTTTTATTATCTTCAAAAATACCTTGTACTTATCGAAGCTGTTTTCCTTTATGAATTGTCTATCTACCTCCCCAAAACTGGCTCCTTCTACCCCCTGACCGCTCGTCTCGGGCGTCTCCGAACAGAATCCTATCCATCGCCCCTGCCCCCAGCCACGCCCAGTCCCATATAGCGCCGCTCGCCTTCCCCCTCCCCGTCGGCTTAGTGGTCTAGTGGTATGATTCTCGCTTTGGGTGCGAGAGGTCCCGGGTTCAATCCCCGGCTGAGCCCAACTTTTTGCTTTCTCACGCAAAGCTTCCCCGCTCCTAATAGACGCCTCCCCGAGGCAGCACGCACGTGGCTGAGTGGTCTAGTGGTATGATTCTCGCTTAGGGTGCGAGAGGTCCCGGGTTCAATCCCCGGCTCAGCCCAAAGTTTTTGCTTTTTGGCTAATCAGCTGGGGAGCCACTTAGGTAGACTTTAGGAGAAATTTTTCTTTCAAAAAAGGTAAATCACCCGTCCTCGAAAGGATTTAGGCTAAGCTTTTTCTTCAGTTTCTGGCTTGCTTATTGCTTGTTTTGCCTTGCTTAGTTGGGACATTTTATCGCATTAATGGAGCGCCGTAAAAAGGCGACCGCTACAATTTCCCGATTCTTAACATGCCGGAAATAGCTTGTGCGTGGCCGCAGAGCAATTTTGGGCTAGCGAAGAAAGGGCAGTTTTTATAAAGCGCCTGGGAACGATCGACAGATCAGCTTGTTTTAAACGTTGATTATTATACTAAATTTAGGTTACTGTGGAAAACGAATATTGCGGATTTATTACATTGATTCGCTTATCGTGAAAACAGAACCTTATAAGTTGGCGCCTGACTTAGCAGAAGAAGCCGCTTTTGTGAGGACGTTTAGGCCTGTTCCAGCAACCGCGCAACTGTCTACCCCCAATCCCTATAGGGCGTCCCTCTTCGCCCGCTCCCGTCGGCTTAGTGGTCTAGTGGTATGATTCTCGCTTTGGGTGCGAGAGGTCCCGGGTTCAATCCCCGGCTGAGCCCAATTTTTTTGCTTTTTCGTCCTGTTTGCGCAGTTATTTCCAGATTTTTTTTCCTCTTACTTAGGCTCGTGGAATATAGCTTACTGGCCAATTCATACCTGAAGAGCACGTCCGTAGGAGAAGGTGAGCTTCCAGGGGCGAATGAGGTTGACCTTATTGATAGCATTGAGATTCGCAGTGGCGTCGAGCTCTGATTGTCCACCGGAGAGGAAGGTAATTCCGGGGACAGCCGGGGGTACTCCGCTAAATTGCATTTATTGTGATTGTTGATGTTCATCTACCGTCGGAGGGCCTCCACGGTGGCGATGGCGATCTCCTCGTGAGATGCACGTTTTTTGCATTCCTGGCCTGGGGTGACCATGTTCGGCTAAATTTTAGGGTGGTTTTTCGTTAATTTGAGCTGCTTATTAAAATTTTACGGATCTTACAAACCTTGAGAAGTGTTCCCTCGAGATACACGTGGTGATCGGAAAGAGCCTTGTAGGTATATGCCAGGACTTGTTCGGTAACCTATTAGCCCTCTTTGGTCCTGATTAAAGAAAAAAATACCCTGCGTGCCCGATCGAGATCGTGATCACCGTCTTGAAGAACCTCGGGCTCGACGATCGGCACGAGGCCGGCCTGCTGACAGATAGAAGCGTACCTAGATTTTATTATTATTTAAATGCTGACTGTATATTACCTAGCCAAAACGTTGGCATTCTCGAGCATACCCAAATGAGACGGCGTATGAGAGCCAATGTTCAACACGCAACGCCATTTTGCGAAACCGCATCCACCCTGCAAATTATTTTTGATTTGTTTTTGAGGTTTTCAAAACTTTCAAAGGCCATTTAAAATACCGTCGACCTTTCTTGAGCTTCTACTTACCTTTTTGAAGGCAGCGGCTCGTTCAGCGAGCTTATCCAACCCCTGGGTAGTCCCTTCTCCCAGAGATCCTGCCAACGGAACAACACCAAGATCGAGCTTGATGCCGGGAACGATGTTCTGCTTCTTCAGCACATCAACAAAACGTTCGCCTTTCTCGGTCGACTAAATTATTCGCGGTTCTAATGCAGTTATTGGTAAATTTTTTGCACTGGGCGTCACGTGATCGTAAGAGAATCGCAGATTTTATTTTATCCACTCAAAGATTTTTCACGGTGCTGCCAGAATCACCTGATCTCGACTAAAAGCCCCCCTTTCTACAGGCAGTCCCATCATTTTCCATGTCCATCCCATTCCCTCCCAGGGCTGTTTACGTGCCGGCCAATTTTTGGGGGCCGATTCGTTATCGTGAAGAGAGGAGGCGTTCAAGGCCGTCCATCCGGCAGATCAATTCGTCGCTATGGGGCGATATCAACCGATTTCGGATACAGAACTTCCCAAGACAAGCAACAACAAAATGTTTTAAATAGGAAAATAATCTGCTAGCTAAATAACAAGATAATAGTGCTTCGACGTACCTGGTGGAAAGTCTGCTCATACAGGATGACACCCGAGACATGCTTGCCCAAGTTTGGCGTCGTGAAGAGCAGCTCGCGGTACTTCCGGCTGTTAGCGTCGTTGTTTTCCAAGTTGATAGACGCAAGGCGCTTGCCAATTGTACCTGAAATTCCGAACTCCAAGGCCCCGTTCATTTTTAAATGTACACTTGCAATCCATTTAGCTAAAACAAGTTACTCTCCACAGCACTCCTACAAAAACTGACCCGTGCTTTCATCAGCAGCCAGGATGCCCTTGCCATCGGCGACGATAGCCTGCGCGATTTCGCGGAGCTCCTTCTTCTGAGCCTCGCTCAATGGGTCCTTGTAGGAGCCTCCGACCTCGGCCATCTTCTTTCACTAAAAATACGGTAGTATGGAACACGGGGGTAGAGGTGGGGCAATGTGACCCCAAAAATGATTGGCAATCGGTGATATATCTGGGCAACAACGGTAGGAGGTCAAAAGATCAGTGTAGGCGGAGACTGTCCACTCGAAAAGAGGTCAAAACTGAGCAAAGTACACTTCTAGTGGCATGGCCGGCCATGATAACTAAATTCCAGGTTTCAGATTAACCTTTAATAGTCAAACCGGACGTTAAATTTCAGCCTCCTGTCCGAAAATAAACCTCCTCTCCGCTGTAAATGGAACCTTTTGGAAATCAATTTTGGGCGGGTCAACAGAGAGGGGCGGAGCCACATTCGAGTTGTTTTGCCGGGGGAGGCCGATGCGCGTCCTTCCCGTTTCCAGATAAAAGCCTTTGATGGGCACTCACAAATAGCGGGGTAACATCTAGACTGGACACTGTAGTTTGTGTAGGGGCGGCACCCTCAGAAACAGTCGATAAGACTTTTAAAATAATCAATATATCCATGCGTTGAATCCGCTTTTTGAGGTATGCTTTTTGTTCAGCCGATGTGTGTATGATTCAAGTATGTCCATGCGCTATAATTCTCCTCATAACTTTATTGTCATAAAATATATGCATATGCTATAAAGAGATCATACCGATCAACGGCGAAATGATAATAAATTAAATAGCCTATTCGTCGGAGCTTCTTCCATCAAGAAAGAAGTTGATGTATCCGCCCTTGGCTTCGTTCCCTGAAAAGCCACGTCAAAATCTAGTTTTTTTATAATTAAGTTCATTCAGATAGTCTTACCGTCGTCCGCTCCTCGTTGGTGGACGAGAACTCGACGATTTAGCTAGCGGGGCATCTTCGCGATATGAATAGTAAGGGCTGAGGGAACCACTATGATCAAGCTAAAATTACTAGAATTTGTACCGAAAATTACTAATAATGTCAACCATAAACCAAGAAACAGACCTTATAAGCCAGCGGGGGTGTCTGCCGGGCCGCTCGCATGTTGTTGCCCGTGTAGGCAATTGCCCGCAATTGCCACTCCCCAATCTAAAATTCGACGCTTTCTGACAATCAGTGAGCAGACAAAAGCCGCTAATGGTCAAGGAAATATTTTCGGAGGTGCGGGGAGCCTTTCGGTGAAAAAGCAAAAACTTTGGGCTGAGCCGGGGATTGAACCCGGGACCTCTCGCACCCTAAGCGAGAATCATACCACTAGACCACTCAGCCACGCGAGTGCTGTCTCGGGGAGGCGTCTATTAGGTGCGGGGGAGCCTGTAGGTCAAAAAGCAAAAAGTTTGGGCTGAGCCGGGGATTGAACCCGGGACCTCTCGCACCCTAAGCGAGAATCATACCACTAGACCACTCAGCCGACGGGATGAGGAGAGGCTTTCGGGGATAAGAACAGGCGGCGGACCGCCAGAGGGAACGGCGCCGGAGGCGGAACCGAAAATGGCTGACGTGAAAGGCGCAAGCCTATTCTGGCAGAAAAGATCAGAGCTCACAAAGTATAGACATATCATGCCATTTATCTTTCGAGCCACAGATTATTTCATAGGCTTTCAAGCATTAATGGTTTTCTGGCGTGACTTAATACCAAACCCTCACCTCTTCATTCCACTCCACATATTGCTCGATCAATTCCAAGCATTCTTGAGGAATATACTCGTCTAAAATATAAGTTTTCACAGCTATTTTTAATTGCATACCAATAATCGTCATCTGTAATTGCAATTCTTTGCTCAACTGCCGAACAGTTTCCAAAAGGCCTTCCATTTCCCTCTGATGTTCAGCCTCTATATCCGAAATTTCAGCTTCAACCTGCAATCGGGATGTTCAAAAGATAATTCCATTCGAAACAACCTCTTTCAGTTCATGAAATACTCTTTTTAACTTCTGCGTCTTCGAATGCGCCTCTTCTTGGAGCGTCGTGGTTCTAAAAACATTGCTCGAATAATTTTAACATTATAGATGGAATTATGAACTCTTATACAAAAGTGATTATCAACCTACCGTTCTTCAATCGTCTCTCTATGCTGTTCTTTTTCCCTTAAACGATCTCTCAAGTCAGATTCTTTCCGCAGCGTCTCCTCCAGTTCTTTATTACTTTCTTCCAACATCCGTGCCTTCAAGATATTTTGATTTTAAGCCTACCAAAGCAAATCTTACCTGGTCTTCAGCCTTTTCCAACACATTTTCACCTCCCACAATAAGCTTGCTCTCCATCTGGCTGAGCTTGGCCCGCAGAGCTTCATGGTCAGCTCTCGCCTTTTTCAGCTCATTTTCTCGTGCCAATAAGTCTGCAGACAGCTTATTCCGTTGCCCTTCATCCAAGGCTAAAAAATTGTTAGCGTTTTTTTGATGAATAACTGCCCTATTTTCATCCACTTACTTGGGTCTATTTCGGCCCGTCGCTTCTCTAAATTCTCTTCCATAGCTTTCATTCGTCGTTCCCAATCTTCAGTTCCTCTGGCTTTCCGAAGATCTTCCATTGAAGCCGTCAAATCACCAGCCGCTTCTTCTCCTTCTCCTTCCTCATCTACAAATTACTCATATTTCCTAGATCTCAAATATCACCAACCAGCTAACATCTTTTTCAACATCTCAATTTCTTCCTGGAATTTTCTAAGCATCGCATCTTTCGGGTCTTCATTGATCCTGGAATGTATCGGCTTTTACGAATTTGCGAATTGCTCAAACCTGGCCACGTTCTGGATATTCTTTGCTCGATTGGCATAACGAAGAGTCGAAAGCGTTTCATCATAGTTATAATTAGCCGGGCCGATATTTGCAACCTGCTCGAACAATATATCTCTCCAAAAAAATTGTCACCATCAGCGTTTTCGAATTTCCACCCAACGAATCTTGCAGCAATCTAGTAAGTTTAGAATTTCTATAAGGAATGTGAGTAGATTTTCCATCGACGAGAGCCGAGATGACGTTGCCGAGTGTACTGTAAACACATTTAATAAGGAACTAAGGTCGTCATAAATACCTTAGAGATAGATTAATTTTTGCAGCCTCTTTTAGCCGTTCCCCCGTAGCACCGGTCTTGGATTGCCTCTCACTACCAGCCAAATCGACCAGTTGAAGTTTACCCTGAAAGATGAACGAATGATAAAATACAGCTTTGTGAATTAGTTTAATCAATCAATATTTACCTGGGTCACATGGCCATTTTCTGAACTTTCGACCGTGACAGTAAACATGGCATGTGAACGGGAGCTTTCGATATTCATCAGGGTTGCACCAGTTTTTCCTGAAAACGTTTTTTTCTGCCTTTTTATGCTCATTGCTTGGGAACTAACGATTTTTGCTGCCAATCTCCATGATCCGCAGCATTTGGCCGGCATTGGAGACGGTCACTGTTGATAGCTTATGCACATAGACGCCGACATCCGGTCGTTCCTAGAATTACCCTGAGATGAAAAAAAAATGCGCGATTGTTGAAACCCTGTTACCCACCTTTATTTCTAGCTGAGTGCCGTGACCATCTTTAGCTAATAAATCCCGTATTTCTTCGTTGTAAATTTCCAAATAGGAAACCCGTACAAGGAATCTAAGCAAAATTTCCTTCAACGTTCTCGTAACCTACGTTTTATCCTGTTCACATTTCGAAATATGATCGAATATATGAGCAAACGAATTCGGGATGATCCCAGGCTTCTCATCATCGCCACTCATTGTGAACGTTTTGCCCGTGCCTGTTTGCCCGTAAGCAAATATGGTGCCTAAAGGGACGTCGTGATTTACGGTAATGGACTACCATTGTAACCCTTCAACACATTTTCGACAATTGGTCTTGCAGAAACGTTGTAGACAAGCATTTGATCGGAATCTGCTCCAAAGACCGCATCGAACCCGAAGGTACGTGGTGGTTCCTGAGAACAAATCCGTTGTTTATTAGATCCATTCAATAAAACTTACCTCAGATTGTTGTGGATGGAAAAGCTGTACGGTACCACCTCGATGGTCAACCTCGACGATACCCTTATGTCCTTGCCGTTTTTCTTGCTCGGAAATCGGCCGACATCTCACCACTACCCGCACTTTTTCCACCTCGCCTTGCATCTTAGAAATAAACGATGCAGTTTAGGTACGAAATATATCAGATGACTGCTGCAATGGAGAAGTATTCAATAGTAATAGTCCATGGTGGGGCCCCCAATTGGCCGTCTAGCATATAACCATTGCCATGGGTACCCAGTCCAGCCACCCCGGGGCTCAATGTTACACGCCCAACTGAAGTGGTGTAATTTTCTAACGAGAAAAAATTATCTATCGAATGGTGACGGTCAGAACGGGCGTTTTCTTGAAAATAAGGAATTACTGGAGCCTAAAATTCACATATTGGTGGTGCCTATACTACTGTGCCGCACACATTCACCATTGGTTTTGCCTCGAGCTTTTGCTATAAGATTACTTCGATCTGTCGCTAATGAGTTGCGCGAAGGACAAATGTATTATTCTTATTCAAAAAACAAACATATTGCAAAGCTAAATCCGTTGTTCAAACCGATAATATGAAGCTATGAAGCTAAAGCTAGCTAGCTTTTTGATAAAGAGGCCCCCGTGTCGTAATATAATGTCCGAGTCTACTCAAGTAAAAGCCCTAGCTGGTAATAGATCTCGATATTTAGCCAATAAATGCCCCGCCCGCATTCAAAAAAAGATTTTAGCACTAAATCGCGACCTTTTTGGGTCATTTCCGTCTAAAACCCCTTTGGCTGTTGTTTTTCCAATTCTAAGGCTAACTCCCTAGTTTCCTTTGGCTTACTGCCCCCTACGGGTGATACTATTAGAGCAAAAAGCGAAAGAATTAGCATGAAAATGGCGGTTTTTGTGTCGGAGAGGAACCTGATCCGGCATTTTCCGCAATTGATCACGCATCAAAAACAGCTCCGTAGACGTCACTAGAACAGACTGAAGCACCGACACCACACCTAAATAGGCACCGGTCTGATCAAACGGAAAATAAACCTACTTTGTCGGCCGGATTACCTAATTACCTACCTGATTCGGCCAAGAGTAACACACAGAGGCATCTGTGGATGTGAGTCGGCTCAATCAATAAGCACAATTGTCGGGAAGAAAATGGTAGTGAAAAAAATTACCTTATTATTTGCACACGCATGTTGCTCAACAATTGTCGGTCCGCACGAAACATGGCAACCAGCGAGATAGCGAACTTGACGAGTTAATTCCAGCCGTTTACTACCTGAAGAAGGTACATAGAAAAAAGCACAAAATAATCCACCTGCTCTTTAGTCTTCAGATCGAGGCTGCCGAGTTCTGTTGCTGAACATTGTCTACGAAACCGTAAACTTGAAGAATTATTGGATGATACTTGTGGGCGCAAAGATCGGATATCACGTGCAGATCAAGCAACAGCACTTCATCGCCAGTATAAGCACTAGCCTTTAGTACCACGCGAGCCAATCTATTTCCCGCAGTAAGCTTTATTCGGCCTTGCAGATAAATTTTGTTATTTTGTTAAGAATCCGTTTTGTGCACCAGGCAGTTTAGACCTTTTCCGCTTCTTCGTCGGTTAAAAACAATTTATTGCTAAGAACAAAATGAAAACGTTGGAGGAACTTTACAAAGTTACAAATAATTAGTACAAGACAAACTAACAACAAGAAGCCACGAAATCAAGTGATTATGGGCTGTCCGTCTTGGCCCCATCACTTGTAACGATTTGGTGCTCGGCAACGTAAAGCTTCGGGTCGACTTCTCTCGGAATCGGGGCGATGCGGGTGCGAAGCTCGGCTTCGACACGGAACAGATTTGTGCGATCCTCTTCAGTGACAAAGTTGATGGCAAGGCCCAGATGTCCGTAACGGCCCGACCTAGAATTTTGTTTGGAACAGAATAAAACCTTTACCTTCCAATCCTGTGTAGATAAGTCTCCGCATTTCGCGGGAAATCGAAATTGATGACCACGTTCACAGCTTGGACGTCGATGCCGCGAGTGAAGAGATCCGTACACACGAGGTTGCGACAATTGCCTTGACGGAAGTCGTGGAAGACCCGGTTGCGATGGTGTTGGAACATGCGCGAATGAATGTAGTAGCAGGAATAGCCGACTTCGGTGATCTTCTTGGCGAGTAGCTCCACACGCTGGGTCGAATTGCAGAAGATGATGGATTGGTTGATTTGCAACTAAATGAATTATGGTAAATTAAAATGAAAATACCTTCTTGAATAGGGTATTCAGGCAAGCCAGCTTTTGCCCTTCGCGGACGTAGGCGTAGTACTGGGTGATGCCGTGCAGCGTCAACTCCTCCATTACGTTGACCTCGTACGGGTTGGTCATATGCTTCTGCATGAAGGATTCCACGATGTTGGGGAAGGTGGCCGAAAAAAGCATGGTCTGGCGTTCCTCCTTCTTGGGAAGGTACTTGAAAAGGCGGTCCAGCACGCCCTATATAAAAACATTAAATGGAAAAAGTATTACGAATACCTGGAAGTCTTGCGAGAGCAGCTTATCAGCTTCGTCGAGGACGACAGTCTTGCATTCGGACAGATCAGCTGCTCCCTTCTCGGTCAAGTCGAGGATGCGACCGGGCGTAGCGACGATGAGATGGACGACCCCTCTCAGCCTCATCAAGTCGTCACGTAGATCGGTGCCGCCCGTGGTGATCATGACCTTCATGTTGATGTGCTTGCTGAGTTGCAGGCAACATTGCGAGGTCTGCAGGGCGAGCTCGCGGGTCGGCACGATGACCATTCCTTGAATCTTGTCCAACTTCACGTTCAGTTTTTCGATGAGCGGAATCGCGAAAGCGCCCGTCTTCCCGGTACCATTCTTCGCACGAGCAAGCACATCATGCCCTAAACCACCAAAAAATAAACAAAAGTTACACGAACAAACCTTTCAGCGCCAGACCGATTGAGACCTCTTGAATGGGGCTCGGCTGCTCCCAGCCTTTCTCGAAGATGCCCATGAGCAGCTCGCGTTTCAGTTGAAAGTCCTCGAATTCGAGTCCCTTCGTCGAGGTCACATCCTAAAACGGGGGTAACGGGCAGGTGAAATATTCAGCAAACCTTGGTCTTCATGCGCAAGTCCTTGGGCGGTGCCTTGACCGCTGACTTCCAGTCTCCTTCGGGATTGGTGCTCATCGTTTCGGATGTCCGTTCGGCGATAATATGTGGCTCGATCGGGATGAACAGAAAATAAATTGAACTGGCTGAAAATGGCCTGAAACTGCCACGCGTGCGTTACGGTATGGGTGGGTGCGCTGGATAAGGGTGAATGATATAATTTATCGAATAAAAAGGAGGAATTATTCTTGTTCCATTTATCGTTTCGTTTTTGTCACTAAAATCGAAAAATTCCATTTATTTTTACCATGCCGCATGCGAGTGCCCGGTGAATGGCGGCGAGCTTTCGCGATACAACGTATTGTTTTTCTAAAGAAATTGTTTCGCGCATCAACTGGGACGCCCAGCGTGCCACTACCGTCGGAACGTGAATGGTTGGCAGTGGCCACGATTGCAGTATTTGTATCTTATTTTTGTATACGGTATCTGTAAAAGTCGCAAGTTTATTGGCATAAACACTGCGCAACCAAACAGAAGTTAGAAAATGAAAACAAACGCCTGCGTAATTGTTAGGAAAAATACGTAAGCTCTATACTAGTTAATGGGGGCGGGGGGTAGGGGGCAATGGGCTAAAACCGATAAAAGATTATCTGCGGATGTGCTGGGTTGCAGCTGTGTAAACTTGAAAATCGGGGTCAGAAGGGGGAAGTTAGGGATGGGAATGATCATCTTCGGCAAAAACGAATGGTAATTTCAACGGTTTAGCACGGGTATTGTTAGCACAGTGGTTGGCGAAGTCCTAGAGGCTGGTGGGAAGATATTTGTCACCATGTCTAGATCATCAGACGACTTTTGAAAAGTGAAGAATGTTATTGGGGACATTTTAAAGCATATGAGACTAAATATCTTCGTATGGAACATCAGTTTAGGGCGAAAGGGCCTTCGTGACGAATTCGCATAGCCGACGGGCGTACTGAAAAGAAAGAACTGCAAAATTGTTAACTAAACGATACCTGATCTGGCTTGACGGTGCTTATGTTTTCAGCATCGCTACCGTATTTGACGGTCTTGGCAGCGGTTGCCGTACGCTTCTTCACTCCGTAGTACGTCAGTATGTCCACCAGCCCGATGAAATAGATCAAACGGACATTACATTCTGGAATTCTGATGAAGTTGGAAAACATATAATTACCCGGAGCAGTAGCGATCGCATAATACTCGTCGTCAAGTTCGGGGCCTCCTTCTTGTGCAGGGAATGCGCCAGTCGAGGGGATCGGAGAGTCCGGCGGGGTTGGCACAAGCTCGTCAGAACTAAAGAAATTTACATTGATTTATAAACGATATTACCTCTCCTCACTATATTCAGCCGTAGCTTTTCCCTCGATCGCGGCCTTATCAACATCATGAATGCCTGAAAAAAAATTGGATTTCCCGCGCTAATCAAATCTGTCAAAGGAGCGCCGGGACAAATCAAATCCGCAGGAGGAACTTACCGAGCAGTAGAGAGTAATCCATCAAATGTTGCTTGGCTAGCCAGGCGGTGTCCGTTTCCAGCATGTTCAAGAACTGATGACGCAAATCCTAAATTCATATATGCGGGTAATGAAAAAGACGATAACCTCCGGAATGCTCAGCTTGATATTCGCCTCCAGGAAGTCGTTGTCTTTATAAGTTGGAAGCTCCTTAGCTTTCTCTTTCGATGAGGCGGCACGAGAAATGGTTGATCCCTAAATTTCGAGTTTTAATACCACCCTTTTTTCCTTTACTTAGAAAGTAGACGCAACGAAACAAAATAATTAAAAAAAAAACGAGAAGATTTACCTTGAGGTCGTACTTGGTGTGAACATTGTATTTACGCCCAAAAACGTTCCTCATCACAACCAGGTAGGTTTCGTTCCCATCAACCGTAAGACGATAAAGGCCGAGGTACTGCGGGAGGAGAGTCTTGCCTTAAGCTAAGAGTTATAATAGTAGTGCACCGATTACCGTGTTTTTCAACAACGTATTCGTGATAGTCTTTCATGATAGAGTGCAGTTCGGCTACGGCCTCAGAATCCATCGACTAAAAAAGAATTGCAAGGTCGATTTGGAAATTTACCTTAATGACAAAACGCTTATCATACGAAACAAAAAAGCGGCAGCTACCGCCATCAGCGAGGTCGAGGTCAGGTTCCTAAAGCGTATAATTCTCAGTAATCCGCAATTACCGGCTCAAAAGAGGTGAGTGAGCGCAGATATTCGTTCTGATCGACACAGAATTGTTCACGAAGATGGCGGAACACGTTAGGGCAGTATTCTTTGACCTGAAATCCAAACATCTTGAAAGCTCCACATGAAGGCATCCACCTCAAACTCAAGTCGCTAATTATCAAGAAATGTGATAGAAAGTCGCTATGGTGATTACGGACCGGGATTTTCAAGAAAAACTTTTTTACAAAAAGGACGAGAAAAAAGCGAATTATGCTATCAAACATCGGCGAAAACTTGCAAACCTTGAAATGAGATGGCATGATGTCCTTGTTGAACGCATGATTATCCACTTTGATTTTGGCGTATGCCTGGAAATGATAATAAAACCTAAGAAAGTAACAATTTACCTTGAAGTCATCAGGCATCAGCAGTTTGGGCGGCGGCACATGCATCAACTCGCCAATCGAGTGGTTGATACCCCACATAAAAACCGATAGCATCGGCTCCTAAACAAATGCGTCCTAACGTCGGATAGGATTTACCTTCGCCCTGAATAGTTTCCATTTCGGCACCAACACTTTGCCCTTCTTTATCTTCGTCCGAGGAGATTTGAGAGAAGACATCGCTAAAAAAACGCATTAGCCAATAAAAATAAAATGGAGGGTAGGGCACATAATAAATTTTACGTATCGTAAAATAACTCTACCAAAGGCCAAGAAGTTCCTTATCTCGGCCTGGTCGTTATAGGGCCAGCCCCAATATAAATTCTCGAGACAACCTAGGGACGCTCAAAGCCAAAAATGGGCGCTGTTCGACAGCAGAGCTTTTAGGAAATTGGAAGCTTAGGCGTTCAAAAACTTTTGTATGAAAAATCAGCCATAACATAAAGATATGCAACAATTTCAATAGGACCTCTATGCAAAAAAAGCTCTAGCAATGGGTGGTACGGAGGTGGCAAGAGAAAGGGGTGCGGAGAAATGAAAGGCGGACCCGCTGCGATGGGGCACAGAAGGCCTCTGTGTCCCCCACCCGTCCATCCCAGGGTCCGTCCTTTCCAGGCTGAAGGGGGGGGGGGGGCCTTTCTGGGTCTCCGTATCGACGGAGGGCCCGTCCATGGAATGGCCCCACGGGAAGGAGGAGAGGGAGGCGGCGCCCCCTCGGGCAGTGGCTACCAACCCATATTCCATTCTTACTCCACCGAGATTTTCGCATGCAAAGAACAAAGCAAGGATTACATAGAAGGTGCTGAGATTAATCGGTGCTAAGCCAGAAATTGTAAGTTATCGATAGAGCGCGGTTCAATGGTAGAATTTGTTGGCAATCGCTGATTTTGGGGTGATATCCCGTCAAAATGTGGATCCCTAGATCCCTGCGCCTGCTCCAAAAAACAATCAGATTGTGTCAGGCCCTTCTCAACATTGATGGGAAAACTCCTTATAAATCGAAGTCGTGTCGTGATTCCCGAAAAGTGGCTCCGCGTAATAATTAGGCAGAGAACACAAAAACCTTACCAAAATATTTCCGAAAAACACGCATCAAATTAAAGGCAACCATCAAGCTTGTGCGCCGAACGCCGCAAAACTCGGACTACTAAAACAGGATTGAGAGAAAAAATGCGAACGTGAAAACAGCCAGAAAGTGCCAAGGCACAAGGGTGATGAAGCGGTGGAAGAAGATACGTCCGAAGATACTTGCCACAATCACCAATACGAGGAGCGGAAGATGCGGACAACAATTAGAAGGAAGATGCGAGACGGACAAACAACACAAAACTAAGTACCTAACAAACTGCGTATGTTCAGCTAGAAGCACAGCAATTAAAGCAAAACGCGCACAGAAAAATTACGCACACAAACAATCTGAAACAATCTTCATTTTCTAAGGAAGCTTCAAGAAAATGCAATGTTTTTTGAAATGTTTAGTATTAGTAAACATGGCAAATCTTCCCCAGGTGGCTACGCCAAGCTACCCTAAACATTCGTTTACCGGCGCCTTGCAAACAGCTTTTGCAAAAATAAATCAGGTTCAGTCGAAAACAAACTTGTAAAAGTAAAAATACATAAAGGATCTCTCATAGAAAATGACTGTAGTTTAGATAAAGACCATAGATAAAACTGATGCAGCATATACATTCTGGTAAGGACCCTTCCGAACGCCCTCGGTACACCCTCAGATGCTCCTCGTTTGGAAATGACGGACTTTTTTTGGTTTCAGCTCCTTTGTTTTGTTTATTTCTTCACTCGAGGGAGTTCTTTTGAAAAGGATGTCTTTTCTAGATTGCCGCGCGACCACTTGTTATCGAGCTCTTGCTTCTGTTTCTACCTATATAAACAGGCACTTCGTATTTGAGCGCATCCAAAACATTTCGTATCCGCGCTTGTTGTTTATGTTCTTAAGTTTAGAATAAGTGAAAATAAATGGCCTGGAAGGGTTTTCAAAGTGCAGAAGCCTTCAAACTCAATCTCGCTGTTGTTTTCTTTCCTGGTGCCCGATTGTTGAGTATGGCCTTCTTTCAGGGGCATGGACGTGGACGTGAGCACGCGAGACAAGCACATCTATAGGTACGAGGACTTCCTCAGTGCTCATAAGGCGCAGCTATTGTCGGCCTCTGTGCCGGAACGCTTCTGGATCCCTCTTTTTGAAAAACTAACCAAAGAGGTGAGTTATATTGTTTTCAAAATTTGAGTGTTGATCTCTGTTCAGGTATTTGATGCTGGTGAACACTTTCAAGTCATCAACGATGAAGGCAATTACGAAGTTGTTGCTACCTCCCAAATTGACCACAAGATTGGCAACAAGTATACATATTCTCAACAATTATATTTTTCGCCAGTATCTTCTTGGTCGACCACGCCTGGACTTTTCGTCCCGCTGATGCCCGAAACGAGCTAGAAAACATTCCAGGCCTCCTTGAGCGCATGATCAAGTTATTTGGGGTTAGCACTTTTCTAACTTGTGTTATATAGCATTTTAGATGCTCGAAAAGAAGCCAAAGAGTGATGAAGTAAAAGATGTTGCTCTCATTGATGATAGTGACACTGATGATGAAGTGGGGGATTTCAGTTATCAGAATGCAGAATTGTAAATTTTAGGTAGTTTACGAAGACGAAAAGAAAGCTAGAATTACTGAGGTGGCTGATGAAAAACAGATTGATGGCGTGTTGCCTCGCCAGGTTTCGGTCGACGCTTATTTGTGCCAGGCGGCCAATGATGATCAGGAGGTTTGTTGCTTCCATTGCCTTTTGTTGACATTCATTAAGGCTTCGAAGCATCTTGGTGTCGATATCTTGTTTCAGGTCAACAAAGTGCTGCGAGACATGTGGCTGTATGCCCAGACGTATTCGATTCGCACTAAAAGCCAGATGACTGAGGGAGAAACCCCTGTTTGGTACATCATAGACGAATTCGGCTCCTTCATCGGCCATTCTGATGTCCCAAATTTTAGGTACCCAGGATCCGATATGTTATGATCAGGAATTTAGGCTGATCCCATTTTATTTCGCGCCGACCTCTGAGGCTTTCTCACTGCTTTTTCCGGTCGCGGCCGTGATGGAAGGAGGTATCTATTATATTTGTAATTGCATTTATGTGATCTCTAGATTCGGTCCGACGCGATTACGTAGACACTACTGTGCTCCAGCAGCATCCTGACTGGCGTGCTTTCTTATTGCATCCCTGGCAAGAAGGAGAATTCTCCGAGGTTTTGCCTCGTATGGAGCCACCAAAAGACTTCTTTATTGTATGTATTAATTATTCCCAACTTGGTGCTATTACAAACTTCTTTGTTTGAACCGTTTCCTTTAAGTATTATTACCACATTTAGTCCGGCCGCAAGCTCGACGATCTGCCATCTCGAGATGCACAGAATTTGTGCGTCTCACAGTTGGAGCCCGGGAAGAAAATGGCTATTTACACTGACTCACCTCAGCTGCTAAATAATTTGCAGGTGACAGTTTTTTCTATATTTTTTAACCGGGTGCAAACCAGCGTTCCACGACGGTTGGATTTTCCTGCTCTAATAATTTTTTGTTTAGAAGCATCGGTTCTCCCTTGTGGATGATTGGAGACAGGCGGATGTCCTCTGGTTGAGCACGCACTTTCATGAATACAGGTTTACTTTCTGTCTCAGGGAATTGCTTTCTTCAGGGAATTGTGTGCCGAGAACCCGCGAGCATTGGTCAACCAGTTCCCTTACGAATCTTGTTTGACGGTGAAGGATCTTTTGGCGGCGATTCTTCACCCCGAAATGGGAATGCCAGAGTGGGAGTGGTTCGAGGTAAATTGTACTGGCGGTGCTATGGATTAACACATTTCAGACGTGTTTCAATCTCACAACCGAATTGCCTCAATTCTGCAAGTATTTCCAGGAGCGCGAGCAAAGGTAAAATTCCACTACCGACATTAGTTATGACATGACACTTAGAAATGAGGACAATATTTGGATCATTAAACCTTGGAACTTGGCTCGCGGTCTGGATATGCACATTTCGGGCGATCTTAAGCACATTATCCGTCTGATCGAGTCTGGACCGAAGGTTTTCCGCTCCGCGTAGCTATTTAGCCTATTCTGCCTTTAGATAGCCTGTAAATACATCACTAATCCGGTGCTGTTCCGTCGCCCTGATAACGGCGCGATGGTGAAGTTCGACCTTCGCTTTATTGTGTTCGTCGATCGTTTTCGTTGGAATTCGGCCTGGATCTACAAGAACTTCTGGATCCGCTTCGCCATCAAGTAAGGAAACTTCGACTTTATAAACAATATACAACTATCTCCTCAAACCCTAGCACCCTGTTTTTCATGTCGAAATCGTGTTTTTTTCAGCCAATTTGACCTAACGCAGCTGGACAACCCCGAGACACACTTCACGGTGTTCAACTATGGAGACGAGGAAAAGGTCCTACAGGTGTTTTTGTTCATTGTATTAAGTAACCACGCTTTAGATGAAGTGCGGCGAGTTCAAGAAGCAATTCGAGGCAACCTATCCGTCGCTGAAGTGGGCAGCTATCGAGAAAAAGATCCATCGCTCTATCAGCACGCTGCTGGAAGTTGCTACCTAGTCTGTTTTATTAAGTAACATTGTTTATCTCGTTGTCTGATCTTATTAAAATTTGATTTATTGTTTTGGCATTTTTTTTTGAAATCAGTGAGTTTGTTTCAGCAGGGAGCCCCCTCGTGGAATCGCCCCGAACAAGCAAAGTCGCGCTATGTATGGTGTCGATGTTATGCTGAAATGGAAGGATCGAAGTAGTTTCACGCTAACTAAAACTAATTGTAATCGTTTTTAGCTCGTTCCAATTGCGACGTCTCCATTTTGGAGTGTAACTTCATGCCGGACTGCGAACGCGCTTGTGCTTACTACAGGTATTTTGTTTATCGCCTAAGATAGATCTTTAGACTATTTTGCCCAACATTGTGTTTTCAGTGATTTTGCTGACACCGTCTTCGATACTCTCTTCATGGGCCACATTGACGAGTCGAAAGTCGCTAAGCTCTAAGTTAGCACATTGCTTTGTTTGCCTTGGCTTTTTGGGTGTTTATATTGTCGTCATTTCCGGTGTTCCTTCAAGGGTCCAGTTGTCTTCTGTTTTGTTTTTTGTCCGCTGACAACTGATTTTCAGTTGTCGATTCATCCCGTTTTATCGTTAGCATTGATACCTCATTCCCCCTTGTTTGCCGGTGTTCCAAATAAAGTTTTATCACGTTTCTGGTGCGATATCGTTTACTGGTTGTAGTATTACCGACGTAAATTCGTGATTCGCTTTTAATAATGGCGCTGTGAACTGCGAATAGGGTTACTTTTATAGGTTGTCTAAAAATGTTAGAAGTCATAACGCGATGAAAATCGGCAGTTGGGGGTTGCGCTACCGCCCATTGGGGTCAGCACCATCCCAGTCCACTGCACATATTTACCGCATGCGCGCTATGAACTATACAAATTTTCAAAAAATGCCCGCTCTCCTCTGCCTGTAGCGACCGTTTACACCATTAATTATGATTTTTTTAATTTTGAGATTATTGGGTTTCTCAACCCTTCATATGAAGGCGCCGGATCCCCAGCTAGCCGAGCGAACATTGGCAGTTGCTGTTCTTGAAAAGTTAAAGCAAATTAATTTATTAACCAGGGTTGAAAAACCGCTTCGCGGCTTTTCAACCCTGGGCCCGTCTAGGACATCTGAAAATTTGACTTTACATAGGGCTTGCCGAATGCCGATCACCAAAAAATGAAAAGCGCACCCTGCCTCCCTTTTTATAGGCTACGGCCACTTCCGGTCAATGCTAATTGCCTCCTAACAAAGAGATTTTTCGATATATTTACAAAAACTTAATTTTAATAGTGAAAACAGCCGAGTTTCTTAAATTGTATATGTGTGCACCCATCTCGGGACCATTACGCACCTAATGACGTATCATACGTACCTTAAAAACCTTCCCCTGAGGCTGTAGGTGCGGTACATACTTACGGAAGTTGCATGCAAATATACACACACACACACACAGACACTATTTTTTTATATATAGTAGGAAATTTATTAATTACTTCAATCACTTCTTTCTTTTGATTCCGGTGCTATGAATGTGAATGTGGATGTTTCAGGCATCTCACCCGATGCCCCCGACCTCTAGAAGGTCGCAGAAGGGTGATAAGCAACCGGTATGCATTTTAGAAATCCTATTTATTGTATTTTTAGAAACCGCCGGAGAAAACGGCTTCCACAACAAAGCCTAAGAGGAAAAGCAATGTGGCCACGGTTCGTTTTTCTAATACGATTACATTATTGACATGCTTTTCGGGTTATCCTAGCATTTTAGGTTTCACCCGCTGTTGTTACCATGCCTGCAGTTTTGCCGTTAATTAAGGTGGCGACGGGCTTGAATGATAATGACGATGGGGAACTGCCGGTTTGCCTAAATTTTTATTCTTGACACACACTAATAGGTAACGCCGCAAAATGACCCGCCATCGAGAGTCGCAAGGAAAACTCCGGCAAGAACGAAAAAGATGGTATATACGGAAAAAATATTCACAGGGGTTTGTTCAGGCAGTCAAAGGCATGCCCGCTCCCCAAAAGGGCACCCGCACCAAGAAGGCCACAGGTGGATCAACAGCCAGGAAGGTGAGGATAAATTTACATGAAAACGGTCGAAGCCGAGTCCTTATGTCCTTCGCGCATGGACTAATCTGAAAAAAGGATTTCATCCGTCTTTATATATTAAAAAAAACCGTCTATTTGACCTGAATCCAAATTTACCGCCGATTTCAGGCAGCCCATCGTCGGAAGCCGCAGTCCAGGGGGGCAAGCAAGACACCTTTGCCGGATCCGAACATCGTGGGTCTAATGGTTGATATCACTCCATTTTTTAGAGACTTTTCCAAAATGGCGAACCGGGCCAGTCGACCAGCGGTGAGCAGCCACAACAACCACCACCACCACCCGTCAAGCGAAAACTTGACCCGTTTGTTTCGCTTCCACCACTGAAGCCGGGTAAATGCCGCCTTCTTGAACTTTGCGGTGAACCACCAAACTCAGCGAAGCTCAAAGCCCTACCTGTGGTTCGTTTTTAGATATACTGCGTGCAATTACATTTTGATGTAATGGTACAGCTATCATTTTTGCATATATTAATTAGCGAGTCTTAATTTTACCGACAGCATTTAGTATCAATAAAAATTATATTCGCTGGCGTTAGTTGGTATTAAGGCATTTTAGCAACTTGCTACTGCGATCCAGAAGCATGCAGCGGACGCGGAAGAAAGAAGAGGAATCCAACAAGGGTCCCGCGATGAAGGGCGGTTTGGCGATGATCCCGAGGATGATGTGGTATTGTGCATATTATTTTCCAAAATCATTTTTAGGAGAAGATGCTACTAAAGCGCGTGAATATGATGAAATCAAAAGGATTATGGTCCGGCGCGATGTTGCCACGTTCGGTGGCCCCGCCGCGGCGTATGGTATGGGGATTCTTTGACAATTATTTTTTGATTTCAGACTGTATGGGACCAAATGCTGAAAGAAGTGGTGATGATGCACAGGGATTTCAAGTGCGAGCGCATATTTGCCAACAAATTCAGAAAACAAGTCAGTGTTTGATGCATTTATTGCACGATACGATACGAACATTTTGAACAATGGATTTTTTAGATTGGAAAAGAGGTTGTGAAATTCCATGCGGACCTGAAGCAAGCTGAAAAGCGCCGGAAAGAAGAAAGAAAGGCAGCACGCGAAGCACTTGTACAAGAATTTTACTCTTTGGAGCGCTGGCGGCCAAAGCTTTCTCCTTACGTCTACAGTGCGGCTTCCGTGGGAGAACGACTTTCCCGTAAAATCGTCAGGGAGCATGCTATCACGCTTCTGCCGTATAAATACAGAATGTTCCCCGAACTTGTGGTAAGAAATTTTTGCTGTATTGGAGATTCTTTTCATCATCAGGAGATCTTTCGCGGCGAGCTCCATCCTTACATTGGACAATACTACGTGAGGGAGAAAGATCGTGAATATAATCCAAAACGTAAGTCACCTACCTTGTTTATTTATTTTTGTTTACTTTAGTTCGAAGTCTACGGGTAAGATGTGATTCGCTCTGGTCGACGATGCTCACCTCTATCCTCAAAGCTACGGGTAGCCCTACAATTTTTTTCGATGTCTTCAACTTTGTTTTGGATTATACCCAGCGTACGATAGGTAACGACATCTTGTTCTTATTGTTTAACGGTTTTAACTAGCTCTTCACTTGTTGCAAAAGCCTCCTGTCGCCCCTCAACTTCCGAATCCGTCAAATTCGCTTGAGGCCCTCTGCGATGGAACTCGCGAATTTGCTGGTCCACTAGCCTTAAACATATCCGGAAAACAATTCCCAGTAAGTTCAATGAGGTTTTGTTGGATTTCCGGATACACTGTGAAATTCCTTTTTTTTCAGAATCGAATGGATTTCGCGCATGCGCCTTACGATTTTCTTCGCGGGTATCAGCACGCCGGGCTCAATTGGCTATTAAATCTTCATCAAAAAGGGATTTCTGGCATCTTGGCCGACGAAAGTGGTTTGGGCAAGCGTCGACAGGTAAACAGGAATTTCATACGTTGACCTAATTTAGATCGCGACACTATTCGCCTTGATTGCTCCTTGCGAAAAGCCGAATCTTATTGTATGTGCACCCGATTTTGTTGATGAGTGGGTAGTCGAGCTAAAGAAAACAGCGCCCGAGCTCAAAGTCACCGTCTGCTTTAATTTGCCTGACTTGGATATGAAGGTATGTATTCATCGTTGAGTAGCGCAGCATATAAGTTTTTTCAGATGGATGTGATAATTGTTGCATTTACGAAATATCTGGAGCATGCCGGATTCATGACCCCGTTGCCGGTGCACCGATGGAATTATCAAGTGTTTGATGAACCATTGAATATCGACTACTACCAAAAACTGAATTGGGCTAAGCTCGGACCGTTGGATGCTCAAACTCAAATGGCGAAATACCGTGTACTACTTCGAAGTAAGATTTCTGAGATACCTCACCTCTATTATATTTTTACCCTAAGTTGGTTTATGCCTTATTTTTAGGGAAACCTCTTCCGTCGGATCCTTTTGAACTCATCGCTCTTTGCCAATTTATCTTCCCGGACTGGATTCAGCAGGGCTTTGAGAGAAAAGGCCAGAATCTTGTTGACTGGTAAGCATTTTCAATGCTCGGTGAACGCTGGCGACGCTGTATTATGAGATTTCAAGCAAAATGTTTTAGGCTGAGTTCCTTCAACCTCGTAGAGGCGGTTGATGCGGCCGAAGTGGATGGTATCCGTAAGCGCTTGTTGCAGGTACATTTCGTCTGATAATTTTGACCCTGTGTAGATAATCAATCCCTACGTGCTACGAAGAACGAAAAAGGAAGTGGAGAAGCAGCTTCCTAAGAACAGGGAGGTCGTCGTGAGATGCCAGCTGTATCCACATCAACGCATCCTATATGATGAATATCAAAGTCTGCCAAGGTATTTTAGTACGATACGTTCATGGGCATGATTACCATTTGTTTCAATCAGCACCTAATTGTTGTAAACATTTCTTATGGTTCTGTTTAGAAGTCGTTCGGATGTGGATATTATCACGGCTGCTACCGGCCTCTGGAAGATCTGCAACCACCCGGATGTATTCGAAGAAATGCACAACAATGGATCATATTTGCTAGAAATGGAACGGTATTTCTGGCTAATATAACTCGTATGCGATTTTTAGTACACATCTTCCTGGCGCACTTTTCGACCTCGACGCAGAACGTACTGAATTTGTGGAAAGGCACTTTCTAAGGCGTATCGTGGCAAACGTTGGCGTATGTTTTGACGCTCATTTGTGTACAAAAAAACGGCTGCGTGATTTTTTTCTGAAGGCTTTTTTAGTATGAGCCGTTGCGTCCGTTGCGTCGGGGCCCTATCTGTCCGAGAATGGGCCACTACCGATTTGTGTCAGAGGTTGATGCAGAAAGGCGACCAAACGCATTCAAGATGAAGCGGAGAAAGGTAATCAAGGCTATGATATTTTTGTGCTGAAAACTTTTTTTGTCAGTCCGTGTTGGGAGAATGCATAAACATGCATAAATTTTAAAATACGCATAGAAATATAGAATTTTTTATCTTTAGGAGACGGAAGCCCTGCTCTACCGAAAATTGCTTCGCAGGAGCAAAGAAGACGCCCTCAATGATGAACTGGTAACTACAATTTATTTATGCAAACTTTTTCTGTTTAGTGGACATCTCCGATAACTGGACTACGGTACATCTCCGTCGACGATTACGATGAGGGAACTAAGAGATTGTTGCCGTTCAAGCATTTTGTCTCCATCAAGCAAATGTACGACTGGAATCGGGAACTCTTGGATCCGCTACCCGGGCTATTTGAGCACACTCTTCTGAAGTCGCAGTTGAAGCTCGTGAGGTCAGGAAAGCCCCATATCTTTTGTTTTCGACAGTGTTGCGAGCCTTCGGCAGTTAGATGAATCGCAGGTCTAAGCTGATCCTATATGAAATTTCTAGGTGGATCCTATACTCACCTCCTGCGGTACGAGTGTCGAACAATTTCCGTCCTGGCCAAGGTCGGATGAGCTACTATCGAATTTTGGATGAGGCTCACGACAAATACCATGCATGGGCTTCTGCGTTAGTTTTTTCTTGACGTACGGTTTCCGATATATTCACGCAATCTAGCATAAATTAACCTGTGCTCTGTCAGGAATGAAGGCACGCAACGCGCTCTGCCTTGCCAAGACTTGGCGGATACAGACCCATTTCCCAATGCTCTTCATAGGCTTTCGGTTATGACATCAACACCCGTTGGAAGATCTTCTGGTAATTTTGCGCTTTATGCCACATATTTTTTTTCAGGAAAGCTGGACGCGCTCGCTGTATTGTTACGGGATTTGCGCTGGCGCAATCACAAGATCATGATCTATACCCAGATGACTGGTAATTGTTGACTATCGGAATATACTTCGTTGTGGTTTAGAAATGGTCCACCGGCTGCGATGGTATCTCGACCAAAAAGGTTTTTCCAACGTATGGTTCGGCGAACATACACCGATGATACAAGATTATGCACTTCAAAAACATTTCGAAGATGACAAGCGATACGTGATTGGTATTGCTGCAGCCGGATGTGGTAAAATAGCTTTCTTTGCCCCTATTGTTCCTTAGGACGCCCTCGTTTCCGATTCCCCGGTGTGGACACCATCATCTTTTATGATTGCGATTGGAACTTGAAACTCAAGAGTGACGAGCTGTACAAATATTACGGAGTATGCAGTTTCCCAGATTGTTACGACTGCTGAAATAGACTCGGGACAACATGGACCACTCCTTTTCGATATTTTTAATGTACTTCTGATTCTAGGTCGACTACGCCACCCCCACTACCATTTATCGGTTCATCGCGGAAGGCACCGTTGAAGAAGTTTTCTTAAAGCACCAGCTGCGAGATCGGTCTTATCGTAATGAATGATTACATTTTAATTGACTTTGCTTTAGGTATGGATTACTCAGTCCCCGGAGCAGGCAAGCTTTTTGAGCAAGTGTCTGTTGTGAATCGAGCTATCGACACGTTGTTGAATGGAAAGCGATCGCACACTGTGCTTGAGGTCGGTTTTCTTGGTTAAACCGATTGAATCTATTTATTTAACCAGGAGCTAAGCCTAAGCTTTCTTATGTCGAGGATCTAATTTTTTTTAGAAACTGATCAGCAATGTCAATGATATTCAATGGGCCCGTCGACCGCAAGAATCACTGATCAAGATGATACAATTTTGGTCGTTGAATTGGGGTCATCCGATGCTGGAATACGACATGGAGGGCATAAACTCGGTATGCACCTTACCTATCCTCCCCGTAAAAAGCATCGGTACTATTCAAGTTGGGGGTGGGCGGCAAAAATTTTTTAGGTCATTTTTGGGCTACCTGATCAGTTTTTGGCGGATAATTCAGCGCAATAGTCAACACCTAAGCTAAGCTAAACCGACGCACAGTTAAATTGAACTTGCACAAAGCTAAGTTGAGGCCAAACGCGGTGAAGCTGTGACGAAGCCAAGCTAAGGACGAGGTACTAAGGCTTCGGCTAAGCCTAAGCCTAGGGCTAGGTTAAGCTAGACCTAAGCTAAGCCTAAACCTAGGCTAAGCTAAGCCTAAGCCAGAGGACCAAATAGCCCAAAAATGGCCCAAAAAATCTTTGCCCCCCCCCCAACTTGAATTTTTATTTCACCCATTGATCTTCAGTCTTCAGTTACAAAAATTTTGTTCAGGATCCAATTGATCTGACAAAAGAAGTTCGCAACATAAAGCAAGGGCTGTTATACGGTGGGGCGCCGAATGAACGGCTTGTCACGGTAAATTGAGAGTTTCGATAATAATTTCCTCTTTATAGCGGCGCTTGCGCTTGGAGCGGTTTGAGACGGGTAAAGTGATACGATCTGATGAGGTGATTTTCGACGAGTTTCAAAAAATTAAGCTTTTTTAGCCGGAATATGGGCAATCTATTCATGACCCTTGGGGCAAGTCGGTCAAACGAATGGAAATGCAAGCACGACACCCGAAAGAACTCACCTACCAGGTAATATAAAGCCTTTTTACTTGATCCATTCTCAGGATATCGACCATATTTTGTTGGTTTCAGTGGGATTCCGAGGACGACATTCTCGAGCTGCCATGGAAGCTGAACCCGAAGGAAAAGGCTGTGCTGAAGAAGAAATTACGCGCCATTCCCAAGCTCGCGCCCGAATCAAAGTTGCTCAACACATTCTACGACGACGTATCTTATGGCCACATGTACCGGAAACAGTCCGTGTTTTTGGAAGATGAGGACGTAAGTTGCTTTCTTGAAAGATAATATTCCGCTTTTTCCAGTATCCGGAGATGACGAGGCCTTTCCTTAAATATCGACTGCAAGGAAGGAAGAGAAAGAAGGCAATGAAACGGGGCAAGCATGACGTTTTTAACGCAGACCTTTTTACTTATAGCGTTCGCGCAGAATGGCGACGCAACTTTGCCACGGCGAGCCGACCCGAAATTGAAGACACCAGCCCAGCGGAAAAAGCCTGGCTTAGAAGCCGCAAAGCCAACCACGGTAGGCCTTGTTTTTGAACAATGCTATTTACAGGCTGCCAAGGAAAAGCCCGGAAGCAAGTCTGCCATGCCAATCACCAAGCGAATGGTCAACGGAACCTCGAAGCTGCCAATGAAAGCTGGCCCTTCTGGTGTTTCTGGTTGGTTTTTTTGGTGAAATACGTGGCCGGATCAACTAGTCATTTTCATTGTTTTGATTTTCAGTGGTGGTGGGCCGGTTTTGAATTCAGTTTGCAATTCTATTTTTAGCGGGTGATATGCCGTCGACTTCGAGAGCCGGTGGTTCTTCAACTGCTCGTACCGGAAGGATTGTCGATCGTCCACCTACCCTCAGCACCTTTAAGCGACCTCGTACTCCCCCTCAACTCGTTCGGTTGGTTACATTACATCACGAATCTTTTTTTGCCTGGTTGGATTTCTTATTGGCTTGTGATATCTCTTATTATAGGGAGCATGCTGACTACGAGGGTCCACCGTGGACAACTCAAGAAGACGAGGCCTTGCAAAAGGCTTATGCGATTTCCGCAAACTTCGAATACATCTCCACTTTCGTTGGTGGCAGCTCCGTTACCTACAGGTATCCGGCTAAACGTTGCTTTAAAAAATTATGCTTAGGACGCCTTTGCAATGCTGGAACCGTGTAAATGCCTTGAGGAATATGGCGCGCCTTCCGGCTTCTAAAGCAGAGAGTCGTGAGAAGTTGACAACTTCCCTTCAAGCCATGCAAAGCACCGTGAAGCAAAAACCAAACAGTGCGATATACATTTTACGACCGATTTTTGTTTCTTAGTCCTTCGACGCATGACGCCATCGAAGCAAGCCACGCCGCCGGAACAGATTGCTCGATTACAAGCTCTGGATGTCAATGTTACAGTCAATCAGCGTCCGGCCGAACTGCTAACCCGACAGGTTCCTTGAAACGGCTAGATCACTAGTTACTTTGCAGGAAAATCGCCGCTATCCATCCGCCGACCGTCGGGAGGGTTTCAATCCAAACCTTCCGAGCACCTCAGCAGCTTCAGCGGAATCGGTAAGTTTCCCGGGAAGCTGTGCGCAGACGGCTCTTTGTTCGAAGTTATTCTTGTTTTATGATTGACGGTCATGCAGAAATTTTTTCAGGGCCTCTGGGGCCGCGAAACTCGACTCGAAATGCGGCAGCCCGCCATCCCATGCCCTGCCGAAACATTGGTTAGCAGGGAAAACACTGTTATCGGTAATTATTCGAGTTTATTTCTAGCTCTTTTAGAAGTCCCACCCCTGCCGCGTCCGATGCCCACCCTTGTCCAGCCAGCGGTTCCAGAGCCCCGACCACCACCTCCAGCCGAACAACACGTTCCGGTATGTCAGGCTAGAGGCTCTTTTGTTTGGCCGGTGCCTCTCCTGATTTTTATATTAAAATCAACATTTAGGTTGCTTCTACCGCTGCAGCTCCCCGTCGGATTGCGGTTAGCAATGTGCCAACACAAAATTTCACGGTTCGTTTTAAAAGGTTTTGGTATAGTGTTGTCCACTACCTCTGCAAACAAATCGATTTAGGAAAATCCGCCTCGCATCGCCACTTTCGTCCCTGGCAGTCAGCCTGCGAACCAGCAGCCAATTTACCGTGCGATCGCTCCCTCAAACCAGACCTCTACCATACGAACCACTGCTCAGCGAGTAACGGTACATTTTATCTAGATTCTTAAGATATATTTTTAGTTGCCGGTAAATTATAATAATGCGCAGCCCGGATCTACTCAACCGCCACCTTACACGGCTACCGAAAGACCACCCACGCAGCCAATCCGCACAACTGCAGGAACTGCGCCGCGAGTCATGCAGCGCGTACCGCAGGTAAAGGTATAGTTTTCGTTTCTTTTCGGATAAGATACAAATACATTTGCTTAAGCGGAAGAAAAGGTTATTTTATCGTGTCGAAACGGGACATTTTCCTAAATGCGTCGTTAATCAAAATTCTGCTTTTCATAGTTTTAAAAGCTTTTTTCAGGCGGGACCTCGTATGGTAGTAAACCAAGCGCCATCCGGAGAACGCCCGGCCCTCGTGTTCTCGAATCCTCAACATGTCCGAATGGTGCAACGGCCCGTGCAGACTCGTCGACCTTCCCAAGGACATCACGCCCAACCCGGTCAACAGCAACTCCCGCATTTCCAACAACAAACCCCGGTTCGTTTCCCACACTTTTTAGCCCTTCAATCTATCCGCCACTAGTAATTAACTGTTTTCTTCAGGTCACGATGCTGATCCCGAACCGTGGTGGCCAGATCGCTACACCTGTTAGGTATAATTTTTTGCTAGAAATTACACAAAACTAGACCGGACTCTTTAGAGAATAATGTTTTCACCAGCTACACCCCGGTATTGTTATCTATGAATTATTTTCAGGCGCATCACAAATCAGCCGACAAATCGGATGGTGAATGTCGTTCAGATGGTGAACAACCCTGGAAATCAACAACCGGGAACCTCGCGCACATACACAGCTGTTGGGGGCGCAAATCTACCCATTCACAGTGGCGCCGTGCAATTGAGCAGTAAGCATCATTTGAATATACTAATTGTTGTTTTTCCAGGGCGCCAAATCCATCCGGGTCGTACGCCTATCATCTCGGTCGCTGTCCCGCCTAATCGCCAAATGCAACACCAGGGTACCCCTGGACAAGATCATGGTGGCCCCTACGCTATTGGTACGTTAGCGTTTTCTCGACTATTTATGCTTGTTTTAGCAGGCCAAATGACCTTCCAACACACTCATCAATCTGGTCAAACGTCTACTCTGGTGAGTTATATCTCTATATGCATTAAAATTAGCTATCGCCTCGTCTGTTTCTGATTTACCAAAAATTTTTTTGCAGACTGTTCCTCGCTTGATCGCTGTCTCACAAGCCCCACAGACGCAGCATCTTCTACAACAACCAACAACCACCACCACCCAAAATCAGCCCTCGCCACCCCAAACGGGCGGACTTCCCTCCGTATCCACCCTTGAACGTAGAACCTAATCTCTTGCCCTCAGCTTGTTTGCTTTCGTTGGAGTTGTTGTTCTTTTGCGTGTTTGTATGCTGAACCGGGTCTCTAGTTGGCGGATGCAATTACCGAAATGTTAGAATGCTGGACGTTTAGCTGACATATTGAAAAGTTAAAGAAAAGTCTCTTTTTCGAGTTTCCAAAACTTTTTGGTAAGGTACGGTGTAGGGCTACCGTAGAGCTTCCAGCATTTCCATTCGCGCTGGCGCTTGCAGCCGTTCGATAAATTGTAATCCGCCGTATTCCACTTTCCGGTCTTTCGATTTTGAATGTTTATTCCTTAAATTTCTTTAACCACCAAATCGTGATAAATTTTGTTCGTTTATTAGAGTTATTTATCTTTCGAATACAAGCTTTTTCTTTTCGATGTTTGCGCTAAATTTTTCACGCAATCGGTTGACTCCCCTCTCTCGGAACGAGAATCTCACTCTTTGCCATTTCGATGCGGGCTCATCTTACTCGTTTGATTTACGCGATCCTCGGGATAAATGTTATGACTTTATGAACCGTCACTTTCACACCGCAATTTCAGATACCATTTTAGGGAGCATATTAGAAGGCTGGAATTTGCGAGAACGATGTGAGTAGGCAAATGTGTTTGTGTTGACTATGAGATCAGTCTCAAGTAAGAGAGGGTAGGGCCCAAGAAAGGGTCGCGCAATGCCGGCGGGGATTTGAATGACGCGCTCCCTTACTCATGGAATTAACCTTCGTAATTCTCGTGAAAATTTCGCAAGGCGTTCCCCAAGAAGGTTGCATGAAGCGATATTGCAGAGAGCCGGATCTTCTCTATACTTTGAATATCAATCATCTTCAAGATTATGTCCATCAATCGCTTTCATCTTTGAAAATAGTCTTATAGTCCTTATCCCGCTGCCTTCTTCATTTTAGATTTAGACATTTTTTTACAGAATTATGACATCAAAAACCGGTCTGAAGGGAAGATATGTGAGAGCCCTTCAACTAAACTTTGAAATGTTATTACTTGACTTGGACGTCATAGATGCAGCCAACTATTTGGAATTGAAAGGAGTATTTCCCGACGGAATAACGGAATTAATAAAAATTAAGGTATGTACTTGACAACTACACAGATCACAAAATTTTGAGCCAACGCGTTTGGAGAGATTCTCATTGTTCTTGCATCAATACAAGCGCTCGTGCACCTCCCTGGACCCACTAAATGGTTATCTTGTGGATTACTCGGGACAAGAACATATCAAATATGCACTTGATGATGTCTATGAAAGGTAATGATCGTTGAAAAGTTTATATCAATAAGCAAAAGCTATAATTCAAATAAATAACATTTTAGCACGAGCGAGCCGCAGGTTAACTTCACAGACCAATCACGTTTCGCGGCGATTTCATCGGTTAGTTCCATCAGCAAAGAATTTTATCGAAGTTTTAGTATACGGATTCTCTGCGTACCGGATATGTCCCCAATCTACGTGGCATTCCAAGACTTGGGGAATCGAAAAAATTAGCTGATCGACTGTGTGAGGCTTCTATGCAAGGTGGTAATCTAAACATGCCGATATTTTTTGCCTTCTTAGAAGGTGGATTTATGGCGCTGAATGGGACGGTGGGTGTCGGAAAAACGGATTTGGTGGCCCAAACCTTACGCCGCCATCGGAATCTCTTGGGATTGTACTATGAGGGTATTGCCTGGATTCGATGTTCCCGATATGAGCGAATGGAGCTGCAAGCATTTGCTGTAAATTTTCCGAAGCCGTTAGACGAACCTTTCCAAGATTGACCTATATCTAACCATTTGTGATGATGCGGCTAATAATGGGAAACTCTTCACAAGAAACACTAACCAACTATCGGAACTCGTTAGTTTTAGTCGCAGACGAAAGTACTAATGTACTAATTAGATAAATGACGCCCTACTTGATCGTCCTCAGTTATTGATCGTTGTCGATGACCTGATCCATGAAGAATTTTATCACTGGTTGCTACAGATCAATGTATGAGATTTGTAGCCACTTTTACTATCGGAATCTAGGGACGAATCTTGGCAACAGGCAGAAACTTCGATTTCCATGGTAGCCATCGGCATCATTCTGAAATCCACCAGGCTCCACCTTTGACTTTTCAGGAGCTTGTGCAGCTTCATGATCAGATGACAATTTGGTAACTATTAAAAAAATACGCATTATATTCTCACTGGGTGTGTTTTAGTCGTCCCAACGTTCACGCCGAATGCACGAAAAGCCTTGATCTTGCTAAGAACTGCCAGGAGAATATTTGCAAGTGTGTTTCGGATATACATACCATTGATTTTTGAGGATTGATGAAGCTTCCATAAAGTATGTTTATAGACAACGAGTCGGGTTGTACGAAATAACGGGCGGAAATCCAGCTTTTGCTTGCTTCATTCTAGCACACGCGCAGGAAAAGACTATCAGGTTTGCTGACTTGGTTTAATTTTCCAATCTAGAAAATTTCCAGTCTGACTGAGATCTACGAGCGGATAGCCGCTAAAGGGCTGCATGTTGTCCCAGCGCGGATCAATTACAAATACGATTCAATGCGTGATGCTATGTGTTTTTCATACCAATGGTGGGCGTTATAAAACCCAACTAAATGTGAAATCTCTATGGCAAAACCATAGACTTAAATTTTCAAGACTTCAACTAGACCCTTACGAGGTATTTAGCTTGCCCGAGTCACTGTGGCGGCTGGTTGGGTACCTTGGAGCTCTCCCATCAGAAGAATGGATTTCAGCATTGGTAGGTTTCGGCACTTCCCTTACTGAACGCCTAGCCTCCATTTAGGTATGGGATTGTATTTTACCGATAGATAAACCCGATCGTAAGCACAGCCGCAATGAACCACCATACCCGGTAAATTAATTTCAGATCACGGTGTCAAAGGAAATGCCATTCAGGTAACTCCGTATCTTCAACGCTTCGTACAAAATTCATGGTTGCGGGAAGAAGAGGGAAAATATTTGATTCCGAAAGTGGTTTCATTATTTTCCTATCACATCGCGAAAAGTGAACTGGAAGTGAGTATCTTCTAGGCTTGAGATACGGAAATCACGGAACTCTGATTGAACTAAACAAACAGTGATTTAGGAGATTCACTACACCATCAACGCGGCAAAAGAAGAATTAATAGCGGCGGGCGAAGTTGAATTCGTGGGAAAACTTCCAGATATCTTTAATCAACATTGAAAGCGCTTACTTTCATATACGTTTGTGATCTCACCACTCGCTTACAAAAGCCTTGATGCTTCTTTGGGACAGCATGAATTTTCGCCACTCATTCGGGTAACGGACCAGATTATAGGTTGAACGATAGCTCCCCTTTTCAATCTATCGAATAAAGTTTTTTTTAATTTATCTACTGTTTAAAGTACCGGTTATACATCGCATCCATACGCAATTTGGCACTTTGAGAAGTTAACAATTCATACAACGTCAACAACAACGCCTGACCGGGAAGAGATCAAATTGAAGAATGAAAAATTAGACAAGAACACTTAAATTAAACCCGTAATATTAAAAATGATGGAAATGGTAACTCAAAAGTTGATATATACGGATGGTTATTCCGTAATTTCAGTGATTGCGTCATCCCGCCTCTTTTTCTCGCCATCGTCTTCATCACGGCGTCTAAAAGCATGTATTCAGGAGTCGGGGGTACAAAAAGTACCGTTTCTTACGGTCCCGGTCCTCATCTTTGTCTTTTCTGTCACGATCGCGACGCTCCTTGCGGTCATGCCCTAAATATAAAGTATTTTCAAGCAATGTAAACTCACGGTCACGGTCGGTGCTGCGGCTTCTGTGCCGTCGGTGCTTTCTTTCGTCGTCTCTGCTTTCACGGCGTCTCTTTGGAGATCGGCTACGAGATCGAGAGCGAGATCGCCTTCTGGTCCGAGTGGACTGGTAGTCACGGCGGCTTTTACCGTAGTCCTGAGCGCTGAAAACAAGGTGTTGATAATGAAAAATGAAATGAAAAATGAATGAAATGAAAAACGTACTCGAACTCTTCAGTCCCTGGTGGTAATTCGCGCTTGACCATTTGGCTATCTAAAATGACTATGAAGAGAACAAGGAATATTCTCACTGATCAACGGCATGGTGGGGAAGGGGCCAGCCATTCCCGGGAGACCAGGCATCACCATATTTGGAATCGGCGGAAATCCAGGCGGCGGCATCGAAAAACTGGCAAAAAAATATTTTCAACGCAATAATGACACTCACTTGGGTGGGGGAACGGATAGATCAAAGAGAGGCGGTGGCTTGTTCGGAGTAAAGCCAGCCAGAGTGGTGACCGCTAAAATGTCTGCTGAGGCACCTGATAACACGATGTCCGGTGCGCGTCCAAAATAGACATAGATCAGAAGACTTACGCGAGTCTAGCCCTGGAGGTGCTTCGCCAGGTTTCACCACCGGAGGGATTGGCGGAAAATTCGGAGGTGGCTTCGAGAAATCGAACTAAAAGACCAAAGCTCAGTGCGTTAAAAGTTTTATTTACCTGGAAATTGACTTTGAAGCCGGCCTGCGGAGCTGTTTGAGCAAGCTTCACCTTGTCCAAAGTCCGCGCAGCTCGGTTGGAGTTATCAGGCGAATCACGTCGACCGGTTACAAGATTTGTATAAACCGTTCTGACTAAAAAAACAACATTAGCTGGTAAAACACTAGAAACGAAATTCCACCAGTGAAACAGATAGTATAGCTGAGAAGTCAATAACCCGTGAAATCCAAAAACGACAATTGTGTTAAAATAGAACTTACCTGATCTCCCATATCTGTCTCTTGCTAAATTTTTTGTACGCAAGACAAAAATATTGCTTCTGTTAATTGTTAAATTTAAAAATTTGTCAGCGGCTATTCCATAGAAGTGGGATGGTATTCAAGCAGCGCAATTAATGGCCAAAACAAATAGAAAAGCCACTCACTTATCGGGCCCTGTGGGTTCGGCAACTTGATAGAGTCCATCAAATGGCGGTTGACAGCCGCTTGGTTGTGTCCAAACTCCAGGTTAAGCTTCTTTTGGCGCTCGCAGTACAAATTCCAGGTCACTGGAAGTCGTTAAATAGTAGGGCTCAATTTTCAGCGGAGCGGATTTAATCCCGAAAAGGACAAACCTTCGTTGAACCCGTAGTTGAAATAATCATGGGTGTTCGCACCAGGGTTGCGCCACGGCTTTTCAGCCATCTTAAATCAAGCAATACATTAAGGCGACGATCTTTCTAACCTGGGCCAGATCGAGATCGTAGATGATTTGACCGGCCACACTCGGCACATGATCGAGGTCTAGTTTGGCGGCCGGGGGCTGGTGCGGAACTGGACGGTGCTAAAAACAAGCACTTTGGAAAAAGTGGAGAACTTACTGCAAGTGGCACGACATCGCCGATGGTAACTTGTACATCATCGTCGCTGTCATCATCACCAAAAATATCTAAGCAAAAAGTTTAACATCCAGGTATACCACCAACCCTTTGCTTTGGATTTCTTGGCGTTCTCTGCAGAATCACCGTTGTCTTCTGTTATTCCATCAGCATCATCGGGACGTTCTTCATCGGCATTGTCGATAGCTAAATAGAAACAGAACGATATGGATACACGGTTTTCGGAAACAGCGCATGACCGATTCATGAGCAGCAAAGTGTGCCTTACCGCTTGGCGGCCTTTCGCTAGGCACGGCACGCTGCGTCAGGTTTCCATAAAGCTGGTCATCGTCCAAATCTAAAAAAAATTATAACAAAGTATTTTGGAACAGAACGCACCATCCGGCTTGGTCGTGAACGGTGGAGTCGTATCTTCGGCACGGGCCTCGACAGTCTCCATCGGTTCCCTGTCGACCTAGAAGTAAATCAAATTTGATCTGCTGGAGCCAATCTCCACACGAAATCAACGGCTGCTAACCTTTCGCAAATTGTAAACATATTCAAAAACGATTTATTGAGATCGCACTATGACTAGGGGAAAGGGAAGGCTGCTCGGCAATATTGGCAATTTGACACATCGCGAAGGTGTTTGGCACTGTCAAACAAGAAAAGTCCACTGTACAGAACTGGTCTCTTCATTCATGAGGCAATTTCGAAGGGGTAGAATTACGGTTAGGTACGGACAATTTTAAACTCGTTGTAGAGCTTTTTAGCCCTCTCCGGATCATACCTAACCGTAATATCCGCCTGGCAAGGGGTAAACACGCGTAAGAAGGTGTGGCTGGCTAAGAGGTTGTGAAGGAGGCACGATTCGATGGGGGTCTGTTTTAAATATCGGCTATCATTTCAGACCCAACAAAACGGCTTCCCAAATTCGTTTTGGGACCCATTCGGACACGGCTCGACCAGGAAGCAGCGGGGAAGAGTCGATAGAAAACGGCCTAATGGCACATGGCACATTTCAAAGGCGCTGGGTACCACGGCTGACCTATGCTGACGGAAAAGTCGGGGAAGTAAAAAAGTGCAAATGGTTCGAGCGCAACCTGAACGTAGATTCAAAACAAGGTGGCAAAATCTGGCGGCTACATTAGGACTATCCGGGATCAAAAAATGACTAGAAAACATATTACATGACTAAACAGCACCAAAAAGATAAAGCTGGGAGTCCATTGAGTACTCTAGCACCAGTTAAGATTATTGCGAGCAAAAGTGCCACATAAAAAACCCATGACTATGTAGGTGGTAATCTAATGAGGGGGTACAATTTTCACACTAATTTTCACACTAGTTCTTAGTTACCTCGATATAACTGAGCCCAAAAATTTGCGAGTTAGCGGTAGATTATTACTAAGCCCCGAGAATTCGTCTACTACAGTCAGCCGGAGGGTACGCAGCTAATGGCACATAGGAGAGTGAGAGGGGGGGGTGACAAAAGCAACATGCAGGGGGAATAAGGCTATTCTTTCTTCAAAAATTCGTTTTCGTAGAAACGCAGCCCTTCGACGGTGTCGTCGCGGCAAAGGAGACCCTTGCTTTCGGCTGCCAATAATCTGAAATTGCGGTGTTAGGAATTAGATAACTACCAGCGCTGACCCCCCGCTACGCGGGGATTCAGCGCTGGCCCTCCCCCACAATTCGAATTTTGAATTTGAATGCAGAATTTGACTGAATTCCTGGACGCGGGCGGACAGACGGACATTAGAAATTTATATATAGTAGATGGTTATTAAGCAAAGGTCTTTGAAAAAGCTGCCTGAAAAAGCCGCGCACTACATAATCTTTTGGTGTTCAAAAAGGGGTGTTTCCAGCGCGGAAATTCAAAATGAGTAACGCTAATAAGAGGACTGACCGTTCTTTCGCAAGCACCATCGTGATTCCTTGAGTGGCTGCTAGCTCGGTAGCCGACAGTGATCCCTCGGATCCTACCAGAGAAACCGTTCCATCAACCGTGCTCTCAACGTTCGCCGATTTTAGTTGTAGCACCAACACGCCCGAGGGGAAGCGGTGTAACCTGGAAGGTCCAAACGTAAAACATCGTTCCTCGATAAATATTCTCTCAATTTCCGCAAAAATGATAAATTAATCGAAAACGTACTCTAACGGAGTGTCAACCTTCGACAAGGCCGCACATGCGTTCAGCAAGTCTTCAGGAGATAGCAGTTCGAGCCCCCGCGCGCGGTTGATCCGGCAAAATACTTCTGGCAACGTCATCATACCGCCATTCTCCTAAAAATCAGTATTTCGAATCCAAATGCTAGAACACTCACTTTTAGAGGTTCTTCTAAAACAAAGGCGAGTTCTTCGGCAAGCTTCTCGAAATACTTCGCACCATTTCCGTAGGTACTTTTCGTCACTGGATCAGAGACGCCGAGGGAGAGAAGATAGGACTTGAACTCTACTGTCTAAAATGGGATTAAAAGTTCCAAGGATGCTTCACCTCATCGTCCGTAATCGTCCCTTGTCTAGCTCTCAGTTTCTCCGCTATGCTTTTGGAAAGGCCGACCATTTCGCGAGCGGTTTCCATCAGTTTCGACATATCTTCGAACGCCTAAAGGAAAATTGAAAGACGAATGTACTAGAAAAAGGACTAGCAAACAAAATACCAACCTGACTAATACTTTCATGTGTTCTCTGATGATTTTCCACAAGTCGTTTCTCGATCCCACCAATTCCCAGTCCACGATGCCTGTCTGGATGACCCGAGGTCCGTGACTAAAACAATGATTGATATCGGAAGATAAAGCCAATAGGGCAAACTATGATTTTGAAATACCGAAAAACTTACCCCTCCAGAAGAACTACCCGAAGGGGTCCGTTCCCATGTCTTCCGCTTCAAAGCTTCGTCGTATTTTTTGAAAAACTAAAGAAAGTCATTGAATCGTCAGCAATTCCCTAGACCTCGTCCTCGCCGCCACTTCTGAAGATGAAACGGACACAATTGAATTGTGATGTGCTGACGGGACCAACGGCGCTTTCAGGAGCAGGAGAAAGCTGAAAATAAAAACTTTCAAAATTATAAGCCGTTTCGAGGGGGAGTTAGCCTGGGAAGGAAAGTGCCTACGAGCATGCTGCATTGGAAATGGCTTTAGTGACCTTTGTTACGGCCCGGGGAAGGAGGCATCAAAAGAAGGACGGCGGTTTTAATTAAGAATGGGTCACACTGTTTTCCGCAAAACCTCGTTCTCCCATGCCCCTACACACGTTTCGATTCGAATGTATTTTGAGGCACATATCTATTATGGCCTCGCTGGGTTCATAGCTAAGCTATAAATTGGCGCTTCAGGCCTGCGAAACTAACTATTTCATGCGCAAGTGAGTTATGACCGGGGTCTTAGTTTAATTAAAACAAACATCCGATTATTGAAGAAACATACCCGGACAACAATCTTCCCTCCTTTCCCGAACATCGTTTTGTGATGTTTCTCAGCATGGAGCACGAGGTAATGATTCAAAACGAGCCTCCGATCCTATGCAAGGGTTATTGATTCCAATCAAGATTTACCGGATCTGTTGAATCAGCCCAGATGATGCGATGTAGGGTCAAGGATGCAGTGCCCAGTTCGAATTCCGTCTGAAATTGGACATTATTTAAAAGTCACGCAACTTCGATTATTTATTAAGCATCATAGCGCCGATGGCTTTCTCAGTAACAAATCTTGGCCCTCAATAGTTCAAAACTTATCGAGCACAAGTAAGACATCATAATTAAACAATACCTGTTTGAGGTCCCCTTCGTATAAGCCAACACTTCCGGCCTGGCAGAGGATTTCCTCCATGCTTTCGCCTGGTTGGTACCATGTTATCCGATCCATGGTAGGGTACCTAAATACGAAATTTGCTTATAATAAAATGGCCGACGAAAGAGAACGAATGTAAAAACCGGCAAATTTCGGCCATTCAATAGCTCACGGAGAGTTCTCAGAAAATGGAGACTGAACAAGGGGAAGCCCGGGTAATTATGAAGGGCATGGGGCACGGCGGGTAATTGGCCGAATTACTTGCCCTTCTACCGCACAACATTATTTAGTGGTTTGAATGGACTAAACTGGTAAAAATACAGGTGTGCGCTGTCAGCTATGAGGACTATTGCTACTAGTATTTCTTTTTAGTTCTCAGGCATAAATTTGACGGGTGTGTTGGTCGAATCAAATCATGCCCCCCCCCCGTGCTTTTCATTTCGACCCAGAAAACGATTAACCCTTCAAATATTGACAAATCCAAGCGTTAATTACAAATCGATACAAGCGTCGGCCAACTTTTAAAGACGCAAATTCGAAAATCTTTCAAAAGTACCAAAAATGCTAGACATGCTAAAAATCGGGGTCTGAACGAAAATTACTTCCGCACGACGATGAATTTAATTTCGCAGGCGCGGCGGTGAACAGAAGTGGGTAAATATTTGTCGTTTTATAAGTAAACGGCTCAATTGGAAAGGTGGGTACGCCGGAAGCCTATGAACATGTGCTGGCCAGGAAAAAGTGGAAGAGCGGAGCATCTCGTACTCTAGGGCAATGCAGCTTGGGAGGGGGGTTGTTGACGGGTCGAACAGCTGAGAGACTGGAAAAAGAGAAGAGAAGAGTATTTCTTTGAATCATCAACCATTCATAAACAGCAAATCAATTCGATTCAAAGGGGGTTCAGTTTTTCAATGACAAATTCGTCAATATTATAGCTTTATTCCACTCCATAGCAAATACCTTCAGCGTTGGCAACTGAAATTTATTAAATTGTTTTTCCATTTATAAAAAAGCTTTCCAAAACTTTGTAAATACTTATATCCCAGCTGAGCTAAATCCCGATGATAAGTGAAGCCATTCATAGGGTTTTTGGAAAAGAATTAGTCCATACCTTATCGATTTACGGTATGTAGGTCTGTGGGAAAAAGCTCGATAAACCAGAACATCTTTGCGCGCACGTTCGCCCAGCACGTCCCGCTGCTTTTTGAAGGTGTTTTCTTGGGCATCGCCTTTTTCTTGCTCAAAACACGAGATAAGGAAGGGGCACAAGCTGGCCGATCTGAAAGTCTTTTTCGCTTGTTGTTATCGAGGTTTCAATTAAAAGCTTAAATTTTTCGAGGATGCCTGTCGCCGACGATGATCAAGCAATATTGATCCACAATGAGGAACTACCTCATGAGCCAGGTAATGTTTAACTTTATGCATTTTTAATTGCTAGGATCTATTTATCGGGGCTCACTTCTTCCTTCGATTCATTCCGTTTTTACCTCCGAAAGTCCACCTTTTGCAATTGGATTGGAATGGCCTTTGGTGTATAGATACAAACTGTAGTTGCGCTATTTTCTGTGGAGGCCCTTTGCAAGGAACTTTTGATCCTGAAAGTGCATTTCTGAGGGTTGCTACGTCTCGGGGAATCGATATGACGATCCGTTTTTAGCTATATAACCAGGGTTGAAAAGCCGCTTCGCGACTTTTTAACCCTGGCCCCGTCTGATCCCATGATATTCGGCACGTTGCATAATTCTCGCGCTTTTCTATGACAAAAATGAGGAACGCCCGCTCTCTACCTCACTATATAGGCTACCGCAACTTCCGACGTATGCTAATTATTTCCTAACAAAGAGGGTTCTCGATTTTTCAAGAAAAAGCTTCATTTTAACGTCGAAAACAGCGAATTTTTGGTAATTTTACGAGTGTGCAGTCATCTCCAGGCCATTACGCACCTAATGACGTATAAAACATACCCCTAAATACCCCCCTTATTGAGATACTCCTGGAACACGCTGACGGAAGTTGCATGCAAATGCACACACATACATACACACACAGGAACTATTTTTTATATATAGTAGGATTTGTAGATTTTTTGTGTATTAGCCTCCTTATCCGTTGGGATATAGCTATATTTGGTCCGGTTAGATCAGGCTGCCCATTCTACGGTAATCTGGGCGCTGATACATCAAGCTGCGGGGTCAGCACTGGGCGGCTGGCTCATCGATATTCATAAATGCTATTTTCGGAAAGATTCGCCGTCGATGTGTGAGCTAGAGAGAGAGAGAGAGAGAGAGAGAGAGAGAGAGAGCGGGTGAGGGTTCGATTTGTTCATGTGTCAGTATATTGCGTGGGAGCTTTGCGCCTGGTCGAAATTTGCATTTGTCTCTCCCTCGTCCCTTCCCGTATATTTACCCTCCTCAAGCAACAGTCAGTGATGCGAGTCGTACGCGGGTCCATCATATTACTACATTTTGAACCGAGGCCAATCAGGTTTTTGGCTATGGGAGTGGTTTTTATAGTCCTTCCGGATTTAGGATGTTTAGGGGGGGAGGGCACACTTGTGGAAAATGCCACTTTTTGATCCGACCGGGATTTAAAATAACACAATCGATGGGTTATTTTGGCCATTGGGGGTCGACTGCGTCAAGTATGACTCACACGCATTTATAATAGGGGAAAACGCGCCGGCCAGGGGTCGAGCAATTTGCAGGTCGGCTGGCCAGATGAACAACGAACATTGCACATAGGCACCGGATTTTCGTGTAGAATCCGAACGGAACAAGTGTAGTTGTAGTAGTGAACGAGTATTTTTCGCACCAAAGGCGCCTACGGTCACTATCCCTTTAACCAAACTCCGAATCTATTTCTGAAATACCTTGTTGATAACAGTCCGCCCTGCTTCCCGGTGTCCCTATGTCAACATAAATGTTTTGACAGTCTTCCAAGCTTTTCCATCCATTGGGTCATTGTTGCCAAAGCCTCTTCCCCCCATTTCCTTGGCGGCCTGCAAAAAATTTTTAGTTATTTTGACGTTTCTTAGCAAAATATACGCTCCAGTTGGAGACATCGACGATGTACATTTTGAACTGTCCTCAAAACAAAGTAGCTTCTATGCCTAAAAAAGTAAAAATTTGTGTCCAGTCGATTGAGCTCGAGTTTAGAGGTCGGCGGATTTCTTGGGAGGTTTTTAAATGGCTAGTTGATCCTTTGCCTTCGAACTTTAATTTATTAAGTTCTTCAGGGCCATCCAATATGGTCGGCGTCGCTGATACCGACCCACCCGAGGGAAGTAACAAGGTAATTTTATTTATCCATTGATTTATATACTTTTTTAAAGCGTCCTGTCGAGTACGAAGATGATTTTGCGGAACATCAGCTCGTACGGATTCCCGATGATGATGATTCCACGGTACGATTCTGTGAATTTGCTCAATTTTGTTTTCAGAGTTTTTCCTTGAAAAAGTTGTGGGCCTTTACGGGCCCAGGGTTCTTGATGTGTATCGCTTATTTGGATCCCGGAAACATAGAGAGTGATCTACAATCGGGTGCCACGGCTAGATACGGGGTATTTTGGAATTTTGAATAATAATACGTATATTTTCAGTTACTATGGGTACTATTCTATGCTACAGTACTTGGGTTGTTGCTGCAGCGGATGGCCTCAAGATTGGGTGTTGTATCTGGAAAGCATATGGCCGAGGTAAGAAGGGTGTTATCACAAATTATTAATTTTGTTTTAGGTAGCACACAGCTACTATCCGAAAAAACCAAGAATTGTTCTTTGGATAATGGTCGAAATAGCTATTATCTGTTCGGACATGCAAGAAGTCATCGGGACCGCGATTGCACTTAATCTGTTGAGTAACGGATTGTAGGTTTTCTTACGGAGATTGAACCAATACCCTAGGATACCACTTTGGGTTGGCGTTATCGTTACGATCCTGGACACCATTACGTTTTTGTACTTTGAACGTTATGGATTCCGCAAGCTAGAAGCTATTTTCGCCGTTTTAATCTCGACAATGGCCGTATCTTTCGGCTATGAAGTAATTTGTCCGAAATGTAACTTGAATTGTTACTTTTTTAGTATTTTGTGGTCAACCCGGACCATTTTCAAGTGGCTAAAGGCATTATAGTACCATGGTGTCCGAATTGTGGCTCAACGCAATTTTTGCAGGTTTGCAGGATTCATGGCAGAATTGGCTTTTTAGGGAATTTCGGTTGTGGGAGCTGTCATTATGCCACATAATTTGTATTTGCACTCGGCTCTTGTTAAGGTGAGCTCCTTTCTGTAACTTAGAAAATAAAATATGAATTCCAGAGCCGCAAAATCGATCGAACACGAGAGACAAAGATCAAGGAAGCCAATTATTACTTCTTCTTCGAATCGGCTATCGCCTTGATCATCTCGTTTTTCATCAACGTCTTTGTAGTTGCTGTTTTTGCTCATGGCTTTTTTGGAAAATCAAATGTGGAAATTGTGGGTGTTGAGCTTCTCTTAACAACACTTGTTTAGCGCGATTCTTGCAAAAAAATGGAAGGAATGGGTGACAAAATCGATATATTCCCAAACAATACGGAAGACGCGACCGCGGATATTTATAAGGTAAAATTACAAGAGGCTAGCATTTATTTTGCTATTTTCTTAAGGCTGGCATCTTTCTGGGTTGTGAATTCGGCTTACCGGCGCTGTACATTTGGGCGCTTGGTATTTTGGCGGCTGGCCAAAGCTCCACTATGACTGGGACTTATTCGGGTCAATTTGTGATGGAGGTGGGAAGAGTTTTTGCGTGACCAACATTTGCCTAGGGTTTTATTCAAGTTCGATGGGCAAAGTGGAAGCGGGTATTTGTGACGCGCGCTATCGCCATTGCACCAACACTTGGCGTAGCTGTATGGGCTAGTGACATGGATAAATTGACGGGTAATTGTTAGGCGTAGGACGCTGTACAAAATTTTCCATTTAGGAATGAATGATTTACTGAATTGCGTACAAATGATTCAACTGCCATTCGCCATCATCCCGATCATCACTTTCACTTCAAGCGAAAAGATCATGCACGAATTCAAAAGTTCAAGGTATGGTTTCTTGTTTGCATAATCCTTTGTTTTTAGACCTTTCCAAGTATTCGCCTGTTTAACTTCGACAATTGTCATCGGTATCAACATATTTTTCATCTACGACTATATAACAACAGCACTTGGAACGGCGGTAAGCAATTTACACTAGCTGAAACCTATTTTTTTTTCCTAGTGGTACGTCCTCATCTGTCTCTCAATCGCCACGCTATTATATTTCGGGTTTATTTGCTACCTGGTAATTTCAGTCTCAAGCAACCTAAACCCTTTTTAGGCCGTCTATTGTCTCGTGTCGATTGGCATTATTCCGGAGACTTGGGTATCTTGACTTATCCTTTTTGAATTTTCGTAAGTTTCAGCAGCTGCACGGCTTCTCCTTCCAAAGGCCTTATGAGACGGATGCGCCATGGTTGAAAATTGAGCGCCTACCGGAAGCGCGTACTGTTACAGAGATTTTCTAAATTCCCGTGTAATTCGATGTCCATTTTGCTAAGTTATCGTCTTTTTTGTGAAATTCGCTCAATTATCTTTCTCTGTAGCAATGAAATCTGTATGTATTTAATGTATATTTTTAATAAATATGTGCACGTGTTCATTAGAAGATGCATTTTTGGTGCGCATGTGTAATTGTTTATAGTAGGCCAGTAATTCGTGTTCGGCTGTAAATGCAGCCGTAGATTTGATGGGAAAGGGGGGAACATGTTGGTTACTGTTTGTTCAGGTCGTGCGGTGGTTGTGGGTGGTCAGAATGAGGGTTGATGGAGCGAGGCGGCGACGACTCGTGGCCACTTTTGCGGGACCGACTGCCCAAATACGGGCCACCCGCATCCCATCACAGCTCCTCTCAACTTTTTTTTAATTAGCTACGGTAGATGCGGCGTTCGTTTGGGCAGCACTGGGTTGCTTGGTGGAATTTTGGGTAATGGTCTGTTAGCGGGGTGGGGGGTTTCCGATAGTCAACCCAAAATTGCATATTTGGATTCCACTTTTATCGTGGTCGACTGCTAGTTTCAAGTCTAGTTAGGCTTGTTTTTTCATAAAACCAGGGGTTTTGATTTAATTACAATTTTTTACTATTTCTGATAGGGAACAGCGTCCTAGCGTTAGTCTTATAGGATCAGAATTTCTAGTGTTCTGAGCTGTCGCGATCCCTTTAAAATGGACGTAAAACGATCCTTCTCTTCTACAAATCTACATAATTTTGCCTTCTAAATTGGTTTTTATACAGAAATTCTCTTAAAGTAGCAAAACGGGGCATAGAAAGTATTTTTATAAGGGCACGGCGTTTGGCTTTAATTTTACAACGATTTCTCAGTTGCCCGGCGCTTTTCTCGCCCGTCATGCCTCGCACTATAACCCAAAAATACCTTATAACCATTTTTTTTCTTCAGAAGTACAAAATCGGTAGTGCTACGTGCGTGTCCCCCGCAGGCGGTTCGAGGCGGTTGTTCGTGTGGCCCGGAGGGATGGGATAGCACAAGCACAAACAGTGATAGCATTCCCCCCTCGCACAAACACCCCTTCCGCACAAGCCGGGGTGCTTTTGTGTGTGGTGGCCTCTGGGGCCCTCCTGGCCCTGGGCCCCCTCCTTCCACCTGAAGCGCCGCGCGAAGCACCCCCTTCCCGCGCTTCTCGCGCGCACCCCCCGGAACCTTCTGCCATCTCCCCCCACCTCGCGATTTTCCGGTTCATCCCCGAAGCCCAGCAGCTCTTCGCAAATATTATTTCGCGCCTCGGCTTTCCACCGTCAAGCGGGTCCTGCGCGCCAGCCGGGGCCAATTTGCCGGCATACTTGGGCTGTATTACAAGACAGAATTCTGTTGGCTTTGACGATTTTGTCTGTTTTAAACAAGTTTTAACTTCATCGCGCCGCGATACGCGACGCGTGCCAGGTTTTTTTACAACCAAGGCGTCATCTTCCATTACGCAGTGGAAAGATGGCACGCGCGTTACGTGTCGCGGGAGTTACAAAAGAAACCATAGTCGAAAATCATATTTTTGCCTTGCCGGTTCCTTTAATGTTGTGGACGGTTCGTTAGTATTCGACGTTCCGTTCTTTTGCCCAATCATTCTTTGGCATACGAGTAGAATCGATAAAGAGGTAGCCTCCGGATATGGCATGCGACTAGTGCGATGTCAAACAACCTATCAAAGCCTTTCTTGGATCCCCAAACTCTACCAGAACGATTTGCTATACGAAGGTCGAAATTAGATTTGTCGAAAACCATCTTGTAGAAATTTCAAATCAGCGTAACCTTGTTTTGTCTGTTTTGTCGCAATGTCGAAACTTTCACTACGCATTGCGACACATAGAATTTCGACATTCCAATTTTCGAAAAATCAAGATATGGTTATATTCACATCAAAGTTAATTCAAAGATTTTACTCTTTTCCTTTGGGCTAACCTTTAAGAGAAATATTCCACTACGTTCCAGCGTCCACATCTTGCCGGAAAATAATCTAGATTTAATGGCCCTAAATCCTCTATTGTTTCAACGCTCGCTTAAGCCACAAAATTTCCGGTTGGCGGGGGGGATGGGGTAGCTGGGTGGAGGAGGAGAATTGGTGTGTGCAAGTGTCGAACTACCTCAGACAAATATTGGTGGATGGGGGGGGGGGGGCGAGGCAGCCGGCTTGACATAAGCCACATGGTTTCTGCTGTTAGACAGTCTCGATTGTCTGCCGATGGAACGGCTGTCAACTAAAACAAAGCCGCGCCGTTTTGAAGGGGTTGCATTGATTTTTTTTCGGTTTACCGCTTGATATCGGTGTTGAATTCAAGGTATTTGGATAAGTTTTTGGCGCATAAACTTAACCTTAATTTAGGATTTTCGAGCTGTCGAAAATTTCTTTATATATGTCTCCGTGTATCGAATCGCGAGTTCAAAACATTGTAAATCTACAAAATGAGTTCCCTTTTTGATCCTATGTGATGCAGATATTTTTCGACCAAATGTTTGTATAATTTTTTAAAAGATTCGTAAGCTACATTATTTCGGACTGAAATTAAATCTGTTAAAATGTTTTTGCCGCTATATCGCTTGGCAAAAATCTGGCCGCTATATCGAAAAATTCGGTTTCGTTTTTGTCATTCATTTCCATTTATTGTTGAAACCCTATGGGCTAATTGTCATGGTGAATACCGGTTAAACGCAAACGAAATAGCTCAATATTTATCAAAATCCGTTTTATTAAATTGTTCTAATACCGGATTGCCACTTTGATTTTCTGTGTTGGCCTTGAGTGACCTGTTTGCGGTACACTTACCTATTGAGTACTCCCCGGAAGGCCCTTGATGGACCGGGGAAGACAGAGGGATAAACATGTTTCTTACAAAGGGATGCCTTTCCGACTAAAAATTGTTCAGGGGTAAGATTGGTAAAATGAAGGCGATTTTAAAATGATATCTGGACGTTTAATGAACGATGGTTGACTTCTTGAGACAATAGATGTAATTTCAAGATATAAATTAATAACTGTAAGGTATCCTAGTAGTGAGCATAAGGAGAGTCAATAACCCTCCCTTCTCCCCCTCCGGTCCTCAATCCCTCTCCGTCCGCTCAGTATCCTTGCCATTTGTAGATGCTAATCTTTGTCCCTTTCCTCTTGCCCCGTATATCGGCCCCATTTCGAGCCACTGCTTGTTGCTCCCGGCTTCGAGCATTAGAGGACTGGAATTCTCTGGTCTCTTAATTTTTGACACCTTGTATATATTTACCATTACATTTTTCGTGGTTTTTAAAATCAAATTGAACCCAAAATTCTCCAGACTGTAACACCACTGTGTGGCTATTTTGGGGGGATAGATATAATGGATCAGTAGGTGGTGGTGGTGGTTGTTTGTCGGGGGTCCATACATTTGGGAGGGTGGCTGGGAACACATTCCATTGTCTATCTCCTCCCTCATTAGGCCACCTACCCCCAGGTACCCTCAAAAAGGGTAATATGAATACAAGACCGGCACCTGGCTGGCACATGCTAATTTTTGGGTCATTTTGAATCTGGATGCAATGCTCTGCTCTGGCTTCCGGTTTTATTGGGAGTTTTCGGACGTTAATTTTTGGGCCGTTGTGGATTCCTCTTTTTTCGAGTTTTTAATCCAAAACGGTTGTTTTCATAACCATTTCAATCTGTATTTTTGGATGCAGAAATTTCCCCACAAATCACTTTTCCCATGCCCCCGCCCCACTTCTTTTATGGTCATTACGACCGGTGGTCAACGGAAACGCTCACATTTTTCTGGATTTGGACTGCCCAGAATTGATCGTTTTTTATTGTCATCTAAAAATTTCAATTTGGTTTTGCATGTAGATATATTTTTTGTTAAAGCCGTTTTAAATAGAACTTTTTCATGTAAGTTTTGTCTAGGATTAATTTGATTTTTAACTTTATTAAGCTATAATTATTATCTAAAAAAAACTCAGTAGCTTACGAAACCTGGGCCATAGCAGCTGGATGCCATGGCCGAAAGCCTTGCGAAACCGCCACATACATATACGTGGCCCGCCCATTTGGTCAGACCGAGTTCCGGGGGGTTGGGGGCCATCAACATTTCACAATCGTAAGTTTAGCATTTTTAAGCTGATCCTCTATACGGAATTGACTGAATTCATTACGCTTACCTTATAAGCTTATACTAGCCAAAATTACCGAGTGCGAGTGATTCTAAATTCAAATTCGGGGCTTTGGGTTTCTGAATTTTGGAATTTGGACTGACTTATTGTCACCGGAAATGCTACGAAATTCACTGGCTTCCAAAAAAATCAGGGTGCGGTGGTGCCCGTAAATCTTCGTGGGGGTATCAGATTGATAGATCGAGCTAACGAGACGTTGACTGAGAAGGGGTTAGGGGTGTGGGCTTTGGCAATGATGGAAGATGGATGCCTTTCCTCCGTTTTCTCAGATGGATGACCTTCGGCTAATGATTCTTTGTGGGAATGCGGGGCACTCCCTTATTTCGATTGCTAAACCAACTTTTTTGGGGTTGAAAGTAACGGTAAAGTTTTGATATCTTGTTTGTTTGAAAATAACTTGAATTTCAAGAAGTTACGGTAGATTACTGACTCTAGGATTTTCGGGGATAAATATTGATTGCTTGTCAGTCCCTCTAGTGGACAAAATTAATCGAAATTTGCGAATCATAAAACGGAAATTATGTAAAACTATCATGCGCGTCTGCTCTTTCTCCTTTTTTTGCAGAGCATTTCCGGTTTGCTACTTGCCAGTTGTAGCTGAGCCCGGATCTACACAGGCTTAGCTTCCTGATCACTCTAAAGGGATCAGGAAGCTCCAGGGCAATCACACAAAGCCGGATTCAGTTTTAAAATTCGCATAAATCGACTTGGATTCTTCATTCTTGCTCCACTCTCTTCTTGCCTTGCATAATTTACCGTTGAATACTTGTCAATCCTGGAACAGGCTTCCTCTACACTTTATTTCATCTTCCGTATCCCTTTAG